GCACTATTAGTGCGTATATATTATAAGTAAGATTAAGATAGTAAGCCTACGCTAGGTAAGATACTAAAAGGAGCCTATAACGTATAAGTAAAATTAGTTAACGTTCTACTACCTACTATAAAGGAGATTAACGCTTTTAACTAATTAAAGATAGTAATAACTACCCTAACTATACTAATATTTTTTAACACTAAGTAGTAGCTATTTCTTAAGTTTAACGCCTTAGTAGATAGTATAAGTATATAAGTCTTCTATATAAAGGAGGCTACTCTTACTAATTAGGACTAGAAATAATACCCCCTATATAACGCTATATAACCTATAGCTTTCCTTTTATGTACACTTAGTGACGCTAAAAGATAATACTAGTTAACTAAACTTAAAGTTATAGGCTATATATAGACTATTTCTAAGTGTTAACACTAGATATAAGGCACCTAAATTAAGCTAGTTATTATTTTTATAGACTATAAAGCTATTATTAATATCTAATCTAGGTAAATTAATAATATTACAAATTTAATAGTATAAACTATAGTAAATAAGAAGCTTATTAAAGCTATAGAATATATTAGTTAATTTAACCTTAAGATACTATATAAGCTAGAAAAAGATTACTTAGTTCCTAACGCACTTAGTTAGATATAAGTAAATAACAAAACTAACTTAACTACGCTAGGAATACTTAATTAATTACTAGATAATTACCTAACTAATATTATCCTATATATAATAGCTAAATCTAACACACTAAGACTACTTACTATAGTTAAAGTATTAATAGACGTAAACAGGCTAGTTAGTAGTATAGTCTGTATGTATCCTAACTTCTAATAGAAAATTTAGGAAGGATATAAAACAGATAGTATCTAGCAACGTATTATTAATATTCTATAACAGAATAATACACTTAAACCTTTAAATAGGGCTAACCTACTATTTTACTTAGATAATAGGTTACTATAAAAGAAATATAATAGTAATATTAATAAACTCTATATTCTATAATTATATTTTATAGACATCTTTACTATAATATATAATAGTAACTACCTAGGCTATAGTAAGCTCTTAGAGCACCTCTAGCTATTCTATATGCATAATAGATTAAAGGAACTATAACACTACTTACTATATTACCTAATATACGCTATCCACTAGACATAACAACATAAAGCCTATAGTAACCTATAGCCTATACTACCTCTACTATACTTATATTACACTATCTTAATTAACTTTATAATAGCACTGCTAATATCTACTAATAATTATAAATAAACTATTAAAGGAAATACTATTCCTCCTAAGTAACTCTATATATATAGTAGTATAATAAGGTAATATCCTTATAAACGTACTAATATCTACTAACTAGGGATTTCCTAAAGTTATCCTGTTAGATAAAAACCTTAAATTCTTATTATAGATATAGACGTTAGTATAAAAAAACATAAGGACTATACTACTCTATATAATAGTATATTATTTATAAACAGATAGTTAGATAAAGCGCACTATCTAGACTATTAAGTTAGTATTTTAACACTATCTTTATAGACTTAACAGCCTAAAGCACTAAATATAAATTACACTATAACTTTAGTTTAAATTTAACTATATAAAAAACGCATTAATAGGAATATTACTTAATAAAATTAATAAGGGGCTTACGCCTAATAACATCTTACTACTACTAATAGATACTTAAATAGCTATAGTATTTATTTAACTACTAGTAGTATAACTAGCTATATATAACGCTCTAGCTATTATAGTAATAACTATAAAATAGTACTATAACTAATAACACACTATAAAGTTCTTTAAAGTAGGATAGTAAGTCTTATTATAACTACACTAAGGGTATAACATACTATAAGTAGCTATTTTTAGGCTAAAGTATAGATAATAATACGCTAGACCTTTTAAAATTACTAAATAAATTAGTTAGTTAGTATACTAACTACTTTTCTTACTATTATAGTAAATTTATAACGTTATCTTAATTAACTACCTTAAACTAGTACCTAAGGATCCCTACCTCTAGCTAACTAACGACATAAACACGTAACTAGTTATAAATTAGCTACTAGTGCTAGCTAAGATTATAGCTAAAAGACACACTTATAGAGGCTTATAATACCTTATTAGTTACTACTACTAAGGACTAAAATATAATAAATAGATAACTATAGTAGACTTTAAAAAACTCCTAAACGTATTATATATAAAGAAGTAATAAAAAAAGAATAACTAAAGTAAGAAAAAGAAGAAGGTAAACACTAATATACTAATAACTATTACGCTACTTCTTACGCTAGTAGCTTATTAGCCTATAACTAATACCTTAACTTTACTTCTTTAACTTCTTAGTAACTAACTATTATAATACTAATAGTTACTACCTAAACTAAATAATTTATAACTATTATAAACTAATAGTTATTTTAGTAGTAGTATTTAAATTAGCTACTTATGCACCTGCTATTATCTTACTAGCACCTACCTTATATATAGACAGGTAGCTTTTTTTATCTTTAGACCTATATAAAACTATTATAACTTTCTTTTAACTACTTACTTACTAATTATAGATTAGTTATAATTTACTTTATACTTTTATCTTTTATTTATTACTATATCTTACTATTACCTTATAATAAATAATAATAAAGTAAACCCTAGTAACTTCTTATATATTAGCCTATTTCCTAATAATAACACTAGTAGTAGTAGTAACCTTATAATAACTACATATACAGACGTAATAAAGCAGGAGTATATATAGGAAGGCGTATAATTAGCTATAGCCCTAAATATTACACTAAATAATAAAGAAAGTATAGATATATCTACTCTTCTATCCCTAGTAGTAGTCTCTAGAGATAAGTTCTTTAATAACTATAATAATATATAGACAAATAGAAGACCTTTTAAACTATAGTTAGATTTACCTATTTATTAGTATAACTATATACTAGTGTTATTAGCACCTCTATATATAGTCTAACACTATAAGGGAAAGTAGTTTATATATAACTACTATGTTATATATAATATAGCCTTACTAAAGAAAAGTAAAAAAAAAAAACTTTCTATATTTAGTATAGCGTTATACTTAACTTTAGTTTACTATAGATTAAAGGTTAGTAACTAAATAATAAATATAAGTAGATATAATTACCTTATATCTACTTTAATAATCTTATTATTAACTATAGCCTAAAGCTAGTTACACCTTATATAATAATTAAATATAAGCTAGATATAAGCTATAAACTAAACGTTTTAGTAGCAGTTACTTACTTATTACGCGCCTAAAAAGACTTACTTTTAAGAGTTACTAAGGATAATAGCTAGATCTTTATACTATTTAAACCTAGATTAGTAAAAAAACTCTTTACTAGATTTAATAATAAGGGATATTTATATCTTACTAAACCTATAGCCTTAAAGACTACTAAGGCTACTAAGAAAAGTAAGGCTATAATAAAATAAGATAACACTATAGCTAATAATAGCGTTATAGAGGTTAAAGATAAAAAAAAAAGTAAAAAACGTAAGGCACTAGCTAGTAATAATAAAGATAACAGCCTATAACTACTAGAAGTCTTTAGTAATAAAGACTTTAGATACTATAAGAACAGCTTATAGAAATTCCCTTACCTTATTACCTATAACCTTATTAAGAAACAGATTATAGCTCTAAGATATATAGTTACTATCTTTAATAATAACCTATATAACTAAATTATTAACTATTATAATAAGCTTACTATCCTATAAGTTATAATTACCCTAGCTAAGGCAGCACACCTCTATAGTAACTTCTCCTTTTACTTAGCTTATTAAGCTTATAATAAATTAATTAAGGCTAATAAGTAGCCTAACTTTATTAAGTTAGCTACTATAGTTATATTATATAATCTATAACTGCTATATAAAGATAAAGTAACACTTAACTATATAAAACTATTTAAGAAGTTATATAGTAAAAAATACTATAGTTAGAAAAGTATCTATAACCTACTAGTTAAGGTTAAATAACAGGAGGTACTATAAGAAGCTTAACAGTATATAATAAATAATAAACTAACTACTATTAGAATAGTCTATAGCTAGCTGCTAGTAGTATTAGCTGCTATAGCTAAGGTAAGCACTATAACTAATATTAAAGTTATACTTATTATAAATATAGATATACTATCTAAAGATAAATAAGCCTTAGACTTTATTATAAAATATATAGATAATAATTTATTCCTTAATAAACTATATCTTAAATAACTTAACCTATATCTAATAACTAAGGGATAGTAAGATCTTAAGCACTACGCTTCCTATCTTACTATAAATAAAGTTACTTATAACAAACGTCTAATAATTATAGCTAATATCCTATAAGAGATTAAGGTAAAATTAGTAAGGCGTAATAGTATATTAATACTAAAGTACTATATAGGTATTAGTATACTAGTAAAGAATATCTAATTATATATTTTTATATAACTAACTGTTACAGCCTATAACTATATTATATAGTAAGGTAAATAGTAAATAGAGGATATAAGTAAATTAATAGAGTAATAGACTATTATAAATAGATATATATTAGTTTAGGGGGGAAAATGATTTCTTAGCATAACAGATAGCAACTTTATATTTTTACACCTTATAGATAGTAAGGGCACTATTTTTTTAGAGGGGGCAGACTGTTACGTAAGCCTAAGGGCTACATAAAGCAGCCACCACTCCACATCAGCAGAGATAGATAGTTAATCAACTACATACACACCACCAAACCATGACAGTATGCCACCAGTAGGTGCCCAAAAGTGTAGATACAACAAGCAACAACTACACCACGATCCTACCACATATGTATATGTGACCTCGGGATATCCCTTCGTAGTGATTAACCAACAGCCCCTTTTTCTTTTCCGCCCCCCGCCCCCCTCCAACTTCTTCCACTCTATTTCTACCGGGTCTTCGGCCGTTTAGAGTTTGGACAATCGATCGTTAGCCCGCTTGTGCTCCTCACGCCAGGCAAGGTCGCCCAGGATTTCCTCACTTCCACCGCCAATGACTTTCAGGCGCAGATCCCTAGAGATCTGCTCTGTCATGGTCATCCCCTTTTCGTAGCCCATACCGCCGTGTATCTGCTGAGACTCCCTAACGGCTTGCTCGACAATCCTGCCCCCCTGAATCTTTGCCAGTGCGATCCTACTCGCGATATCTTTCGTTTGCCACCCGTGAACCTTGACGTGATAGGCGATTTGCTCCAGCCATGCCCAGTGCCCCTCGATTTCGCGCGCAAGCGTTGTAAGTTTGTGCCGGATGATTTGGTGAGAGGCCAGGGTCTTCCCGAAAGTCTCTCGGTCATGTGCGTGTTGCAAAGCTTCTGAAAGACAAACGCGGGCCTGCCTGTTGCAGTCAACCGTGAGAATGAAACGCTCCTTGTTAAAGTTGCGCGTAATGATAGGGAAGCCTTCGTTCTCTCTTCCCAGTAAATGATCGACCGGAACCTTGACATCTTCTAGAATCACCCACGAAGAACCGCCGGCGTTGTGCCCAGAGTTGTGGATCTTCCTGATTGTAATGCCAGACAAGGTTAGAGGCACGACCAGGAGCGAGATGCCGCCTTGACCTTTCTCTCCCATTCGGACCGCGGTAGTCATGTGTGTTGCCCACGGTGCGCCTGTAATCCATTTCTTGCGGCCATTGACGACGTAGTGGGCTCCATCAGGGGTCTTCTTTGCAGTCGTGCGTATCGCACTTACGTCACTTCCAGCCGTCGGTTCCGTGATGGCAAGACAGAAGCTGGTTTCCCATGTGAAGAGTCCTGGAAGCCATCGCCTCTTCTGCTCCGTTGTACCAGCAACGAAAATGGGTGGGGCACCCACATTTGACGCCCCGGCCAGTGCCAGGGGGACCCCACTAGGAATCCGAGCCATTTCGTCCATCAAGATTAGCTCGTGAAAGACATCGATATCGTCAAAAGGGATACCCGCAACGGTCATGACCTCCTCGGGCCGATACTCTCTGGGGACATCAAGGAACGCCAGTCCGGATTTGGCGAACTTCAGTCTTGCCGCCAGAGGCGCTTCGCCAGCCGCCTCCCACTCCTGCGCATGAGGGAGAAGGTAGGTGTCCACGTAATGGCGCACGTACGCCTGGAATCTCTGATGAGAGTCATTGTAGTAGGGACTCTCAAGCGCATTGAACCAGGCTGGCTCACATCACCTGTACCTAGCTGTCAGATACCGACTTGAAGAAACGAAGAGGGGACAGGGTAATACGGAGCGAAGCTGCCAAGCGTCTTGGCATAGGTATCGGACATTTTGCGATTCGGAGACACGTAGCGTGGGTTGTTGTTGTGGGGATGCAAGAAGATGGAGAGCCGGAGGTAGAGCGGGGCACGATGTTGTGGTTCGAGTTTCAGCAACTCTTTCAAGCTCTTAGAAGCGCCTTTTGACGATTGGGGGATAGATAAGCGCGGGTATGCTTGCGATCAAAGCGGTGTCACACTTCGTATATAGAGTTTGACATTGCCGAAGTGTTCCATATGCCGTTCGCGAGCAGACGTACTGATGATTGCGCCACGTCTAGCTGCCTATCCCATTGAGTGCGAAGTGACCTCACACAACCTCAGGCCAATAAGACTACAGCAATCCAGGACAACTATCCAATAGCTGTCGGTAATCATTTGCAGAGACCCACATTTGGGTTATGTGAGGTCACTTCGCACTCAATGGGATAGACCGCCCGCACATCCAAGCATGATTTCCGAGTCATGACAAGACATTTCCTACTGTTTGATCCTGTCTTCCGAGCAAAGTGGAATCAGCAAATCGACAACGAGACATTTCGGTAAGCAGCACGACTAGTACACTATATTCGGTCCGGGCTGTCTCACATATCGACAACCAAACCCACTGAACCACTTCTAGGTCACAGGGATATCAACTCTTATCTCCCAGATAGCATTGGCAAAGTTTTCCGAATGGGTGAAATAGGGAATTAACGGTTAAATAAATGGCAGCGCGCTTCTTGAGTCGCGCAGGTTCGTCTCATGTCACATGGCGTGTGAGCCACAGTTGCAGTACAAATGAGTGTGTATGATCGAAGTTATCTTCTCTAAGCTCTGTCTGTCATGGGCCCTTTTGGCCCTGAGGTACGTACTGTGTGTACGCAGCTACGTAGCTACGGCAAGTTGGCAACAATTATGGTTCCACTTTTGTGACTTATGCTATTCGCCACATTTGACTAGGGACTAACCCAGCTACACTATAGTCGACCGGAGATCCAATAGTTCAGAAGTTTTCCCACTTCTGGAGTTGACAGCTAGTTCGTTCATCCCGAGGAACTTGATTTGTAACGCGTTGATGAGATCCTTTTCGACATATCCCCGGAACATTGACTGCGCTGCATTTAGCTTTTTTCTAAGCGCTGCCTTCAGCCGCGAACACTCTTCCTCTATTGCTGGAGTGTATACAACGTTCATTGTGAGAAGATCCTTTCTCTTGTAACGATCGCTTGCACTCTTCCCACAGGTCAATCCCCGAGGACCGAAGACACGACTCGCTCGAGGTCCACAATATTGATTGAAACGGGTCCAATGCGGACGGCCGTGCGATCTCTTTCAAAAGACCCAGAGACGGATCAACCCACGCGGCCCGGTCTCCAGACTGGTAGCGGATGATGGGCAAAAGCCGGCGCTCAATATTCGTCGCTACCAGGCTCCCCACCTCACCTGGTACGTTTATAGGCTGGCCGTCATCGTTGAGAATTTCAACAACAATGTTTGGGCAGTTTACCTGGTGTAAACGGGGATTATGGTTATAGTGATCCTCCTTTGGGCGGCAGGCCGATGATTCCGCAATCTATTGATCCGTAAACTACAGATCTGACAGTCGTATTTGTAAAGGCGGCCTCCAGCACGCTAGCCTGGTCGTCATAAAACGCTTCCCCGGAGAACAGGAGCAAGCGGACGTATGGGTGGGTCTGTCCGGCGTTGAGGCTGCGTTCTGATAATTGCGACATGATTGTAGCCGTGGCGAGAACAACAGCAGCTTGAAACTCAATGGTTTGTCTCTCCATGGATTGCAAGATAACATGGCCAGCTATCGGAAGCTAGATAGCACCATTTGGCAGGTGGTAAGTCAACGTACCCACTTCCCGACCACCCAAAAACGCCTCATCATCCCCATCACCCTCCACTAGGTAAGTAATAGGTAAATAGATTTATAAAAAGAGGCCTATGTATTAAGGCCTAGAGAACTTACTATATTAGTTCTTGATATCTAAATACAGTTTCTAACAAGCCGTAAAATTAGACTAAAAATAATAGACTATACGTGCAGTATGATCATCTCTCGAGCCAATCACGTGGCCAAGTCATCAACCACAGAACAGATCAGCCAATGGTCGATTGAACGGCCAGCTAATTAGCCACCGCGCTAAACGGTCATTAGACTATGCATTAGTCTAGCGATTAGCCAAGCGTATAGCCATTTAGAAGGCCTAGGGCATGGTCTAATTATGGACTATAGGTTTGGCCTTCTCTATGAGAGGAGGGCATTCTAATAGTAATATACTAGAGGTCGCTAGCGTAAAGGAGGTTGGCCACCATGTCTCCTTGGACAACTCTACAACGGGACAGGCAATCTGCAAGTTGGAGTGAGAGTCTACAAAGTTCTTTCTGGGTGCGTGGTGGTACCTGGTGTCGCGTGTCACTCGAGTATTCTGTTCTCAATTGAAACCCACTCATCCCCTGTCTTGAATACGATACCATACTTCTGCTTCGAGGTTACCACTTTGCTTTCGAGGCAGGTGTTTGCCTTCCAGAAGGATTAACAATCAATAACAGGCAGAGTCGGGGAGACCACATTGCCCTTCTGAGCCCAATACGACCCCAGTACTTAACATAGTAGGGTAAGTTTGGCTTGACGAATTCAATCGAATCCGCCAAACTACCAGAGGCAATTTCGTTTTGTTTACAAACAGTCATGTTGTCGAGTTGATATGGTTCCCGAAGTGCGATGAAGTCAAGCTCAATAATCAGACTTGAAAGGTGCTAAAAGTCGGTGTGACTTACAACACGAAAGAAGACGCCAGGGAATTATTTTCTCCACAATAAACGGACAATCTGTACACTATTCCGCTTGGTCATGGGTACTTCTGCTCAATCCCAGAGTTGTCGTGATTGCAACGACCCCGAGAATGTAGCATTGAAGCCGATAGGCCTTGCTCATGGTTGTAGCAATGCGTTGTGGCAATTCTGTTCAATCAAGCACTGTTACACCGCTAAAAGCGAGGGGACCCAAGAAGCCCGTGTCTTGGAGCGACTAGACCATTGCTAGAACCTACGTCGAAACTCCGACCATGTATCCGTATACCGGACTACTATGGTATGATGGGTAAGTTTAAACTCCATAACAGGTAGTGTGGAGTTGTGACCCACGTATGAGAGACTCTCACTGGCCAGAATTATGATAGATGTGCACAAGAACCTCAAAGTACCGTCGCTGAAATAATCAAAAAAGCACGGCCACATTTACCTGACGAGGGGGTTAAACTTTGGCCTGATACCACAGTAGGTAAACGCGCGACTCGGTATGACGTGCACGAAACCGTTAGGCACATGTATCCTTGGCGGTCAGAATCCACCCTAAGGGATGGAATGACACATCATAACAGATGGTGGCTGAGATGTTAGCATCATCGCCTATCGCCCAGCCGACTCACGTTCGGGCTGATGCGGGCGAGAGAGGGATAACGGCACATGTCAAGACTTGTGACTGTGACCGCCTTCCCTACTATCTTACCCGTGTGGGCCGTAACATGCACGGTCCTTGTATCGAGCAATTCGGGGGTGTGATTGGAGAAGCTAGAGAAGTGCTAAAAGCTCCAACCAATTGAGTTTATCCAAATCGCATCAACGGAGGAGTCTTCATCTTCAGGGTCTTGCCGTATCCAGCGCCGCCCTGGAAGCAATGTTAGACCGGGTTCAAGCTCAAACACAATGTGGGTGCCATTTCCAAATCCGTCACAGCGAACAAGGGGCAAAAGTGTTGGGGTTGAGAATCTTTGAGTGGACTTTCCAAGCCTTTTTCTTACCCGTTCGTGGAACCGCACCCTTGGAAATCTTCTTCTACTATACTAGATTCAGCTTAGACCATTTTAAGCGATGAAACCCTTTCAGGGACACCCTGCGACTTTCGTTGCGAGATACGACTTCGTACTAGCTCCGCCTTTCTCAACATTAGGCCCTGATATCACTCACCGCCCGAGATTGTGGGCTGCCTCTTGCAATAAATTGTCCTGGTCACGTGGGACCGCCCTGCCGGCACGGTGCGTATTAAAGCGTGAGACATTCTTCAGCGATGGCTTTCCGTGGACAGTCGACTGCATAGCCTTGAGTGGCCAGCTATCGAGTCATGAAACACGTTGCGAAAGGCTCGAAGCCTAGATATTCTGTGTTGCTTTTGGTCAAAACACAAGGTTAGACCCGGTGACGAGTTACGTCTTGAGGCGACCTCGAACAACGCCAAACACTGTCACATTGAGCCTGTAAAATTTTCTGCCGCTTTGTTGTTGCCGGTGTGTGCCAATGCCACTGGGGCAAGGTGAATCCAGGCTGCTTTGGACCCCTATTTCAAGGATCGTCCTCAATGTGGGCTTTCCGGTCCACCTTTCATGCTTCCGCTGCTAAAAAAGGGGACGAGGAGACACGTTTCTCTCGTTGGCGGTCTGCTATCCCAATTTCCCCATCCTTGCTTAATCTTTTCCTTGACATCTGAACCTTCTGGTCCCTCCCCAACCTCGAGCAAGTGGGTAAAATTTTACCCTTTTCTCCGTTACCTCTCAGCTTCATTCTCTTCTGGCTCGCTCCTTCTTTCCTTCCTTCATCCCCGCCGGCTCTGAAGAGCTTTCATCGTTTCTCTGTTCATCCCAAATACATCTGGTGTTACAAAGAACACGAATCTTGAACAGCGCAGCTTGCATCGTTCCACCAGCAAACTCCGAACAAACTGCGAACGGCACAAAACAATGGCAGCTCGTCAACGTACCTCGGCCACCGTAGTGGTCGAGAAGCCCCAGGTTAGTCGGCAAACGGTTTCTGATGCTGCGCTATCGATCGGCGATTGAGATACTAATGCCCTCACAGAAGACCAATGAGCCTGTCTTCCCTGACATCCAGACCATCAGGGACGCCATTCCGCCTCATTGCTTTGAGCCCTCGCTTGTGACATCGTTCTACTATGTCTTCCGTGACCTCACCATGGTTGCCGGCCTCGTCTGGGCTGCTCTTACCTACATTCCCGCCATCCAGGACCCCATCTTCCGTGCTACCGCCTGGATGGTCTACGGCTTCGTCCAGGGTCTTATCTGCACCGGTGTTTGGATTCTGGGCCACGAGTGCGGTCATGGCGCCTTCTCCAAGAACACCAAGCTGAACGACTGCGTCGGCTGGGTTCTCCACTCTTTCCTTTTGGTTCCCTACTTCTCGTGGAAGTTCTCTCACCACCGTCACCACCGCTTCACTGGTCACATGAAGAAGGACATGGCTTTCGTCCCTCCCACGCAGCCCATGACCTCCAGCAAGCCCTTGTTCGGCAGCATCGATCTCCATGAGCTCTTTGAGGACACGCCCATCACCCAGCTCATCACCCTCATCGCCCACCAACTCTTTGGATGGCAGGCGTATCTCTTTTTCAATGCCACTGCTGGTAAGGGTAGCTTGCAACGCGAAGTGAGCGGTATTGGGCGTTGGTTCGGCGTCAGCCACTTTGGCCCTACCAGCGCTGTCTTCCGTCCCAACGAGGCCATCTTCATTGCCATCTCCGACATTGGTTTGGCCATCACCTTTTCCGCCCTGTACAAGGCCTCACAGGTTCTTGACGTCTCCACCGTCATGCTCCTCTACGCGGTCCCCTACTTCTGGGTCCACCACTGGCTTGGTACGCCCATCCCTTCCTCTCATCTTATCTTGAACACCTGAAGTCTTTGTTTGAGTTTCATATCCCGTGTCCATCAGGCCGCTAACAATTGCCTTAGTTGCTATCACCTACCTGCACCACAACCACCCAGAAGTTCCTCATTACACTGAGGAGGGCTGGACCTTTGTCAAGGGTGCCCTTGCTACCATTGACCGCGAGTTCGGCTTCATCGGCAAGCATCTGTTCCACGGTATCATTGAGAAGCACGTTGTTCACCACCTCTTCCCGTAAGTCCACCGCCTTTCAATCTCGTCGCCTGAACGGTTCACTGACGTCACGCAGTCGTATCCCTTTCTACAAGGCCGATGAGGCTACGGAGTCAATCAAGCCTCTTCTGGGTGACCTTTACCACCGCGACGACCGCAGCTTCCTAGGCCAGCTGTGGTCTGTCTTCGGCTCTCTGAAGTATGTGGAGCAGGATCCCAACTGCCCGGGTGCTATGAGATGGGCCAAATAAACGCAGTCATGGCAACTAGGTGAAGTTGTTGCAGATGGATGGATTCAGAGTCAGAGACATGGATACACTTTTAGACACAGACATCGTAGAGCCCGGGTTCGGGTGGAAAGCAGCACCCGCATAGAAATATAGACAAAGATAGAAGGTTTTTAGAATATATAGCTGGCTAAGGTTGAGAACTTATGAAAACGCACTGTTCATTCCCATGGATACGCACACCGCTCTCGTGTATTGTCGAACAACTCACGAGGAAAAAGATCATTCGGGAAGCGTGCCCCGTTCGTCGTCACAGGACGAGGGAGGGGTCCGTCTTCGAGTCTCTATCCCTTGTTTCTTCGCTAATTTGAGCAAGGAATTCTACCTTAGCATGTACGGCGGGGCTATTGTGCCACTTTCACATGTCAACCGGCCAGGATGACTATGATATAAGATATGTTCCAGGGTCCCGTTTATTAAACAGGGGAGCAAGGTCTGCATTTCCAGTGGATTCAATTACTATGACCACTTCCTGATTTGTTCGTTCCGGGATTTATCCCCCAAATATGCACTCACTCACCACCGAGTACAACCTCGAGACCTGTATCATCCCAGTACCATATCCCCTGAGCACATTCGAAGAACCAATACTGCGCGGGCAAACGGTAACGCGTATCGTGGCTGCTCAAGAGGGCTATAGCGCGTTTGCTTGAAACCACGGAGTTAGTTTGAGTGATCCAATGGGCCAAAATGGCCAATACCGATGGGTAAGTTGGCAGCATATCCGGGATGGATTTCCTTACCCAAAATGAGAGAAATCTGAACAGACATCACAGGGGCAAGCCTGCCATAAAGATACACACCACAGCATCACTCATTGAAGATGGATTATTGCCGTATGACGTACATGCATAGCGAGTCGCCTACTTCCTTATTGCACCTCAAAGAGAAATTTTTTGACTATTTGTTAAAGATCAGAATCCCAACTAAAATAGATGTGATCTTTGCTAGCACACCACATCGGACCTTATGACATTATGTCACGTAAAGTATAGGCAAAGATCTGATAAGAAAAACTCTATCTTGCAGAAGGAGCAACGTTTGGTGGTTAATGAATTTATACTTCCACTTTGCTGATATACTTCTAGCGCAAAAACAACGTTGTCAATTGTTAAAAGCAGCAATTTACGTTTCAGCATACCTAGGTACATTGTCATGATAGCTTTACACAGCACCTGTCGGGTGGTCTGTCAGGTGTCGTATCATGTGGTGTTTCACTCATAACTTGCATCACTCATGTATGTATACCCGGGGGGTTTTAGCGCAGCCAGCCTAATACCCCCGGGTAGAAATGACCCATGATATTTCCTCCAAGGGATCCTGATTCATGATACTCATGACACCCTGTGAGCTTTTAATGACTCATGTGTCCCGACAGTACGGATCTAACTCGTAGAATCCTTCTAGTTGGATCGGTGAAACACATGATAGTTGGGAGATGGCGTGGTTGAAACATCCGACCAGTCGTGTGTGAAGCATAGCTTCTGTGGGGTCCTACTGGGTGAAGAATCCATTCTCGGGACGATACCAATATTCGCGATGCTCCCCATCGGAGCGAGCACGATGCATGAAGGTCCCTTCTTGTCACCTGACTGGTATTATCCCAGACGCCACGAAACGGAAGACATTGGAAGGTCATTCCTTTGTTTTTTCATCTGCTCTTTCGGCCGTATCATCCCCGTCATCCTTTTTCCACCGGTATTCCTTCTCGATCCCTAATCTTCTTTGCGCCGTGTCGCACAACTTCATGTCGGCACATTCGCAAATCGCCGGCTCTCTAATCCATCGATAAGTGACACTCCATCGATCACCCCTCCTACGCACCGTGCCGTCTGGCAAAGTATCTGTCTTGCGCTTTCTGATGCCGTGCTTCCAATGCAGTCTCGCATCACCCGACATCTGCAGCATGCTCCGCGGCGTGAGGTCAACCTCCGTCATGTCTCCTTCCTTGCTCTCATTCACCGCAGGTCGCGTGAACTGCATCAGTACCGGCGATCCCAAAGACAGCGCGTACAACTGGTCATATGCTGAATGCGTGTCGACGTGTGGCGGTATACCAGCTCCAGGAGGATAGTACTGGATGCAGACCTGGTCCGGCGGCCTGTTCTCCCTTGTGGGGATTAAAGGAACAAGCCAGTCCGGAAACGGTGCGAATGGAATGTCCGGATCTACGCCGAACGTCTTGTAGTCGAAGGTATAGCCATAGTGCAACGACAGTCGGCCGGGCCGATCCGGCCACGTGAGCTCGTGCCGGAAAATGTGGATTAGCTTCTCTTCATGCTCCGCAGTGATAAAGTCGTCCTGCCAGAAGAGACCGGAAGGTTTGATAAGAAGCTCTTCCATTTTTTATGGCTCATGGACCGTAGCTGCCGCGGCCGGTGGAGTGATACCAAGATGTTGGTAAATGGACTTGGCGGTCAAATTTGAGGTTGACTCAGACAAAAATCGTGTTCTGATGTGGCACGCGCCACAACCCATTCGTTCCACATTGGTGGAACCGCAACTTTAGCTTGAATAAAGTGGGGTTACGCAAATAGGATGGGATGAGTCGTGTTCAAAGTTCCATGTTCATATCTTAACGCATATCAGCTTTCACAGTCTGAACCTGGAAGTAGGTGAGAAAATTCTCATTACAACATCACTATCACAAGAAGGTAGTTTCAGTATCTGAACGCTTTAAAGTCCGATTACTTTGGCTGCCAAGTTCTCTACATGGACAGCTTAGAGCGAGTTGATATATTATAGTCAGCGTAGGCTGATTGATACGATATACATAGACACAGTAGTCGCCATCTGGTTACTGTCGGAAATGCATGCGCGAAGCGAGCTACATAAGAACCAGTAATCTGTGAAATAATGTATTGCGCATAGGACTAAGAACTTGGCCCATAGTTACCTACCGTTGGCGAGGCATTCAATCGCAGAAGAAAGGAGAGGCTTGGTTGATTCTTAGAATGCCTCGGTATAATAGAGGGGGAAAGCGTCATATTACGGTAGCGGTAAAGAGAGCCTCGGTTAACCCGGTATACACACAGAACGAACTGTGTCTTTCTATGCATATATTTATGCTAGAAGGATCTATCCATCACTTTTGATATACTTTGTGCATCATATATAAAATCATGGCTATCATTGGCTAAATAGAACGCTATGGTGTTGTTTCTTTGTAGCCGAGTCGGTAAATGATGCCGAAACACTCCATCATCATAGATAATTTAGATGCGCCAGATTTATCTAGACAATTACTTTAGCAAGTATCTAGATTTCATACATACTAGATATAATCTATAGTAGTAAAGGTGCTATTGGGTAATACGGGAATCATCTTCTTCTTCTTCTACCAGTAATAGTCCTCTCACTAGGCCTACAATATAGTGACTTGCCTTTCTAGAAGGGCCTTTCTAGATACCTACTTATCATACCTCTTTTATACATTTCTAAACAGTTGATAAATAGTACAAGTATTTAACTCATTCTTACTTAGCGTTGCACTTTAGTGTAGGTAAATTAGTTGTGTATTTAATACCCTCTTTGTTTGCTAATAGTCAGGGGATTTATCTACAACCAATAAGAAGGCGCCAAAGACATATTCCTTTCAATTGGGATTCAATCTTACGGAACAGAGTCCGGCTTCGGCTTTGGGCAATCGTGGCGGCTCGCGAGACCGGGGCGGGTACGGAGCATCGCAACCCCCGAGATCGGACGACCAGTTTGGTCGAGTACACAAATCCCCGGTTTTTTGCCAATTGACCAAACTTCCGACAGCAACGATTTTGCCCAAAGTCTTGATATCGAAAGTTTGCGATCCTTAAAACAGTAAGAACCATGACTGCCATCAAAGATGCCCATCATGAACCGGTGAACATTGCCGATGTCTATGAAATCGCAAGAGAGAAGCTCGCCAAGCCAGCGTGGGACTACTATCGAACCGGTGCCGACGATGAGCTTACGCTCGAACGCAACCACGCAGCCTACAACGAGTGAGCCAGTTCCAAACTAAATTGTAAGTCGGCATGCTAAACAGTCTGTCTTTGTCTAGTATTCTTCTCCGGCCTCAAATGCTTCGCAATGTAAGCAGCATCGATACTACTACTACAATCTTTGGGAAGCGTTATGACATCCCGATTGCAATTGCCCCAACTGCGTACCAGAAGCTCGCCGGCGGTGAAGGCGAACTCGACGTTGCCCGCGCCGTCTCCAACCTTGGAACCAACCTCACACTCTCCAGCAACGCAACAACATCTCTTGAGGACGTCGAGAAGGCAATCCCTCAACGCGGTGCCGAGTACCCCCGACCATGGTTCCAGCTCTACTTCCTCGGAAACCGAGATCTCACGGCGCAATTGATCCGGCGAGCCGATAACGCAGGCTATGAAGCGCTAGTGCTGACCGTTGATACCGTTATCTTGGGCAACCGACTCCAGGAGCGGAGGACGCCGCTGGAGCTTCCTCCAGGAATCGCCATGGCAAACGCCGAGTTTGGCGCTATTTCCACGGAGGGTCTCCTCCTGCGAGCGAAGACGGCGGCGGAGTACAACAGAATCCAAGACGAGAACCGAGACCGTCTTGTCAACTCAAGCCTTGAGTGGAACGAGGTCATCCCTTGGCTTCGATCGCAAACCAAGATGAAGATCATTCTGAAAGGAATCTTGACGGCAGAGGATACCCAAAGGTCCATCGACGCTGGCGTGGACGCCATCATCGTTTCTAACCATGGAGGACGCCAACTTGATGGTGTCCCGTCAACCATCGAGGCGTTGCCCGAGATTACGGAGGTCGTGAGGGGGAGGATTCCAGTCATTATTGATGGAGGCATCACCCGCGGGACTGATGTCTTCAAGGCTCTCGCACTGGGTGCTGATCTGTGTCTTATTGGAAGAACAGCCTTATGGGGACTTGCGTGGGATGGACAGAGGGGCGTTGAGGGTGTGTTGAACATTTTAGAAAGGGAGCTGGCAAGAGCAATGGCGTTAATGGGCGTGGCGAAGCTGAAGGACATCTCCAGAGGATTACTTGGTCGCGCTAAACAGAACGGGTTTGGTGTTGCAAAGTTATAGGACCATGAATAGTTTGGTATTTCAATGATCGCTGTTTTGAGTGCAGTCGAACAAAAAATGATTCTCTTTTAGATACTAGATCTTAGAACTGCATCATACATCTCGCACTTAGCCTTAAAAGAGGCTATCTCTTACATTCGCTTGACAATGCATATCACATGGTCTCAATCCAAGCTCATTATAAACAACACTAAAGACAAACGGTTCCCTCCCAGCATCACCAGACTATTATAAGCTAGACTTGATCTGTCGGGCTTGATCTTTCGGCTAAAAAAGCCCCATATTGTTGGTCTGGCTGTGCGTGTAAGAATAGTTCCCCAGGAGACAATAAATGCGCTAACGAGTGTGTGGGTGGGGAAGTGCTGAGCGAGATAACTGGCCGGCTACTCTGCAACAAGGGAGGTGAAATATTAAATACTGGCAAGCCACGAAGATGGCTCTGGGTGGCATTGGTTGTCTCAAAGAGATCGAAGACGGCGGCCAAACTGAGGGCCTGCCAGTCGATGTAGTGTAACAAATATGCTTCCATGAGGAGGGATAGCAAGGGAAGGCCTATCTGAAGAGGGAGCAAATTGCGTCTGCCTCCTCCAAAGTTGCAGCCTTTCGATATATGAAGATACAACGGTGCCAGTTATGTCACTTGGGCCGTACCTTGCGAATCAGCCTTTTCTGCGCCTTCTAAGCTTCAAGAAGCTGGCGCAACTGAGCATGGTAAATACCGGTTTGTTGCAAGAAGATGTCGGCCGCGCCAAGACGCTCGACCGGCCAGCCTTGAGACCTTCGTCAACACTGCCGGGGCGGGAAGGTGCGTCTCCGCAATTCCCAGGTCCTTGGGCTTGGGTTGCTCTGCGTTAAGAAACGCTTCCGCGGTCATTGTGAATTCAGTACAGGGAAGTGGACAAGGCGAAGTTGTTGGTAACTAGTAACAAGGGTTGAGTCTATATTGGACGAAATGGACACAATCAATACGATCAAGAAATTTTCAATATTATTGCATGAGGGTTTGCGTCAAGCTACGTTGACCTGGACGAGAACAGGTGACGATGTAACGGGCTTGGGAAGGACGAGCTGTCTAAACTTTTCTGACGCAGGAAATACAGTTTGAAGATGCCTCTCTATTCATCGCCATTGAGGAGGGTAGTAGAATCTACCCGATATTGGCTGTGGCGCTACCCAAGACATTGCTCTGGGCCCCTAAATCAGATAGGCAGATGGCACTAATGCCAACGTCACTTGTGCTTGATAGCGGGCTGCTTCCGATGACATAGGCTAGATAGCATATCGGATGATCCACCAACCAAACTGATAAGATTCACAGGATTAAGGGTGCTTCCCCGCGTCGCAATGGGACACAGGCAACGTTGGCTTGAATGCCGTGGAGAACAAGTGGAGTTGCCGTGGGCACAGTAAGCTCCGTGCGACGTCGGGAAAGCCAATGAATCGGGAAATAGAAATGGACGCCGAAGTGGCTGTAACTCTCGAGTGGAGCTGCGTCGGCGAACCTCCGCCTTATCAGCATGTGCGTTGACTAACAGATTATCATTGCTAGCGTCCTTGCATCAGGAGTTGGCAATGATAGTGGTTGTGGACCTTTCCGCGGGGAAATATCAGAAAGTCAACGCCCGTTCAACTTCCCCGAGTCATCAGCCGATGAACGGACTGGGCAACTACGAGCCAACGTCAAACAGGTAGTCAAACGCCAAATTCGAAAAAGAAAAAGAAAAAAGCCGCTACCATGCCGGTGGTGACAGATCAACCCACGCCCCGGCCGTACAGGTCTCATCTTCGCCCGGCGTGCTTGCAATGTAGGAGGCGCAAGTCAAGATGCCAGCAGCAAGAGGGAATCACTTCTCCAACATGTCAGATGTGTCATGTCTACGGCACGGAGTGCGAGTTCCCACCCTCTCCGCGAAGCGCCGGCCACGCACCGCTCAACCCCGGAAAAGTCCAGAAACCCTACCGGACCCCGCAGGCCAGCACGCCATATCGACGTGAACCGCCCGCCCCAGTCAAGGTGCAGGCACCCCAGGGCGGCATAAGGACCTCGTCCTCGTCCCCATCAACGAGCACTGCGTCCAGCTCGGGCCCTAAAGCTCTGCTCGATGCGCACAACACTCACTTGATGCTGGCGCTCGATAGTCCCGAGGACGAGGACAACTCTCACATTATTGGTCCGGCGGTCACGAACGACACGCAGGTGTTGGCCGACTACCTCAGCTCCGAGCCCAGTATCCACGAGCGGATGATCCGGGTGGCCAAGCCCAGACCAGGCGCTCAGATGGGGCAGACGCCCCGTTCCACAACGGCGGGTGGCAACAGGAAGCCGGTTATCTTCACAGCTGTTCGGAAACGTCCATATGGTCTATCGCCGAGACAAACGGCGCCTTTGCAGAAGTACCAGCTCGTGGAAAAGATGTTGGAGCCATGGATATCCTCGCTGATAGACTTGTAAGTTCTCTTACACCGTTTTTGTTTTCACCCACGTAAATCTGTGTTCTGTTCTTACGTGTCTGCTGAAGTGTCGTGGTGCATGGTCTAAGCTTAGATCTCATCATGAAGCCGTGACTGACCTGAACACGCATAGATATTTTCAGAAAGTCAACATTTGCTTTCCTCTCCTGGATGAGGTTTCATTCAAACACCAGTTCAATACTGCAAGAGACAGAATATCCCCGGCACTGCTGTCTGTCTTGTATGCGCACTCCATGGTCTTTTGGAAGCACTGTCCGGACTTGCCCGCGCAATATTTCCCCGACTCCCGTTTTATATGGAACCAAGCAACGGAAACCCTGTTCACAGAACTCCACATCTCGCCTGGGATATCTACCATCATCGCAATCATCCTCAACGTGGGCGGCAGACCAACAACTTCAATGATCATGAACGAGATTCAGTTAGGATCCGCCGTGTCGCTCGCACAATCACTGGGTCTTAATCGAGACCCTGTAGATTGGAATATCTCCATGCCAGAGAAGTGTCTAAGGATGAAAATTTGGTGGGCACTAGTTGTTCATGACAAATGGTGAGGCAGATCGGTAGTTCCCCCGAAGAAACGTGACTGACAGGATAATCAGGCTGAGTCTGGCGTACGGCACCCCGCCACAAATCAAAAGATACCAGTACGACGTTCCAGATCCCTCGCTGGAGTACCTCGTTGCAAAAGATGCTACAAACGATCAAATCCAAGCCGCATCGGTGTTCATGGCCCTTGTCACGCTGACAGGTGTCCTCGACAAATTCCTGGACTACGTCTACGACCTGAACCCTGAGCGTGACCAGAAGAGCGGGCAGACCTCCCTCGACCTGGAGCTCAGTCTTGGGCAGTGGGAGGACTCATTGAGCGACGACATCAGAAGGATCATCACCCGCGGAAGCAACCTGCACATCCCCGGCGCCGCGAACCTGCGGCTGGCGTACCTCTCGACTAAGCTGCTGCGCAGAAGGATCGAGCTCGATCTCGAGAAGCAAGAAGACGCGATGCCCGGCGACGCACTGACGAACCGATACATCCAGGTCCGGCGGGCAGCCGAGGAGATCGTCCTCCTTGCGCAGGAGCTGGAAGACGACCATCTAAGCGACTTCTGGCTACCGGTCAGTGCCTTCACATTCACGTCAGCCATCACTTTTCTGCTGCGCTGTGCGCTCGAGACGGAGAACACGGCGGGCGGCTTGGCTCAGAGCGCATCACTCAAGTTGGCAAAGAACCTCGTGGACGCCTTACAATCTCACCGGCAGAACTCGGGATGGGACCTGGGCGATATCTGTTTGGCTCAGTATGCAGAGGTTGTTGAGAGGCTGTTGACTGCCGACAGCCCGTCCGCGACTGTGCCCGAGTTCCAACAGTTGATGATGTCGTCAGAGGTTCCCACCGTTGATGAACTCTTCCCCAACCTCTGGGACATGTTTTGATTAAAGTGGAAGACGATTCATGTGGTCATGTATTATGTATCTTTAGTTTATGATAACGGATGTTTATGTGCCGAGGATTAGAGCGGGGACCACGTATGCTTTGTTCCACAGTCCATGAACTAGAGCCTCCAGCTCTTTCATTGTTGCCCTCGCCTAGAACTATTGTCTTCCCCGCCCCCTTATCACCCTTGTCTGCAACAGGCAGCCATTTAGTACGGTTGCCAAGGTTGTGGCCTGGCACACCGGACAAGTGTACGAGTAGTGACCAAAGGCGGCTTCTGCTTGCTTATACTGAACCGATATCGGGAGGCCGACTATCCGCATACTCAGAGTCTGGGTCCATGGAAGGGTTAGGAGAAAGGGTTTCCAGCTCGGCAATAATCATCCTAGGTAGCTGCGGCAATGGAGGGCGGAAGAAATTCGTTCAGTATTCGGGTACATATGCAGTCATGGAAACATAAACAGCTCCTTCATTATGAGTTGAGCCGGACAGAATGGAATCCTGTTCCACTTATCCCACTTCTATCAACCCAGAAGACGAGCTGCGGCTGAAGGCAAACCAAAAGTCCATTTTCGACTCAGTCCCTTTTTGTCTGGTGTTGAGATCATGGATAGGTAAACTTTGTTTTTCTTTTTTTCACCCAGTTAGAACGGCTGTTACAGGAGGGGTAGCCGGGTATAATCTTCGAGGTTATATAATCTAAAGCGAAGGGGGAAGCAGTGCTCTCGCCACGGTGGACAGAGAAATGAGCGATGATAAGCGAATGAGGCCAGGAAATTCACGGGTAGTAGTGTTGGCCGACGGAGTTGCACACTGTCCCCCACACTTTTACGGCGGTCTCGCCGCTGGAAACTTCACACAACTATACTCCGACCAACCGGAGCGGCGGGCCACCCCAGCCTGGCTTTTTCTAATTTGTCAAAAAAATAGAACGTCAAAAGATAGTAGCATCTGCTTTATTTTTGTATTTCTGGCAAATGTGATGCCATGCAACAACGTAGTCGATTAGGGTATGCGTTGGATATAAAAAATAACAACAACAGTAACGACAACAAGAAACGAAGTGAATCATTCATACTCCGCAATTCTATCTATACCGCACCTCCACTGCTTTTTGTGTCTTCGGTATTAATCCTCTTCCATCGACAAAACAGACTGATGATACAGGCCAGACCGGTTGCACCAATAGAAATTGCAAAGGCAGCTTTGATGCCGGACATGTATGCCAAGACGATGCCTGACACCTGATCAGCCGGAAACATGGTTCGGATTTGTGTGGCACCCGTGTCGATGACCGTGATGGGGTCAACGGCAGGGGCGGAGGAAGGGATGGTGTCGATAATGGTGTTGACGAAGGCTGCCTGGGCCGCGGAGACGAAGGTAGCGCCGCCAAAGTTCATGAAGACTGTGATGAGATGCTGTTAGCAAAGCCCAGACAAGGTTGGAGATGCGGAAGGCAGGAGTTCATGGATGACTTACACAGGACCATTGCCGTTACCGTGGAGATGTCGCTTGCGGAAGCACTAGCCTGGCCAACGATAATCGGCAGCTGCCATGCCATGCCCCAGGCAACGCCCCCGAGAATCTGGTAACCGATCCACTTGCCCGTGCTCGTATCGACACTGAGGGTGTAGAGCAACCCGGAGGCGATCGTGGCGATGGCGGCGCTCGCGAGCATGACGGGAGCGGCGAGGCCAGTGGCGCTGACGAAAGCCCCAGACGAGATCATGGCAATGGAAATGGAAATAATGAGGGGCAGGTTGTTGACCCCCGACATGGTAGGGCTGACGTTGAAGACACTCTGGAAGTAAATGGGGAGATAGTAGATGACCAGGAAGCACGATCCGCTGAAGAAGAGCGTGAAGAGGCAGGCCGTGCCGATGGGACGCTGGGTAAACAGCCGAGGGACAATCATGGCGCGTTCGCCTTGAAAGTACTCCCAGATGCCGAAGGCCACCAATATCAAGATGAATCCGACTAGCAGGCCAACTACAACGCTGCTATTCCACGTCGCGCTAACACCGGCATATTGGAGGGCCAAGACGTACGAAAGAAGTGCGCCCATGATCATGGCGACGCCAAGGAGATCCATCTGAAGAAGCTTCTCCCTCCATGACGCGGCCGTTGGTTTCGCGGCATCCGGCGCTTGGAAGAAAAAGAAGATCATTAGGGCCGACAGCCCGCCGATGGGCAGGTTGATGTAGAAGCACCAGCGCCAGGACACCCTATCGGCGAAGACACCCCCTAGCAGGGGCCCAACGGCGGACGCAATACCGTAAGCAACGCCGACGATGCCGAGGTACATGGACCTCTGCCGTGGCGGCGCAACGAAGGCGATGATGGTGTAAGCCCCGGTGCCTAAGCCGGCGGCGCCGACGCCGGTGATGGCGCGGCCGATAATCAGAGCGGTGGATGTGGGCGCCACGCCGCAGATGAGGCTCCCCAGCTCGAAGACGAAGAGGGCAGCGAGGAAGGTGGGCTTGAGAGGGAAGTACTTGTAGGCCTTGCCCCAGGAGGATTGGAAACCGCCATTGGTAAGGAAGAAGGCGGAACCGTACCAAGAGACGTCAGAGAGGCCTTTGAATTCGTCGGTGATTTTGGGAATGGCTGTTGCGACGATTGTCTGTGGCCCAGAATCGCGTTAGAACGGTCCATCTCTATATTTCTTCATCTCTTCATATCTTCACCCGCCAGTACACTTGTATATGGCTGGGAAACCGGGCAGAGGTGGACTGACCATGTCAAGGGAAGCGAGGAAGATGGCGAGGACGAGGGAGAGAAGGATGACGGCCATCTTGAACCCAGACGGGTACTTTGTTGTATCATCTCCTAGCGTCAGCTCGTGGCCGATCTGTTTGGCGTCGAGCTTGGTGGATTTGTTTACCTTGTCGTCATGTTGGAGATCGGCTGCAGGCGTGGGGCCGGAAGCCGGGACGGTATCTGGTCCTCTCTTCTTCTCAGCCTCCAAAGAGGATATGGTTGTCGTATCGCTGTCCATGGATGCTGAACCTGAGATTGTTGAATTGGAAGAAAATCAGGATGTGACGAGGACACTGTTGACTTTTTGGAAACACCGAAAAGTCTTCAATTCGGCAAGTGGTTATTTAATGAATCGCACCTTCCGGCAGGGGAGCAGCTGTTATTGCCCAAAGAGGAAAGAAGCGCACAGGCCAGAAATGAATCATCGCGACTCACTTTTCCTCACTTCAGCCACCTAATCAGAATATCCTTGGCGCACCGTAGTCATCCAGTTCCATGTCTCCCATTTATGATGCACAATGATAAAATATAGTCAGTCTATTCTTTGTCTCAAAATGGACTCTCTCGGGTGGAATGCCATGCTGTTTTTGTCCCGATGGCCACCCGGATTCCGACTGCATGCTAACGCTTGTCTTGGAGTGGTTTCCTAGTACCATTCGGTACTTATGGAACTTCTGCCATTTTGGAACACTCGCCAGACTTTCCTTGCTATTTTGGCACTCCCTTTTCCCCCTCGAATAGAATGGTATCCTTACGAACATCAACTAGATCGCCAGTTACAGACCGCTCTATCTATCAGGAAGCAATGTACATGGCGTAGGCCGTCAACCAAAGCCTCACCGTCATCCGAACGTCCGGCGACGTCGAGGATCAGTCTCCCCGGTTACCGCAGGGGCGTCTCAAATCTTGAACTTGGGCTTGGCAGGCTTGGTAGAGAAAATCTTCTTGGTCCGGGTGGGCTTGGACGGGTCGGGCTGCGTCTCGGGCTGGGCCCCATTGCAGTCCAAGACGCCGAGCTTGTTCCCGCCAGTCCCAGCGTACCAGGCCGAGCGGATCAGACCAAAGTCGCAGGTGAAGCCGGGCGCGTGAAAGCGCCACTCCATGTAGCCGTCGGTGCCACCGCAGTGCGGGTTGGTCAGCATCCTGCAGCCGGGAAATTTGCGGAGGGCGGCCCAGAGGTTCCCGCACATGCCCGGGATGTCCTCGACCCCGGCGGCGGTGACGTTCATCCACGCGCCGAAGATGCCCCAGTGCTCCCATGTGCAGGTGGGGTGGTAGAAGTAGGGCGCCCCCGGGCGCGGGGGACCGACGACTATGGCGTTCGGGGCCTTCATGGGCGGGTGTCGAGCGGTTGCATGGGCGTATGCCGCGAGGGCAAGGGTGACGAGGGCGGCGAGTTTCATTTTTTTTATATCTTCTTTCTTTCTTGTCTCTGGAGTTGTTTATCTTCCTCGATTCCTAGTATTGCTCGAAAGCGAAAGCCGACACAGGCGGCTTATTAGGTAGTGGACCGGTCGGATTCTGATGTTTGTGTGTGTGTATATGTGTGTAAGTGGCAGGTGGGATGTTGTCTAAGGTTGATGGAGAAGAAAAAGACCAGAGCTCCATCTCCAACCGCCTTTTATATACCTTGCTTGCTGAAGAGTGAAGCTATCTCCGCGTTCGCCGCGAAGCTGCCGACCTTCGTGGGTAGGTTCAATAGAGCCATCATCGCCGGTTGTCGCCAACATCCCAGCGCCCCACACCTACCACACCGTTGTCGAGGTTGTTCGTATGCAGCCATGGTCGAGGCGAAGTCTGGTTCGGTAGTTTCTTTACGCTATCAGGTTTTCTGTACCGTAACAAGACATTGAGATATAGCATAGTTCGCAGGTGCTGCGCATTGGGGATTTACGGACCGTGATATTACATATTTACCGAGCACTAGACTGCTTGTGGGTGGGTTTAGAGTGATCATATTCATTACATTAATAGACATATGCGGAGGAAGAATGGCTGAAGTTTTGAACAAACTGATGCACAAGACACGTCAAGCTGTCCATCTCTGGACCGTGAATCTACCTGCTTGTGACTACGTCTGTCCCCTCTCCAGGGTATTTGTGAAGTCTAAATATCTACATCCTCGCTGTGGTGCTTGCCAATGCGTATTCTAGCTCTACGTCCTCTTCGGGGCGGCGTGCATTAGATGGTGAAGTTGAGAGGGATCATGTCCATGTCAGAGACAGAGTTAAATGCCCCAAGAGGATGCCAAAGTGTGAGTGGAGTCTGGCGATCGCCGAGGAACTTTGACGCGAAGCCAGCTGGGGGCGGAATAATCCGCGCCTGTCGGAATTTTAGTTTCAACCGTCTTGGATCATCGTCTAGCTGCTCGTAAGGATTTACCAACGAACGAGGGCCGCCGTGCGAGGTTGATATGTCATTATTTTTCAATGCAGCGACGCAAACCTCCCGTCCCAAACAGCTGTGACCTGGTATCCCGGCCCCTCTTCCACATCCCTCCCGACTTCCTCCCAGTCCGATTCGAGTCTCCCCCAACCCCTCTTGTACTTCTGGCATTTCTATGTGCATTGAGGTTACCGTCTGGTACCTACGTGGCTTCGCCGATTTGCTCCTTTCGGAAGCCTCGCATGTCTTGCAGCTGTTGGCCATATTGTAGCAGGGGTCTCTTTCAACGAGGCCATCACACATGCACACAAGGGCGAACGAACGCGAACGATCAAACAGATATCGGTGCGGGGGGTTCTCAACTACCAAAAGCTCACTGCTCACTGACGCCTCAGCGCCCCTTACTAGCTGGGTTTGTGAACGTTCTGCTTCTTCATATTTTTGGAATTCCCACGTCTCGAGTTGTGCACCGCTTTCTCGGCATGCCCCCCACTGTGCCACTACGGCCCGATTCCGTCTGTTCCCGAATACATCTCGACGCCCATTTTAACCCCACAGGCTTCATCTAGAATGCGAATATGCAACCCCGCCAGCTGGTTCTAGACCCTCGCGTCCATGTATCTTTGTCCGGTACCGAAACACCAAAAAACACCTATGCCGATTGCTGCCCAAAGTCATTCTCTCAGGCGGAGTGACTACCCAGAACGCCTTATCCGAACTAGCTGCCCGCGTCGCAAAAATCACCCAATATGCTCTTCTTCTACTCGGTCCAATTGTGCTATATTACCTGGTGGCTCCGTGTGTCCAACGAATGAATGGTAACAAAGGTTTTCGCTGTATTTTTGCACCACTCGTTCAAATAGCCCAGCTACCTCGTCTTTCTCGTACACCCCATGCGAGGGGGTCGAGGCTGTCTAGGTCCGGGTGTTGCCGCGCCCATTCGAAGATGTACATCTTCAGGGCCCTCCATCTCGGACATCTATTTTCTTGCGCCATCTCAGCCTCGGCGGGCTGCATCAGGTGGCCACTTGCCATCTGCTTGGCATCGTCCATTTCCAGCTCCTCGATACTCATGTGCGAGATTTTGGAAAGCTCCTCGTCGAACGCACGTGCCATGGCGGGGTACCCCAGCGAGAGATAGTTGTAGACCTGAGTGATAAAGGTGTCGTCGAACTCGCTGGCAATCTTTTCTTCCAATGCTTTTTCGCGCTTCAGGCGTTCTTCGAGACCAGCGAGCATGTGAAGACCCTTTGCCTCGCCGGATCGGACACGGTGTTCGACAGCACCGGTAGTGAGGGTGGTGGGCGACCCTGGCTCGTCCGTCACAGAGCCCTTGGCAAATGCTACAGCAAAGGGATCGGCGGACGTAGTGGGGGGGAGTGGCGTATGCAGCATTCTAGGCCCGTGGAGGTGAGATGGCACAATGGCTTGATCGCTCTCGCTGTTTCGGAAGCAGTAACCCCTCCACAAGCCGGCTTCTCCCGTACTATCCCTGTTTCTCTCTTCCGCGGTCGGCCCCTCTGAGAAGGGATGGTCGGGCTCGAGTTTTGTGTGCTTCGGCGAAGGACACTTTCGAAAGACGAGGTCCTTGCCCAGCATCGGCGGTGAGGCGGCCTTGCGCATCCTGCGGAACTCGCTGGTCTCGGGAGGAAGCCCGAAATTGCCAAACGGCCTACCGAAACCGCCGCCGCCGGCCTTGCTGAGGCCTGTCTCGGGGACGATCTGCGCGGGGGCGGCAATGGGGACCTGGACCGGCTTGCTGGCAGCAGCGGGTGGGATGTAAGGCATCGCAGTCTCGCCAATTGGTTTACTGAGTGACTCTGGCGGGGGAAGTTCTGGCCGGCGAGCCTCGTCGGCGACGACCGGGGTCGAGGCGATTAGTGGCATGAAAGATTCGCCAATCGGTTCTAGTGCCCCTTTCGGCGGATTGGTGTCGGTGGTGTGATTTCTCTTGTTGGTCAGCCACATGGCATCAGGGGGCCCGTCGAGCTCCATCCTGTCGAGCTCTGAATCGTTGTGTACATCGTCATCATCGTCGAAAACGGGAGCATGCTCGCCTCTGGCCACAGCCAGCGTCTCGGCATGTTTTTGCATGTGTTTCTGCCAGTATCCCACCTCCGACGACTTGCGGCGGGGGCCGTGAGCATGACGGGTGCGCGGCTTGGTCTCGGAATCGGTCGGTTTAGGCGAAACGCTCTCGGGAGTGCTGTCGTCTCCGGAGCTCTCCCTGTAGTAGAAATGGGCGGCACCTCCCTCACGCGGACGACTGTTGGGAAAGGCTGCGAGGGCAGCCTCCTGCATTTGTCTCTCAGCCTCCAGGGCTGCCCATTCCAACATGTAGGTGCCGGCATTCTCATCCTCCGACTCTCTCCTTGCGCCCTTGGGCTGTCGTTGAATTGTTTGGGAAAAGGGCGACGAGGCGCCATCATTGACCTTACGCCTCGACTTGTTGCGTTGGAGGTAGATGTGATTCGTGTAGGGGGTGATGTCGGTTTTGTCGGCTGGTCGCGTGGCGGGGCCGGCGTCTCCTACTCTTCGGGCGCGTCTGGAGCTCTCGATAAGTTGAGGGGCAAAGCGGCGCCTGGGGGGTTGCGATTGTTGGGCATTGTGCAACTGATGCAGTTGTTGCTGTGCTGGCTGCGGCGGCGGCGGCAGTTGCGCTTGCTGCTCGAAGGGATTGGGAGAAGGGGTTCGCGGGGTATGTTCGGGGGTAGGCTCAGGAGCCGGGCCTGGGTGCTGGTTTTGCGTCTGGGTCTGATGCTGTGGCTGCTGCGGCTGCGGCTGTTGCAGAGGGCCCTTTCGAACAGACTCAAAGGTGGTCTCGATGGGGACGGGGGCGAACCGCCTCCGCGGCTCGTTGGATTGAGCCATGGGCGGAGGACGGCGGATGGTTGGATGGAGCTCACAAATGGAAGGTTATCGAGGCAGTGGTCCGAACGACAGGTCGGAATGGTAGGGCAGAGAATACAGGACGGGATGTGTGGATGGGGTGAACAGCGATTGCGTCGGGGAAGCCTGTTTTTAGTGCGAAGGGGGGAAGCGATCAGACGAAAGGATGACGGTGCTCCCGGTGTCGGTTGAGGAGGGGAATTGATGTGGTGGGAGAGGTTGGCTTGTGGTTGGGTAAGATTGCCGTGGCCAGTGTCACTGGTGCAAGGTGTAGGTGGTGGCCTTTCGACGCCGCAACAGATATATATTGAGAAAAAGAAGAGAGAAGAGAGAAGGATGGGGAATATAAGGGGGTTAAGGGAAAAGCAAACGGATCGTGAGTTCTTGTCGAAGAATCAGAGGCGAGGTACGTTCTTCTAGTCTGCGAGCGAGAGAAAGACGGGGGGACAGAAATAGCTAGGGGCGGCGGTGACGGGTCACAAGCGTGGAAGCAGCGAGCGACACAAGCGCACTCACACACACACACACACACACACCACACATGCAGCGAAAGTCGGGAGCAGCAGTCGCAAGGAAGGAGCCGAGCAAGAGTGCAAGCAAGCAGGCAAGGAAGCAAGCAGGAGCGAGAACAATAATGCCATACCCGATAACACAGTGGGAGAAAGTACCCTGCTTCGGTACGTACCCGGTACTTGGGGACGTTCGGGGAAGGCGCGCTGCTCAATATGGCGCTCTCGCCGTCAGGGGGGGAGGAGTCGCGGGTTGGCAAGTACTGAACCGTATGGATACTTGATACTTCAAGGTGTTGGTCCCCTGCCCTTGCTCAACCGCCAAAATGCGCATCTCTGCTTTTTTCTCACCTAGGTAGATATGTACCTGTAGGATGTAGTAAAGTAGGTAGCACATGATTAAAGCAGGACTAGCAGAGTATCACTTGCGCACACTAGGTAGGCTCACGCAGGACAACAACAGCAACAGCAACAGCAGCGTAGAGGACGAACAGCCTACGCAGTAGGAAGGCGGATACGAGGGTGTAGTGGGGTTCGGGCAGGTTGAAGAGTGGGATGACAGATACGTACCGGTACAGTCCACATGATAAAGCCAAGCACTGTGTCGCGTACTGCTTGCTCTTGCTGCTGGCTGCTCGCGGGGCAGCAACCACCGCCATTGACGCTGTGGAATGAATGATGCCATGCCACTCACTCCTTGCCTCGCCGATTCTTGTCTCGTCTCTCTCTCTCTCTCTCTCTTCCTCCTCCTCCCTGACTTGATCCGCCGCCAAGACGTGGGAGCTCGAAGAAGGCAGCAGGTATCCGTACGTACGTGGTCATCCTAGGTATTTTTGTCACTCGCTACTCCATTATCGCTTGGGTAAAACAATATTTGAAGGAAAACATGGAAAAAACGAAACGCTTCCTTCAAAAGTCCAGACTCGAAATTCGCCAGAACCCTCCCGCCTTCCCACCCCCCGCCCCCGAGGTAGTACCAACCCGTTGCCTCCCCGCCCTCCGCTCTTTCTTCTCCGCCCTTTGTAGCTCGAGTCGAAAGTGAGAAAAGGGCCGCGGCGCGCGACCGAGACACGGACAAAGAGTGCCGGACAGATACCTACCCAAGTATCCTCCGTAGGTACGGATACGTGTGCGGATAGACAGAGAAACACAGTCGCGATTCGGCAAGGCCGCACCTTGCAGGTACATGTGGCCGCCGCCGCCTTCCTCCTCTCCCCTCGCCCAAATCCACCGCCACCGCTTGCTGCTCCTTGTACCTCGACCGTGGGTCTGTCTGCGCGGCTCAAGAACATGGCCGCAGGGGTCTTTTCTCGTCTCGCCTCCTCCCTATCTTGGTCCCCTCTCTTTCTCCCCGAATCTCCAGTCTCCAGACACTATCTCCAGATACCCATTTCTTCCGTTTCTCTTCCAATTCTGGTGCTCTATTACCCGCCTTTTTCTCGTACCCTCAACATTCGATATCCACTGCACCATCCGTGGAGACGTGGGCTTCTTGGCCTCATGATTTGGGATGGGAGCCGATCCGGCCAGGGCACGGCAGGGAAGAGCCCCGCGACGCTGCACCTGACTGACTGACACTACCTTTGGCAGGACTCTGAATGAACGCCAAGGCTCCCGCACGCAATCTATTAGGTATGGCATTTCCGAATGCCGCAGTCTGTCTGTCTGTCTGACCTTTGACATCATCACCTCAACCGACCTTGGGGCGAGACATCCCGCTCCAGGGCACCAGAGCCCAACCCGCAAGCCACAGCCATGCCCATGATCCATTCAGCATACCACCCCGGTCTGGACTGGGACCAACTTCGCCTCGCCTTCTCCTATACCTATTTCTCGTGTCGACCTGGACCCGAAACTGGACTGCGGGTGGGAGTTCCAAATGAGCACACTACTGCGTACTGGGGGCGGATGCCACAGACCAGACGAGACCGGCACCAGACCACTTCTAATGGACGAGGAATGCTTGGCCGACTCCGACAGGTAGGTACCACTGCCGACGAAAGACGTTGGTCATTAGCCCGAGCAGCTTCGAACTCTCTGTCGACCTGCCTACCTATGTCCCATGGCCAAGGCCTCGACCAAAACCGACGCCAATGCAGTAACATGGGGAGAAGAGGGGCCCCCCCTAGAGACAACGGCCTGTCAGGCTTGACGGAGACGGCGCCTGGTCGCCTCCAGATCCGTCCCTGATGCGGCCGTGCCTATCAAACTGGGCCAGCCACCCTACACTCGGCCAAGGCCCAAACTTTCTCCAACTCTCTGCCCTCGACGCTGTAATTAGCTCGACAGCTTTATCATGGGGTCAGTAAGCGAAAACGCGACCTCCAGAATCCACTTCATTCTTTCCTCTGTGCCCTTTGCCCTCAGACTCGGATTATCTGTCACTGCCCCGCCGCAATTACCAGTCGTCTCTGCCCAACTATCGCACAGTCCTCGAGCTCGTCTCCCATCTCCAAAAATGAAAGGCTAGTCAAACCGGGCATATCACATTTGGCATCATCCACCTTGTCAATGCTTTTTTAGAAATGGAGCTTCTTCAGGAAATGGCATTTCTTCCATGGCCCGCAGTAATTTCGCAGTCCCGGGACACCGTATTGCTGGAAATGAGCAATTGAGGCGTTGACGTGGCTGAGATGCTATTTACGATTCAAGCCCCGATATTACCCACGAGCCCTGACTGAACACCATTTCCAAGGCCGTCCAACACACGATTGTCCTGGGCTGGGCAGCCATCGGTCAGGGCATGTTCTCTTTCTCCCGGGCAAGCCTCCCGCTGGGCCTCGTTCATTCACGCGCCGCACTATGTGACACTAACCGATACCTCAACTGACGCCATGCTGCAGTCTTGGAGACTGGAAATCATCGGATGACTGCCGCTTTGGATCCAGTCAGTTGAGCAAGCCCTGTTGAGCCACGCAACCAAGCTGTGCCCATTATCAAGAACCACATTGTCCAGGCTTGCCAGCGCATCAATCCAAAGCCAAAAAACCCATACCCACATCCCACCCCCGAGAATGCGCAAGCAGGATACAATGAACAAACGTGTCGCAGGGGCCGGGCAACGGCAACGTCGTCCGCGCCGGCATATTGCGCCCCCTCGAACGTCAACTCTGGTACGTTTTCTCGCACGGCCAATCTTCTGAATCTCCCCATCTCGGCCGGCATTGGATAGGCGCCTCGTCTGGATCACCACACGACAGTCTACCAAGCAAAAATTCCTGAACAAGCTCACCAACGATTATCGGTCCCCCATGCTCGGTTGAACCCCCCACACCGCTGCTCTTCCAACTGAAAGTCTCCCCCACGGGAACCTAGAAGCCAACACCTCTGCCCGTTATCTTGCTTGCGACCGCATGCGCCTGAGACATCATCTGGGTCATCAATCTATTATGTAGCTCTTACTGGCTTAGTAGTTATCCATGACGATCACTTGGAGATTGACCGATACCGGCATTATGCTGTCGCCATGATTCGGCGCACTCTTTGGTCAAAGACTTGGCCCATCCACAGCCAACACATCGTGAGCTACGCTCGCCATGGCTGGCTCCGTTGCGATGCATAGAGCCATGGACCAAGGAGCCTCGGAACCTCCAGTCCGGCTCAGCTTCGCCTGGGCCGGACACCAATCCCGGCCGGCTTGACCCGCGAGACTTTCCAGGAAGTCGTCGCTCCCGGCGGTTCTGAACATCGTGATCCGCTCTTACCAGCTTCACATCCGAACACCTAGGACAACGCAAAGTCACACGTGCCCGATTTCTGCTTTATTCTGCCACGCGCGCTCAAAGTGATGCTACCCTCCCTCTGCAAGCCACATGCAAAGCAAGAAGTTCTTGTGAATATCAGGCGTTAGAACTCGAAATGATTGGTCAACTGGCCATCCCCTGCGGCCGCTAAAGGGTCCCTGATGCGTCTGACACACACCGCTCAGCGGGCTTTTTTGTTGAGACCAGTCAGAGTCGGGAGAGTGGTGCTACCAACCGCCCTGTAGCCCGTCTCGAGCTGAGTCGCGGGCATGGCTTGGATGGTTGGCCGCCCCGTCCGGAGTTGACTCGTTTTGTCCGCCTCGGAAACCATCTCTCGCTCCCGCGGTAGCGCAATAGGATGCGGTACCGGCTACACCCGCAGCCGACTGGCAGGGCAAACACCGTCCCCGCGTTGTCGGTTCCACTCTGGGCCGTTAGTCGCCGGCCACTGGCCGGCTTGACTCGCGCTTCGGGCGGAACGTCCGTCTCTATCGTTTGACGCTATTTCTCATGTGATGCGGGAATCTAGGACTGTCGGACCCGGCTACTGAAGGACGCTTTGCTGTTGAACTTTCCAAGAATGCCTCTGGAGATCAAATATGAGGGTGAGAGTTATGGGCACTGTGCCGCCGATCTGGGCTTCTATCTTGTTTGCCCCCCACCCTCCCCAGGACCCTTTGATGATCTTCCAGCCATGACTCGAATCGCCGCATTCATGGCATCCAATTGCGTCACACAGACGCCCACTGGAGATCGTTGCTACCGAGATCGACACGGGATTTGCAATTCTTGTTATGACTTCTTGGTGTAACTTTGCTGGACAACTCACCGGACCGCAGATTATGGTTACGATTATCGTCTTGCTTAGCACTACGTTGCGCGTTGTCGTACGAAATCACAAGGAGGTCCCTTAATCTGCCTTGGTTGGTCATGCCATTCCTTTTTCGGCCACTGAGCTGCTATCCTGGTGCCATACTACTCATCTCTATGACGGTAGAGCAAGTCGACTATCAGACCTGGTCTGGCATATCAGCTCCGAAGACAGCACTGCTACCATAGAGCACATCGAGACGAAATCCGCCAAATCTATCTCAGTTCTGGCTAGATTACATATACAGTTGCCTGCACAGCAACCGAGCTAGCCTTGCCCTCTTTAGTCTTCCCGGAAGATGAGAGTAAGATGGGATTACCATTAACTTCACCATTGCCTACACCGGCGTATCACACTGCCGTTCGTGTAGAATGCTAAATGGACGCAAAAGCGCCCTCTTTTCCTAAAAAAGGAGTTGAAGTTCGACACCGCATTCTCTAAACGTGGCCGGAGGCCGAGTCGGGTACGTATGACGGGGACGCAACTAGATAACTAGGGGAGCCCTGCTACGCATGTGTAACGTTGGATGATGAGTTCACGGGATAACTTGTCAGCTAGACTTGACAAACCGACTTCCGTGCGATTCCAAGCTTGTCAGTCTTTGGTCACGGGGGGTCAATAGAGCAGGGCTTGTTGCAGATTATTGAGGACCTGCTTGGACTGCGGGATGCTGCAACGATGGTAATAACGGCACATCACAAACTCTGCGAAAACTTTCAACAAGCTAATATTAACCATATACGCTGTGTTACAGACCTCGAACTGTAGAGGCGTCTGGTATTATGACGAAGATGGCATCACCGCAGCCGATACAATCAACAGCTCGCGATCAGGGTTGTATGACCGGGACATCTTCGTCTGATATCGTGACGAGTACACCGATGGAGCATCGGCCAGAGAACAGGGACGGGGAGACGGCATACACCGGATCTGACTGACCTATCCCAGCTTGTCTATACATGCACGCCAGGTTACTCTACGAAAATTGAGTCGTCCGTGACAAGCCGGGGATGGTGAAGAGTGGGCTTCTACTAACTGCCTTCAACACATGCAGTCTGACGAGTTAGCTACCCATCTGATAGCACTGGTTTCTGACATGCATTGCAACTATCGATCTGCTAATCAGTTCCAACTCAATCAATCCTAGCGCTGGAGGAACCAGCCGTATCGCCGTACCGGGTAGAGAACCATCACGAGATCACTCCTAGGTATCGTCTGGTCCGGTCCGGGGGATACGGTCAAGAGCCGTAGGTTGCAACTGCAACCGCAACCGCGATATCCAAATGCGGCACGCAGCCCGAGAACGGGAGGATTCCCGGAGCGAGATGTAGAGCAAGGGCTGATGACGATGGTTTGGAAACGAGTGGTCAACTCGGGCGACAAATACATGGCATACTTTGGGGGGAAAAGGGCTCTTTGAGGATAGCGCAACCCTGTGCGTCCATGTCCTTATCGAGTCTCGGGTGTTGCAAGGCAGACAGACATATGCGACGACGTTTTAAAATTGCGCCTGCAGCCCTCGGCGGTTGTCGAAATTGGCCGCCGACACGCGCATGAGATAAGCTCGCGGCTTATCAGACATTACCTCGGCCTCGATGGAGGTGTTTCTGGGAGCCAGTCGCTGGTCTCAAGAGGCTGGTGTTTCCAGCGAGAAGGGGTGGAAGGGGGGGGGGGGGGGGGGGGGGGCATGGTACCAGATAGGGAACGGTGTCACTCGGTCAGCTCCTCGCGAGATTGTCAAGTGTGACAGAGATGGAACCTGCAGGAAATGACGAGGGGAGGGCCGGCCCATGACAGTGACGGAGAATCGTAGGATCAGGAAGCTTCCTGCGTGCGTACCTACACGTTTATCGGGCGTGTGCAATCACCCACGTTCGAGCCAGAGACAGAGGAGAGGTGATTTGGAGAAAGGTTCTGACGCGGCACAGGATGTGATATCGACGAGCCCCCGTCCTTCCCCCCTCCCTGGCATCATCACAAAGACCGGGGGAGGGTCTAGGTTTGCAACGAGTTTTGGGATACAGCCCTGCAGAGCCTGCTGCTGGTGTGGGGGCAGAACCGTGTTTGGTTCCGAGTATCGCCGCTTGCCTCTCTGCGGCTTTGGCGTTTGGATGCTCAGGCTGCCTGGTCTTCATTCGCAACGGGCATGTCGTGACCATTGAGGCGCTGTCAGTGCGCCTTGCCTAGTCTCGTGTCTGGTCCCCCCCCTTCCAAAAGGAGGGTTGTGAGGTTGCCAACATACAAGGGAGGGGGCTCGTGAGGAATACGATGGTTGACTATCCGTACTATGGCTATAGATGCAGTAGACGAACTCAAAAAAGTCCGGGGGGGGGGGACCAGAGCCACGGGTCGGCTGGACTTTCCTGTTTCCAGGTATTGTTTGTTTTTCTCCTCTTCTTTTCTCTCCATTCTTTTCTTGGCTTTGCGAGTCAGCCGTCTGGTGAAAGGGGAGACGAAAACTCGAGTATGCAGCGACAGCAACGGATGGGAAAGTGGCTTGTGGAGCTCGGAGGCGAGAGCTGGCTGGACTGGACTGGCTGGTTCTTTTCGACCCGGACCCGGGTTATCTAAACTGCCCCCTCCCCTCCCCACACACACGGATACACGGACCGGGGGAGCTTAGCATGGTCGGTTGAAGAAGTTCAGGTTAACCGTTACGGGATCGAGCCATCGAAAGAGCAATGGAGAGAGAGAGAGAGGCGCCGAAGGGCACAGACTGGGGCGGGCATGGGCTTTGTTTTGTTCTGTTGGCGATGCTAGCGCGGCGGGGCCAGAAGCTGTTGCGGTTGCGGTGTGGGAGGTTGGTCCGCCCATCGCACGCGTGTGAGTTGGAAGGTCTTTGAGAGGGGGAGTCGTTGCCGGAACGCATGCGACAACGACAACGACAACGAGAGGAGATTGTCCGGTGTAGGTATTCGGGATCAACAGGGACGGGGATGGTGTTTGCAAGGCACCAGGAACCGATGAGTCGGCGCGCGAGGAAATTTAGTTTAGAGTGCGACAGGGGGTGGATGGCCGGCAGTGGCAAGCGCTTAAAAAAGTTGGAAGTCGGAGATCATTGCCGACCTAGTAACCGTCGTGAACTTTACGAATACCCATCGAGGGACGAGGGGAGGAAGACTCTGGGTGGATGCATAGGAGGGAGATGGAGAGAGATGGAGAGAGAGAGAGAGAGAGAGAGAGAGAGAGAGAGAGAGAGAGAGAGAGAGAGAACGACAGAACTGCGATTCTTGACCGTCAATCAAACCATGAACGCAGATTTGGATTGTCTTAATAAACATTATCGACCCAAAGGAGGTCTGATGTTTAATTAATCGTGTAGACAGCGAATTGTGCTCATGTGGTCTGCCCCTCGTAAGAACATCGAAAATGTCATTTCAAGCTAAGAAAAAGATTTTTTTGCTTCGGATGACATCACCAGGAAGATCTGATACGTGAGGTAGAACGATTACCCCACACAGGTGTCCGCTAAATCAATCTGCAAGCATCCATTTCTCTCGGCTGAATCTAACCCCAGCTATTTGTCCAAGGGACCACACAAGGCTTCCCCCGAGAGAGAGAGAGACAGGGGCGCAAAGCCACGCGGCGGCGAGCGCTTGACCAATACTGTGTATAACCGGGAACCGCGATTGCCAGCGTTTGGCGGCATCCTGGAAAAAATGTGTTTGGGTGTTTGATGGCTGGCGATGCGCTGGCCACGCGGGCTGGAGATTTGCGAGTCTCGAGGTGGTGGTATTCGTGACGGTCACAATAAGGCTTATTCTCTTCCCCATCCCCCCCGCCTACAGGTATACATGCCGGGGATCCGAGTGTTCAAGACGCTCCCTTGTCCCTGACTGATAAAAACTCCAAAGGTTGGGGTCGTGGCCGGGCAAGGCCATGGAGATCGCTTTGGGCCCGCTGGAAGCCAGGACGGGAAGAGAGAGGGAACAGAAGACGGGGAGGCGGGACAGAAGGCTAGCTTTGCTCAGGTACGGATGGACGCAAGATGGGACGGGAGCGTGTGGGTTCGCACAAACTGCGGTGAGCCGCGGCACGGTGAAGAGGGTACGGGGCGAGAAAGAGGCACAGCGAAAGATGACCTCTGCCTCGGCGACGCAAGGGGCGGCAAAGCACCTTTCCGGGGTGTTTGCTTGCTGCAAGACGACAAGACGGACGACGGCAAAGGGAAGCTTGACGGTGGACCCGGGACTCGGGACTATCGACTCAATACGAACACATATGCCCGGGGCCACCGGGCTGAGAGTCCACGCCGGAGGGGAGGGTTTGGTTTCGCCCCTCCCCCCTCCCAGCGGCAGGATGCAGGATGACGATGGTCGAGAGTCCGCGGTGCCGCTCAGATGGTGCGGGTATGCGCGCGGGCGGATGTCTGTCCACTTTTTTGCGTTTTATAGCGTGCGCAGGCTCAGTCCATCAGTAAAGTCGGTAAGTCATCAACTCGGCTCAGCTCAGCTCTAGCGGTGCTGTTGTCTTCGGGTGGACTCGAACATGACTTGGATGTGCCTGCGGGAGAGGGGTATGTTTGAGACAAGTGTTTTTGGGAACCACAGCCGCGAACGACATGTCTCTGAACCTTGGTCTCCTCTTTGGGAGAGAGTTGGGGTTTGGGGTTCGTCTGCCACATACCTCTAGACTCTTGGAGACTCCTGTACTGGGGCGGGGGCTTGGAGAGTTTGAGATGGAGAAACGTGGGTGATGGTATGTATGCCAAGAGTGAGTGTGGAACGCCGGAGCCGAGGAAGCTGCCGACTTCACATTTTGTCCATGTGTGACTTTTCCCTCCCTTCCTTTTCTCGTCGTTCTTGGGGGTCTCTGGCGAACTCGCGCGAAGTAGCGCGTCCTGAACGAACCAGACGGCGACACATGCAAGACATGTCATGTCACGTCGGGGGGAGGAGGAATAAGGAAAAGGAAAGCGAAGAGATAAAAGAGGGACTCGGTCCTGACGCCGGCTGCTCGCTAGCTGATCGCATGCGTTGTTCACGGCTCCCCCCCCTCCCTCCACTTCTAGCTACGCTAGCTGTTCGGACTTTGTTATGGGTTTCTTTCGCCCTGGCGGGCCCTGCTGGCTGGACCAGACCGGGAAGCCGGTTTTTTGGGCTCATAGGTTGATGGATGGGGTGGTCGGAGAGGGCCGGGGCTTTGGGTAGCTCGGTCCGGTCCAGTTGCAGCGGTGGCGGGTGAAGAAAGAGGCGTGATGGACTGGACTGAGTGGTTGGCGGCTTCACGGACATGGATGGATGGATGGGGGAGGTTCAAGAGGATGGCATGGGTTGGGGGCCGGGCTGGGGAAACGGGCTTGAGATGGGCGTGGTGTGGGGTAGCGCCAGGCGCGGGATGAGGAGGACGAGGTTCTTTTGACCGTTGGTCAGTTGACGAGGTCGTTCTCGATAAGGAGGAATGAGGCGGCGGGTTTGATTGATTGACGGACGGCAAGTGTCTTCTGCGTCTGCATGGCCGGTCCTGATAAGTCTTGTGTGCGTGGTGACACCACATCCAAGCAACCCCCCTCCCCAGTGGCTCATGTACTCCGTAATGTCATCTCATCTCTCATCTCATACCGTCTCTCCCTTCGTGACGACGTGGATATCCAAGTCGTGTAGGCGCAGATTGTCTTCATCTTACTTGCGAAGACGCCGAGTCCCGTCCGGCCTAATGTTATATCATCCGACCGAGTCGCACGAGGCTGACGGCCGCCCCTGCGTGGGAGCGTGTTTATGTATGTGTGCTTATGTGTGTATATATCCGTACGTGTGTGTTTGTGTGTGTGTGTGTGTGTGTGTGTGTGTGTGTGTATATGTGCATATGTGAGTGTGAGTGCGTGCATTTCGTCAGGCGGTTTAAACATTATCCCTCGAATGATTGCTCACTCTCGCGTACGAATACTCATCTCAAGCAATCTTGGTCGTAACTTTACCCAAACCCCATCTCTCATCTCTCCACGCCCCCTTGCGAACCCGATGGTGGGAAATACCGAAACGGGAGGTTGTTCGAAACTGCCATCACCCCTGCACAGGCGCCCCGTCCGGCGTCGATAGTACCGAGGAGAGTTTTAGGAGGGACCCATCCAACGACATCATCCTTACGGGCCTTACGGGGCTTGATGTGTTTTTTTCTCTTCTCCTGATATGAACCTTTTATGGGTTTGGGGGGGACAAAAGTTGGAAGAGACGTGAGCATGGTTATGCTGCGAGCGCGTATATCGTATAGTCACTCGTACGTCGTGCCCCCCGTCTCTGACATACGCCGCTTCTTTCTCCCGCATGCGAGCCGGCGGTTGTAGTTTCCCAATAATTCCTTCTTCAGCCGGGGACCCGTTTCCTTGGCGAGATACACAATACGCAGAACATGCAAGTCTTGCTGCGGTGGCAGGGGACGTCGGGGTCTAATTAGAAACCAACCAGCCTCTCTCGTCCATCATATGCAAGAAAAAAAAAAGCTCCAGGGACTGACCTTGTTGAAGCTCAGCTGTCAGAGTCGCTTTGAGCCCAAGCGTGTGCCCTTCTGCTCGTCCCAGAGCGCGCACACACATACACACACGCCCCTCCTGGTTCATCCGGTGTTGTTCGACCTGGTCTTGTTGATCTTGAAACCTGATGATCGGCCCTCCCTCTCGGGGTGTAACTCTTGGGGACTAACTCTCTGGGGAGGATTACCTACACGTATACGGATCACGGCCCCCCCAATCCGTCGCATACTAGGCAGTAAACGCACGTCTGCAATCCGGATTGGGTTGGGACTCTGGACCTTGGACAGAGAAAAGAGAAGGGGGGGGGGGGGCCGGAGTCGGGTGCTGCTTTGTTGCTCGGGTGTCTGTTTTGGCCTTTTGATCAGTATCAGTGCGTCTCATCTTTTTATTTTATTTCTTTACTGTTTTTTTCCCACGGTTAACCACTTTCGTTTCTTTTCTTTCTTAATCCCCGCTACCTGTGTCCGTCTCGCTGTTCCGCCCCCCTTGTTCCATCAAACCCTGGGCGCGTGTAACCTTCCTTCGGGCCTTTCCTTGGTAAGAGCCAGTTTGCGCTCGCTCGTCTTCCCTACTTTGGATGCAGATGAGAAGACCGGCAGGAAGTGAAGAGAGAGAGATGGATACGGTAGAGAGAGAGATAGATACGGTAGAGAGAGAGACAGAAAGTGAGATGGAGAGAGTGTGAGAGGAAAAGAGGACGAAGATCTGTACCGAGTTGAGATGGATGCCCAGACTCTCGTCACTGCCGTCCTTTCCATGCCATCCAACCTATTAAACTATCCGTACCGACTAACTATGTAAACTACCTATTCACTTTCCCAGGTGTAATAACCCTGGTCTGGTGTGGTTTGGTCGAGACCTCGGGGCGTGCCTGGCTGCCCACCTTTGTTCGACTTGCGCTATCTCACCGCATCCATCCATCCATCCTTCCATTTCCATACCCATCTGGTCCCCATCCACGCCCGTATCATCCACACCCAAATATCTACTTCACACCCTCTCTTCTCCCCTCCATCGTCACAAACTGTTGTACTCTCTCTTTCTCTCTGTTCTCGGATCTCTTCGACTCACGCTTCTTACTCGCTCATTTCCCCACCTCCAAGGAAGGCGCAGTAGTAGCAGCATCGTTTCTTCTTGCTTCTTCGACATTCTCGTTTTTCTGCTTGCGCATTCGTCTCTTGTTCGGCTTTATACCCCCCCCCCCCCCTTCTCAGTCTTCCCCATCGATACCGCGCCGTCGGAACCAGCCAGAACCGGCGCATGATACCGAACCGACGAAGACCTCTCACTCTCTCTCACTCACTCTCGCCGCATCGGCAGCAAAACCCACTCTATCCATGCATGATTCGCGCGCTACGTCACTGTTACCGGATCCGCACATGAAAAGAGCCGTCCCACTACGATCACAGACTGAGGACGAAAGATAAAATAAAAATAATAATAAAATAAACGAAGAAACTCTGCAAGACGACCCGGGCTTGATTCCTTGGAGCCGCCAAACCAGTGAAGCACAGGGTCCTGCAAACACGGAGCAAACCGAATACAGAAGCACGAGAAGAGGCGCAAACTCTGGGAACTAAACACCAGAAACTCATCCCACCGTCGGGCGCATCTTGCAACACGACGGCAAACGACGGATTTTTTTTTTTCTCTCTCTTTCTTTCCCGAGGCCTGCACCGCCCACGCAAGGACCACGACTCGGAAACGCCGTCCCGTATCGCCATCACCATAACCGCCATCCCCAGCTCAGACTCGACCGGGTTCCAAGTCGCAAACTAGGCAAGCTAAGCCCAGCAAACCAAAACCTGGCTTGGGGTGCATCGTCGAAACCCCAAAGCTCTGTTGTCTTGTTTCCCCGCCGAGATTCCCTTTCTCACCTCCACCGACTGCTGCGCCCGCCGTCCCATCTCTACCTTTCCCCGGAGCTCGGCCGCCCTTGCGACGAGCAAATCAGACCGAGACACCGCCAGCAGCCGACATGGCGGCCACAGCCTACACCTCGGTCCGCAGGTGCTCCATGTCCTCGACAGGGTCGTCTGGGTCGGGCCACAGCGACGCAGAGGCAGAAGCGTTACCGTCGGCATCCAAAACGAGCGCGGCGCGTTACATGGACGTGGACGGCGATGACTACGAGGAATACAACAATTGCGACAACGGCACAAAAGACGAGGCCTTGCCGTCGTCGCAGCCCTCCTTCTCCGCCAACGCGACGCCCAGCCCTGCCAACTTCTTCCCCTGCGTCGAAACGAGCCTGACGCCCATGTCCATGGACAGCGACCTGTTTCCCGACTGTGATTTCGACGGCAGCAGAGGAGAGGACAAGACGGGCAGTCCGAGGCAGCAACATCAGCAGCAACAAGAACAACAACAGCAGCAGCAGCAGCAGCAGCAGCAGCAGCAGCAGCAGCAGTCGACATCACCGGCTTCGACGATACCAACTTCTGGAAAGTGGTCGTCGGCGTCGTCCTCGTCGTCGCCGTATGCTGTGCGACCGGGCCACGGTGACAAATACACAAATACAAGCACAACATCCGTCGAGAAAGCATCGCCTGCGACACCAGCGACGGCGGCCATGCGGCTACCACACGCGTCGGCGACATGTCCGGCGGCGGGAGATAAGCAACGACATGTCTCGGGTGCACGCCAAGACGACGCAGCAGAAATAGAAGCGGCAGCGTTGCACTCAGCCAGGACGAACCAGAGCCACGACGACAGCGGTAGCAGTAACAGCAGCAGCAGCAAGGCGGGCCACGATGAAATGGGCGAGTGGGTGACTGGCTGGACTGACGATGCAAGGGAGAGAAATAAGGGAGAAGAGGCAGAGGCCGGCCCGCTGGCAATCTCGCCTGAGAACCCGCGCCAACGCCGTGCAGGGACGACGCCGCTGTCGCTGGATGTGCTGCAGATGGTCAGGGGGGACGAGGAGGGCGATAACGATAAGGAAAGGGATAGCGTCCCAGCACCGACCACCGCTACCACTACCGCTACCGCTACGGGCTCCTGCTCTCCTACCACTGCCACCACCCAACCCGCTTCGGCCCTGCGGACGGAAAATATCATCGGGACCAACAACAACAACAGCAACGGTAATAATAATATTATTAGCAACATCGGCAATACCGCCGTCGTGCCCCCGAATACGAGCTCTGCTGCATCCGCCATCACGAGCCCGCCTGCATCCGTCTCGTCACCTTCCACCGTCTTCTCCGCCCCCGCTGCACTCACCCGCCAACTTTCCGCAACTTCGTCACCCCCTACCGGCAGCCTCGTCTCCCAGATTCAGGAGAACCTGCTGCTGCAGCAAAACCCCTCCTCCTCTTCGTCGTCGTCCTCCTCCTCCTCCTCCTCGTCTGCCGCCAATCTCGTGCGACCCGTCGCCAGACCCATCGTCCGAACTACTTCCGATTCCAACTTCACCCTCAAGCATCCCATTCCCGATCTCAACTGCCGCTCCGGCGCCTACACCGGCAACGTTGCCGCCCTCGAGAAGTCGGCCGAGCGCCTGTCCATGACCAGCTCCATCGAGGACGCCATCCGCGACTTGCATGGTGAACTGAAGCGCTCCGACTCCCGCCGCTCCTCCATCCTCGCCGCAAACCTCGCCGCTGCCGCCTCCCCTTCCCACACCGACGAGTCCTCGGCTCAGCCCGGCCCCCTTCGCGTCCTCCCTCCCGTCGCCTCCATTGTCGAGCTCAACAACGCCGCTCGCATCGGCGGATACTCCCCCAGCGGCTACGTCATGTCTCCCAACCACTCTTTGACCGGTCGCCTGCGCTCTGGCTCCAAGAACTCCACTGGCCGTCCCGAGATCGACGTCGATGCCATCTTGTCGCGCCACGGCCCCGGCAAGGGCTCCATTAGGAGCGTTCGCTCCTCCGCCAAGCCTTCCCTGGCCGAGATTGCCGAGTCCGAGCCCGTCGCCCTGACCGGTCGCGTGCTCGATGAGGCCGACGATGCCCCCGTGCCAGTGACCGCCGCCGACGATGCCACCATCCGCCGCCCCAACACCCGCCACGACGACGACCCCAGCGCCAGCTACCACGACATGCTCGGCGACATGGATCGTCAATCTTCCGGTCTCGGCCTCGACTTTGCCGCCGACAACGCCGGGCCGAACCCGGATGACAGGCCGCCCACCCCCAAGTCGACCTCGACCTTTGACCACACCAATGTGTTTGGCGACTTTGACGGCGTGCACTGCCAGCCCGAAGATGTCGAGCGCGCCTACGACCACCACGAGCCCGCCGATGGTGCGTATCGCGAGAGACCCGTCGTGCCCAGGCCGCAGGCGATGCCTATGCCCGATATCCCCGAGCCCCAGTGGGAGCCGCTGTCGCGCCGCGTGCCGCCCACGAACAGGGCCGCCGTGGGCCGGCCGCAGTCGTACTTTGACCCGCTCACCGGCCAGGAGATGCTTTACTACCCCGCCCGCGTACCGGCCATGCTGAATCTGCCGCCCAAGCTGTCCAAGAAGCCCAAGACCGAGGTCCGCAACGCGAGACATTCAAAGGTGCTGCAGGCAATGGGCCACCCCGGCTTTGGCAAGGCCGAGTACCTGCCGCAGGACCCCGAGACGGTGGTGCGCGAGTCCAAGATGTGGCTGCCCGACCCGCTCGCTGGCCACGGCATGACCACCTTTGGCGATGTTGCTGAAGGCGAACCTTCTGGGGATGCATCGATGAAATCGCCCGTCCACGATTCACATTTGCCGTCGGAGCAGGCCGACGCGTTGCTGGCGGGTGGGCAATCTGAGGACATGCCACAGCAGCCGCCTCCGCCGCCGCCCACCCAGCAACGGCGCAAGTCAAAAATGCCAAGGGCCTCCCAGCTGCCACCGCAACTGCGTGCGAGCGCCTTTTTCGACCTGCCGTCAACACCACCCAAAATCGAGGTCAAGGAAGGTTCACCCATGGCCACGCTCGACAGCATCCTAGACGCGTCCACGACCGCACCGGTCAGCGCCTTCACGGACCATGCCTTTGCCGGCAAGCTCGGTTCCGAGGTGTACGGCCCCGACAAGAACAAGAACAGAAAGTCGGCCGCACCCACCGTCCTGCTGCCCGAGGAGCACGTCAGGGCTGCCTCGCAGAAGAAGAAGGGCGGCCTCATGCCCTTTGGCAAGAAGTCGGATGACGGATCCCGCAAGAGTTCGATGGCCGACGGCAGCAGAGAAGAGAACCAAGGTTTGTCCGATCACGTCGACGGGGATGGGGTGGACAGGCCCGAAGACAAGGGCTCGGAAGACGACGGCGAGGAAGACGAGGAAGAAGAGGAGGACGAGTTCGCAGGTGTTCTCGACGGGCCCCCAACGACCCTGCTCGCCGAGCTGCAGCTGCGCAAGTATCACGCAAGGATGCGCACCCAGAACCCGAACCGCAACGTCGGCCAGAACGGTATGCACGCCACCCTAATCGAGTTGGATGCCGTTGCGGAGGCGCAGAAGAGGCACCGCGAGAAGAAGAAGATTGCGCTAGCCTGGGAAGAAGGGGCCAAGGATGAGGACGGCAGCTCCGACGAAGACGAAGTCCCGCTCGGCGTGCTCTACGCGCATCAGCCCGCCATCGCTGAGATGAACCGCCCCTTGGGTCTGATGGAGCGCCGTGATCAGGAAGAGAATGAGCCCCTCAGCGCCCGCCGCGCCCGTCTGCACGGTCAGCAGCCGCCAAGGACTTTGGCCAAGCAGAGGAGCCAATTCACCCTCAACGCCGGTCTGAGCCAACTCCGACTTCACCAGATGCATTCAGCCGGTCAACTGAGGCCCCGGGAGGAGTCGGACGACGACGACGCCGTCGAGGGCGAAACCCTGGCCGAGCGCATGCGCCGCCTCAGGGCAAAGGACGAGGCCGAACACAACAATCTGCCCAGCACCCGCCCCGTCAGCAAGATGTTCTCCGAGGAGATGTTGGCCCAATTCGGCGAAATGGTCAAGCAGCCCGAAGACAAGGGCAAGGGGGTCGAGGCTCAGCCCAACGAGGCAGAGGAGACGCTCGGCCAGCGGAGGAAGAGACTGCAGGCCGAGCGCGAGGCCCGCGAACGGGAGATGATGCTGAGCGGCGGCCCCGTCGAGCCCGAGGCGCCCCCCCTGCGCAAGAAGCACAGCTTGGCCGACGTCCTCGCCTCGCACCCCGCGGCCCACAACCCTGCCTGGGACGAGCAACGTCGCCTCGAGCAGGAGCAGCGCAAGGTCAGAGAACAGGAGGCAAAGATGGCCGCCGTCCGCGCGCAGATGCCCAAGACGCTCACCGGGCCGAATCTGCAGCGGACCGGCGGATACATGAACGGCGCCTTCAACGACGGCTCCGGCGGGCTCGACCACCACAAGCCGGCGGTCAGCAACGGCGTCGGCGTCGGCATGGGCCCCGGCGGGTGGAACCGCTCCAGCATGGCCTTCAGCAACTACGGCGCGCCGCTCCAGCAACCCGCTTACGGTGGGCTCATAGGTCAAGCGGGCATCACCCACATGTCTCAGAACCCGACGAACGGCTACGCGGGGTACCCCGCCGGCGGCATGGGAGGCATGGGCGGCATGGGCGGCGCAAACCCGTACGGCGGAGGCATGGGCATGCCGATGCAGATGCAGCCCATGGGCGCCGGGATGCCGATGCCGATGCAGCCTGGGCACAATGGGCAGATGCAGTCCATCGAGCGCTGGCGGCAGAGCGTCATGTACTAGGCCTGTAGGAAAGAGGGACGTACGTTTCTCTCGTTGCCACAGTACCGCCTACGATCAACCCGTAATCATTGTATAATTCCCTGGATGGGGGAGCAGGCGTCGCTCGGTTGTCTCTCTATATAACACCAAGAAGATACAAACTATGGCATTGCGATGGGCGTTGGATACCTGTTTCTTTTGTTTCTTTTGTTTCTTGTTTTGGATGTGGAAAGGAGGGGAATTTCATCACGGGCGTGTAATACAGCGCGCTTGCGAGCACTAGAAAGGGACAGCAAAGGGAAGGGATGGTTATGCGGAAAGGAAGGGTTAGATATATATCATAGATATATATCGGTAGCACATAAACCAATCATAATGTCGCCCGTCTTTTGTTAGTCTGTATATTCCATGCCCGGCGAGAAGAAGTCGATGGTAGTGGTAGATAGAGTCCAAGACGAAGAGAAAAAAAAAGACCCTGTGAGTTGGGTCGTGTGCGCTCGTCTGTTGCCGCGCGCAAGATGGATGTCCCCGTGTCCTGTGCCCCGCGCTGTGGTTGAGCGTGTCGAAAGCGTGTTTGTTGGTGTGAACCCAGGTCCGCTCCAAGGGTCGCTGTGATACCCGGTCCAGCCTCGCCCCCAGCCTAGCCTAAAGGTGGACTGTCGTGTATGTGTATGTGTTGATAGTCGTACGGGGGTTGGCAGAGAGAGAGGGCACCAGGCGCCTGATGAATCACGGAGTCGACCTTTGCATGCGACCGCCCCCCCCCCCCCCCCCAGTCTCCACCGTTCTATACAAGCGCTGCCCTGTGTGTCTCGCACTTGGTTGTCAGTTAACCTTCCGTCTGGGAGTTGCCCCTCGTTCTTCACATGGCCTCACTATGCCCCCCCCCCCCCCCCCCTTCCTTTGGATGTCATTGAAGAAACGGGGGAAACTGCGGCAGCAGAAGCAGGGGGGGCGCGATGGGATCATGTACGGAGCTGGCTGGGGCGTCACGCGGTCGAGGCCGCTTTTGGCAAGCCGACCCGCGTGCGTGTTGGTCCCTTTTGTAACATACGCTTGGGTGTGTGTATATGTGTGTGTATATGTGTGTGTGAGAGAGAGTGTGTGGTTGGAGGAAAAGACTCACCCCTGGCAGCGGGCACTGTTGGTTGTCTGTTGGTTTGTCGGTGTTGGTGTTAGTTCGGGGGGTGGTGGAAGGAAGGGGAACCAACGACCAGGTCTGCAAAGCGGCCTCCTCCCCCCCTCTTTCTAGCCTGGATGCCCCTGAATGTCATAACCCCTGTTTTGAGGGGGATGAGCCCACGGTTCGAAGGAGGCGCGGTTCGTTGGAACGGGCCGCGATTTCTGAGTCGAGGATCGGTCACGACATCCAGAGGGGGGAGGGGTTGAAGAACGTGTGTGGGCGGTAAACATATTTCTCCCGCCGCTTCCCCCGTCTCGGATGGGAATGTCTGCGCTTTTCAACTTCCTTTTCGTCTTTATTTTATTACTCTCCAGACTGACTGATAAAGATCCCAAACAATGAAAACAGTGGTGAGCCCCCCCGCCCCCCTTCTCTCTGCGTGAGGTTCTATCTGATCACGAAAACAGCAGCAGCGGCAGCGTCTTTCTCATTCGGCCGGGAGCGAGCCGTCTCGCGGATCTCCCACCCCGTCGGCATCTTCCCAATCATCGCTAAAGGGTTCGAATTTCTCCTCCTCCCCATCTTCGCCGCGGGAAGAGTATACTGCCCTCGGCTCGCCCGACGAGCCCCTCCCGTCGATCGAAGGGCGGAGCCAGAGCCCGACCGAGACCAGCAGCAGTAGCAAGCGCATCAGCGGTACCGGTACCGGCCGCGCTAGGACGCACTCGGTGTCGGTCTCTCCGCCGTCCTCGACGTTGCCCAGTCGCGGCCTCAACTCGTCTCCCGGCACCAGCCCCAGGAGGATAGGCTCGCCTTTTGGGGACGGCGGGGAGACGACGAGAATCGCCGCCCGACTGGATGGCCTGGACCTCGGCGACAGTCCCTCGAGGTTGGGCATGTCGGACGTTGTGGACGCGATAGCGGACATCGCCGACAACCTTGGAGCGCGTACGCCGTCGTGGCGGCGGCGACAGACCACCACCGTGAGTCCGGACGCCGGGGGCTCTTCGCTGGGCCTGCGGCTGCCTGCCGATCGACGGTCGCGAGCGGGTTCCAGGGCGAGCCTAATCCCCCACGACGTCCGGGACGAGGAGCCCCCGCCGAACCACTTCCACGACCCGGCGGTCCAGGGGGCGTTTGGGGCCGCGAAGGCGCTGGCTGCGCGGCTGGCGGGCGTTCTGGAGGCAAGCCCGCTCCACGCGAGCGCAGACTCGACCATCAAGCGGCTGCACCGCCGGACGCGGGAGCTGGCGAGCTTCCGGTGCCCCTCGACGCGGACCGTTGGCTTTGTGGGGGACTCGGGCGTCGGTGAGCCTCCCTTGCTTGTTAGTGTTGGGCGTGTGTGGGTTGAGACTGACGGCGGAATCGGGGGTTGTTATAGGGAAAAGCAGTGTTTTGAACTCACTCTTGGACCGAGAGGGGCTAGCTAGAACCGTGAGTGACATGGCGCATGAGAACGAGGGCTGTTGTCTTCTTTTGTAGCTGATTCCTGCACAGAGTAACAGCGGAGCCGCGTGTACCTGCGTCGTCACCGAGTACCACCATCACGCCCCCGACGATTTCGTCGTTGAGGTGGAGCGCTTTGACAGGGACGAGCTCACGAACCAGGTTGACGAGCTGCTCAAGTCGTACCGCCGCTTCCACCTGCACGCCAGAGAGATGTCCAAGGATGACGGGGTGGAGGAAGCCGAACAACAGGCCAAGGTCGCGCTGGACACGTTTCGGGCCATGTTCCGGGGTCGGCTCGGTGACGAGGCGTTCCTCGCTGGCGATCGGGAGGAGAATGTGCTGTCGACGTTGCGGTCCTGGCTGAATGAGACCTACCCGCAGGACGACGGGAGATATACCATGGCCGAAGCGCAGGCGTGTTCGAGCCTGCTGATGCGGTTGACGTCCGAGACGGCGGGAGTGCGCGAACCGGCCGTCTGGCCGTACATCAAGACGATTAAGTGAGTCCTGCACCCCTATTGAGCGATCCGCGAAAGGGATGAGCGGGAAGGAGCGGTCTGTTGACGATGTGTTCCTAGGGTGTTTCTCAACTCGCACATCCTGAGCAAGGGCCTGGTCCTTGTCGACCTACCTGGTAAGCCGAGTCCTCGTGGCGCAGGAGTCGAGGCAGAAGTGTTTTCTGACTATCGACGTGTGTAGGACTCCGCGACGTGAACTCGGCGCGCAGGAAGGTCACGGAGCGGTATCTGCTTCATTGCAACGAGGTCCTCGCCATCTGCCACATCGGGCGGGCGACGACCGACGCCGGTGTGGCGAGCGTCTTCGAACTCGCGAAGAAAGCTGAGCTGTCCAACGTGGGCATCGTCTGTACCAAGTCTGATGTACGTTGCCGTCGGGTGCCCATCTTCCCAGCTTTGCCTACCGTGATGGTGGTTGTGGTGGTGGCGCGTTGCCTGCGAGGCCGTCGTGTTGACTTTGTTCCGCAATCCAGGACATTCGAGCCGAGGAGGCTATAAAGGACTGGAAAGGCCCGCGCGCGAGGCGTATCCAGGAGCTGAGCAACGAGGTCGCCAGGACCCAGGGCCAGATCGACGAGGCGAACCTCAGCTTAGCCGAGTTAGAAGACGATGAGCTAACGGACCAAGAGGATATCGAACTTGATCTGAGTCGCCGTCTAAGGAGCCTGGGGCAGGTCCCCCCTTTATCTTCGCGTTTTGTCTCTTCCGCTGACCATCCTGATGCCTCACAGCAAGGATCTGCAAAAGAAGCGTTTTGAGTAAGTGGCGTGCCTTTGAAATCGCTTGGCATCGATGCCGTCTGATCACCTCGAATCCAGACTCAAGAAATACCTGATCGAAAACCGTAACGCGATCGTCAGCAGCGAGCTCCGGAAAGAATATACGAAAAACAATTCGGACGGGACGCTGCACGTGTTCTGCGTGAGCAACACCGAGTACTGGGCGAGGCGGCGGCTTTCGAAAGACGATGCGCTCCCCTCGCTCCACCTCAGTGGGATCCTCGCGCTGCGGAAGCACTGCCTCGCCATCATCGGGGACAGCCAGCTGCGCATCGCGAGAGGGTTTGTAACCAACGACCTCCCGGCCCTCTTTGGGGATGTGGCTCTGTGGATCGAGTCGGGCGCCGGGAGCGCGAGCGCGGAGCAGAAGCGGACCGTCCGTAAGGCGCTGGACGAGGTCGAGCGCAAGCTGAAGAGGGTGAAGCAGAACATGGAGCCCGCTGTTCCGGACCAAGCTTATTGATGAACAGGAATTGGTTGGGCGGGACTCGGCTCTTAGCCGCGTTGGGGAGTCCATCAAAGAGGGGTTCGTGACCGAAGTATACAATCGTAGGGCTCCTTGGTCCCTTCCCCATCTTTGATGTACCGGGTTCTGATGTGCGTTTCGTCAGATCGACGGCTCGACCGGTGGAGACAATTGGCCATCCAGGCTGGCAATGACTGGTCTTGCGTACGTGTATTGAGTCTGAAAGTTTGTGTATCCAATGACTTTGACTAACCTAGAGGCCAGTGGCATCACGGCAGGTGTTATCCCTTGAGATCTCCGGAGCCTTTGCTAACGATGGACTTCAGCAAGCTACAGTGCGTTCTGCCGCCAATATGGCAGCTACTGTACTCCTGCTGTCGGTCGACGCGACTGGAACGAGGAGGCCATCGCCGAACTGGTGAAGGACCTGGGACCACGATGGGATAAGCTGTGTTCATCCATTGAAGACGAGCTTGAAGAAAACGCCGAGCTGATGGACGACGTTTTGGCTCGGGCGCTGGAGCTTATCCGTGAGCCATGATGATGATGGGTTTGAGAAACCTCATCGGGACGTGCTGACATAACGCAAGTAACAGAACTCGAAGACCTCCCGCGGACTAGAAGGGTCCTGGTTGTAGCGTTGGAATGCCGTCGCAAAGCCATCGTTTCCGAGGCGGAGGCTCTCTTCGGAAAGTTCAACGAGGAGCTGGGGTGAGGGTCCAACCTGCTGAGAAGGCGGTTTTAACATTCTTTCTCCGCCCCTGCTGACCGTCCATCTCGCTAGCACTTTGCGCATAGATGCTCTGTCGGGCATCCGTACCTCGTTCATCGGGCAAGCGTTGGAAAAGGCGTATAGGGACAGCAATATGCAATACGGTACGTCGAAACCAGACGATGTTTGATCAACTGGCGCGCTGTGGCCTGACCACCGGAACTTGCGTGACTGACCTTGGTCAACAGGTAGTGGAAGCGACCAGAGGCGCAAGGGCATCATCAACGACGCGCTCGGCCACTCGAACCTGTTCCCGAAATACATGAGAGATTTCGGGAACAGGCTGAAGACCTCGGCGGACGGCCTGCAGGAACAGCTGCTGGAGATGCTGCAGCGGCACCTGGACGCCTTTGAGACAACTCTGAATCTGGTTCGGGACGAGAACGTGGCAACGGAGAGTGAGGAGAACCCGGGGTTGAGAAGGTGCCTGGAGGTCGAAACCGCCACGGCAAGAGAGGAGTTGGGGCGGATCAAAGAGATTATGGCTGCTTGATGGTATATGTTTCCGGCACTGGCTCAATCTGTATGCTTACTGGATCACATGGCTTGGTCATTATCGCAAATATGACATGCTTGGACCGTTGCTATTAAGACAGGATTGGGGTTCCAGAGGCTCCCTAGGGTCTTGCCCAGTATTCGGCATGCTTTCCAGACGTGGACCGGAACAGTGTAGGGATAAAGGCGCCGTCGGTGAGATTTGCAACTCGATGAATCGTTGAGAGGTGGGCATTGACAACAACATGATTAGACAACTCCCTAGGCAGCGCACGGTAATCCTCGTCATCGAGGCGTCAAGGTCAAGGGATGGGTGATAGCATTGTCTATCGACGCCTCGATGTCCCTGTCCTGTACAGGCATTTCGTGAAAATTGCCTAAACCAAGTTCGCCTTTAGGCACTTTGCTCGAATGCCGATCCACATTGGCAATAGTGGAAATGGACAAGTTAGGTAAGACTCTGGGTCTCGGCATTGGATCGATGGGACTGCAATTTGGAGGTTCCCGTCAGCCCTACGGCGGAAGACTGGATGGATCAGGTGCAGCTGTACATGAAACATTCCGGATGATGGCGCTGGACAAGTGTCCCGAACGTTTCGAGGCGATGCGCATGCGTGTGGGACAGTGCCCACAATCGAAAACACTGTGAATCGGTAGCGATCGTGTGTCCTTCAATACAGTTCATAACGTCACATGACACTGTACGAGCATCCTCTCTATCTTTTTTTATCGAAACGCGCATCACCTCGCGTGCTGCCGGCCCAACTTAAGCCAGCTTCAAGTGCTTTTACACCAAAAAGACGCCCTCGCCCCCTTACAGCTTCAAGAGAAACAGCAGCCACTCTGGTCTATCATCACTGCACCTCTGGGAAATGGAGGCATCACCGCTGACCCGTCAGCCCCCGCCCGAGGTGTTCAAACCCAAGATCGTCGAGCTGTACGAGTCGCTGTTCAAGGTGCGAAAGACCCCCCGTCGTGCCTGCACCACTCAACAACGGCCGAGGTGACCGGTGCGACCTTCAATCGAACACTTCAGCTAATGTTGCAATTGTCAGGTGCGTTCAATTCATTCACACTCCCCTACCCGCGAGCCTTGCGACCCCGACGCTGCCGACAAATGCTTCCCCTGACGATCCTCGACCTGGCCCGCCAGTACCGTGCCGCCCGGTTTCGCCCAGCCCGTGGCTTGCGACGCAGTCCGCACCTTTCCGCTGACACCCATTCCCCCTTATATCTAGGACGACGACGGTGATTATGAACGCTCTGAAGGTTTCTGGCGGGAATTCTTCCTTCTCCGACCCGACCGCGCCGCCCTGAGGCAAATCCTTGATGGCCTCGGGCCCGCCGCCATACTTGCGTTGGAGGAGCACACGAGGGAACTCTTTGCGCGGGCCGTGGCCGCCGTGAAAAGCGGCCAGGGTGTTGCCGATTTGCATGCGCTTGATGTGAGTCTGGCCCCGCCGTTTACCCCCTAGTTTTATCGGTGCCGAGCAAGGTCGGACCTGGATGTTGCTGCGGTCGCTGACGTGTGCTCAACGGAATCGCAGACCCTAAGCGTGTTTCTCTGCTCGACACTGTCCAAGAAGTATGCGCATCCTAGCTCGGACATCATCAACGTTCTGGCGGGCATCGACTATATCGATACCATCTTTACAGACTTTGTGGGGGCGCTGGACCAGATCATCCGGGGTGGGAAGAGCTGTAAGGCCCAAGGAACTCATACGGGCGCGGGGACATGTTGCTGACTGGTGGCAGTGGACTTGCGACAAAGGGCTGTCGATGTTGTGTTGGCCGTGACGGCGGGCGCATACCAGACGAGTCTCTTGACGTACCTGATCCAGAGGGACCTCTTCCCCGCGGTGATGAAGGTAAGTCAACCTGTTCTCGACGGCATGATAGGAGCCGTTCTGACGCCAGTCGCAGTTTATCCAAGAAACCGACACAACGGAACGTATCCTCAGCTCCTTCACCCTCCTTGGCCTCCTGGCCAACTACAACAAGTTTGAGTTCCAAAACCCGTATCAGATGCGACTGAACGACTTCGTCAACGAAGGGACAATCAAGAAGATCATACGGTGCATTGGGGAGACATGCCAGCATCTGACTACGCAATACGTAGAGGTGCAGGACGACCTGCCCGAGGGCTGGACGCTCAACGGCACGCTGCGCATGATCGGGCTCGGAGTCGTCGCAAGGGGTCCCAGGCCGGAGAAGAAGGCTGTTTACGACGCCGAGACGATGAAGCAAATGTTTGCCAAACTGTGAGTGCCGCAGCCCAGAGAACCACATCAGACAAGAAACTTACACGATGATGAGACCCGGCGAAGAGGCGGCAGTGTTGCTGGCAACATATGACTTCACTCACGCCAACAAGCTCTTCTGCTTCAACCTAGCTACGCTCCCCGCCGAAAAGGGCGGCGAACAACCTCTGGCGGCTTTCACGTCACTCACATCCTACCTCCTCCAGCACGCTCACCTCTCGGAGCGCACAACCCATTACTCCCATCTCAACCTCATGGTTTTCCGGCTAATGATCGAGGACCCCGTGCTCTGCAAGCGGATATGCAGCGGAGAATCCAAGGGGCGCGTGCGCCTGTGCCGCCAAAGACAACCGTTCCTCCCACTGGTCACAGGCGAACGTATTTTGGCGACGGCGGTGCTGGACACGATGGTGGACGGAATCACACATAACCTACGTCGCAGACTGGATGTAGAGCTATACACGCTGTGCGTGGGGATCTTGCTCCGCGTCGTTTCGTATCTGTCCCGATCCCGCACACGGCTGGATCACCACTGGTCGGATCTGTTCCGGGCCCTGCTAAACCTGGTCAAATTCCTGACGACGTATGTCGCGGACCTGAAGGGCCTCTCGCAAATCGATTTGCTGCTGGACAACGTTGTCAACCTTCTCGCCCTGTCCCTCTCAGCGGGCGAAGGCTTCTTGCCGTCACCGGCAGCATACGACGACCTATTTTACAAGGTAGTCGAGGCGGGCGACGTGCTCATCAAATTCAAGGACAGCTACCAGCTCGGCAAGCGCCCGAGCAACTCGATCGACACGCTCATCAACGTGAGCACGCACTACAAGGAGCTGTTGGCGGAGAACGGGAAGAAGAAGGGGAATCTCACGAGCATCCAGGTGACGGAGGTAATCAAGCAGGGGTACGAGACGCTGAGCATACAGGCAAAGGAGGGCCTCGACACGTGGGATCGATATCGCGAGGCGGACGAGAGGACGTTGCTGAAAAAGATGGCAAGAGCGGCCGTTGTCGATGTAAGGGAGTTGGTTGAGAGATGAGAATGGGAAGAGGAGTGGTGAAGGCCGGTTAGAAAGTAGAGTGTATGATGTTAATGACACCCGATATGATGCTCATGAGCCATGCGGATCAGATATGCTGGCTGCGTCGACTCGAGGGACTGAGTCGATGACGACTGTTGCCCGCATTGAGGTGAAGGTAAGGCGTCATTAAAGATGGCGAAGACATCGGAATACCTCAACAGCGGACTCAACTCAAGAAACTCAGAGGAGACTTGCATGGTCCCCAACTCTCAGCATCTTTCTGTCGAACCTCTAGGTTTGTCTCGCATAGTGTCGCTCGATAGTCCGAAAGAAAGTTGAGCTCGAGCGGCCTTTTTTATTTTATCCCGGCGCTTCAAAGGGAAAAGAGTCATGTTAGTTGGCAAAAGGGATACGATGCATGAAGATAGAGTCATTGCTGGAAGTGCAAGGGCTGCTTTGTCATCGACGCCATGCCACAGGACCGTTGACAAATTAGCGGCGCATGATTGGCCATAGAGCACCATGTACAGTGGAAACCGCTTAGCATGTCATAGCCGCGCCACGGGCCAGAAAACCGTCAAATGACGCCCCCCCCCCCAGGCGGGCCCCAGCATCTGGCTTCCATTACCAATCCCGACTGACCGCAAAAACCTCCTCCGACCTGCAATTCCCAACGGATTGTCTCGTCACTGTCGGACGATTGAGCCCTCACCTTTTAAGCCCCCCTCTAACATCAACACCTAGACATAGAAACGAGACGAGTACATCGGTTCGAAGCGACACCACGTCGGTTTGCTACTGCAACGCACATATCCATATCACCCGCCCCCCCCCCAAAATGAACGCTCCGAGGATACTCAGCAGGGTGGCATTCCGCCGCTCCTGCGCAGCGCTGCAATGCGCTGCCCCCCGCCGCGCCTACGGCAGCCCGTCCTTCCAGTCCTATCCCCTCTACTCGAACAACAACACACCGCCTCCTGCGAGAGGCGACGGAATTCCCGAGACCTCGATCGCTACGCCGGATCCCCTCCCGAAGGTGAACGAGACGAGACCCCCCAAGATCCCTTCGCAGATGGCACCCCGGCAGCAGTCCTCGACAGCGCAAACGACGGCAAACACATCCCTGGCGACCTCGGAGGCGTCGGCGACGTCGTCGGCGCAAACAGCCGGCGCCGTGGCCCCCGCGCCCAAGGTGTCGGAACAGGCGGCCCAGACCCCTAAGCCGACGGGCCGCCCGCAGCGCAAGCTCCGCGCGCGCAAGGCGGCGATGAAGCTGTCACCGTCGGCCGTGGAGCAGCTGCGCGCGCTACTGGATCAGCCGGAGCCGAAGCTGATCAAGGTCGGCGTGCGCAACAGGGGCTGCTCGGGCCTGGCCTACCACCTCGAGTACGTCGACAAGCCCGGCAGCTTCGACGAGGAGGTGGTGCAGGACGGCGTCAAGGTGCTGATCGACAGCAAGGCGCTGTTCAGCATCATCGGCAGCGAGATGGACTGGGTCGAGGACAAGCTCAGCCAGCGGTTCGTGTTCAAGAACCCCAACATCAGTGAGTCTCCCACGCGCCCGTCTTAGGCTGCTTGTTTCGTGGCGAGCTGTTTTGCTGACGTTCAAACAGAGGAGCAATGTGGGTGTGGCGAGTCCTTCATGGTTTGAGGTGTAATATAACTGGTGAGCGAGGAGCCTCGCTGCAACAGACAGCCAGCTCGAGGATGCACTATTCTTGCCGTTAAGCTCAACGGCCTGGTCTTACACATGGCTCAAAGACCGGCCGTCCGTCTGTAGCATAGAAGAGACGGGAATCGGTAGACGGCATTGGCATCACATTTCTTTTCTCACGCCGGGGCGTAATGTACATCACACGCTCGTAGCCGAGCAGCAAAGTTGGGACAAAGGGCATTGGCAGGCGTTTTTCCGGTGTAATGATACCTACGAAAAAAAGGCCCGGTTCACCCAAACCGGGCGTGGAACAATAACATCTTCGTTTGAAAGAGCAATACTTTATAATCATGTCATTGATCATTATGATTTCCGTCTCCTTGATCCCCAAGACTGGCGGCACAGCGTATCTCCGAACCCGAGTGCCGGAGACCCCTGTTTCCCCCTGCCAGTGGCAGACACGTCCCGCCGGCTGGTACGGATCGATGCATCCCGGTTCCCCGCTAGAATACCTACGCACGTTGTAGCTCAGCTCAGCTCGACTCAATTGATAGTCGCGTCATTAGCACTTAAAAAAAGAAAAAGCCCCCCAAGCGCGTCTCGTCTCCTCCCATCTGGATTCGAACTCACTCCCTCCCGAAACACCACGCGACTTGACCAAAACGGCCAGCAAAATCCGGAAAGATTCCCCCTCCTCCCGGTAGCGGCCAACAACGGCTCTACAGCTCTTTTGCATGCGTCCCAATCCTCTCGGTATACCGTCAGAATGGCAGCAGTCGACTGCCCCATCTGCAATAAGCCCGTCAAGGAGGCGCTGATCAACTCCCACATCGACTCGGGCTGCGAGAGCCACATCTTCAACCCCGAACAGACCTCTTCCCCTCCTGTAGCGACCCAGGCCAATGGCAGTTCGAAGCTCTCCTCGTCCCAGGTCAAGCGCCCAGCCTCCTCCTCCTTCTTCCAGACCCCCTCTGCGAAGCGCCATGCCCCTCCGACCAAGGTCCTCACCACCCCCGCCAACGGCGGTGGTACGACCCGCCCAACGGCTGGCGTGAAACGCAGCTATGACGACGGCCCCGGCGCCGCGCCCTCCCCCTTCGCCATGGCCAACGCCGCCGACACGGACAGCGACGCGGCCGAGCAGCAGCAGCAGCAGCAGCAGCAGCCCGAGAACGGCCCCGTGGCGAAGCGCACAAAGACGGCCCGCGCCGCGCCCCTCGCCGAGCGCATGCGGCCCAGGACCCTCGATGAGGTCTGCGGCCAGGACCTCGTCGGCTCCCATGGCGTGCTGCGCTCCCTCATCGAGTCGGACCGCGTGCCCTCCATGATCCTCTGGGGCGGCTCCGGCACGGGCAAGACGACCATCGCGCGCTGCATCGCGCAGAGCGTCGGCTCGCGCTTCATCGAGATGAACGCCACGTCGTCGGGCGTCGCCGAGTGCAAGAAGCTGTTCGCCGAGGCCGCCAACGAGTTGGCGCTGACGGGGCGCAAGACCATCATCTTCTGCGACGAGATCCACCGCTTCTCCAAGTCGCAGCAGGACGTCTTCCTCAAGCCCGTCGAGGCCGGCACCATAACCCTCATCGGCGCGACGACGGAGAACCCGAGCTTCCGCGTGCAGCAGGCGCTGCTGTCTCGCTGCCGGACCTTCACGCTGTCCAAGCTCGCCAACGAGGACGTGGCGCGCATCCTGCTGCGCGCCATCGATGAGGAGGCCCGCGTCGGCAACTACCCGGGCAGCCCGCTCGTTGACGCCGAGCTCGTGACGTACCTCGCCGCCTTCTCGGACGGCGACGCCCGCACGGCGCTGAACCTGCTCGAGCTCGCGCTGTCGCTCTCGACGCGGCCCGAGGCCACCAAGGAGGACATCAAGGCGTCGCTGACCAAGACGCTCGTGTACGACCGCGCCGGCGACCAGCACTACGACACCATCTCGGCCTTCCACAAGGCCGTCCGCGGCTCCGACCCGGACGCCGCGCTCTACTACCTTGCCCGCATGCTGCAGTCGGGCGAGGACCCGCTCTTCGTCGCGCGCCGCATGGTCGTCATCGCCTCCGAGGACGTCGGTCTCGCCGACAACACGCTCCTGCCGCTCGCCACGGCCGCCTACACGGCCGCCCAACAGATCGGCATGCCCGAGGCCCGGATCCCGCTGGCCCACTGCGCCGTCGCGCTGAGCCTCGCCCCCAAGAGCACCCGCGCCTACCGCGGGCTGAACAACGCCTACGCCGCGCTGCGGGAGCCCGGCGTTGCCGCCCTGCCGGTCCCGCTGCACCTGCGCAACGCGCCGACGCGGCTGATGCGCGAGATGGGCTACGGCGCCGAGTACAAGTACCCGCCCAACTACAGGGGTGGCAGGGTCCGCCAGGAGTACCTGCCGGACGAGCTCGTCGGGCGGCGGTTCCTGGAGGACAGGGACCTGGGGACCGAGGTCGACCCGGACCTGGAGATGGAAACGGAGACGTGAAAGAGGCTCGCGGGCGATGAGGGGGGGGCGGCTTTGACTTTTGAGCGTAAGCATTGTGCCTGTTGTCGTCTGGCAGGGCTGAGCGGCGTTTGGGGGGGGGGCGGCGTCCTGGATGGGTCGAGCTTTGGGTTATACGGCCCCTATTGGGATCAGGGTGCATATTACGGGCATTGCATATAGCAAAACGGCGCATAGGAACGGCATCAGGCCAGTGCGATTGGCGAACAAATACACCTATCTTGTCACGGGTTACAGCACACAGTAGGTTGCAAGAGAAATAGGGTAAAAAGATTCCTGAATCTAGGAAAATGCCGCAGAGCCGTGTATGGCTGCTATGCTATATATCTATACAAATATTGGACGGGTGCAACACGCGATGGATGGCACGCAACAGGGCCGAAACCATGAGCTTCCACATGCGAGGCTCTCGCGACCGATCTTTGTCAAGTTGTCACGTAGGATACAAGTCGTTAATTGCTGCCCGCAATTAACGGCGTCGTATTTACGTAACCCAATTCTCCAAGCTAACAATTCTTTGAGTAGAACATCACGCAAAGTCTCTAGCTAGCTAGCAGACAAAAAAAAGAAAAGGCACGCCCAAACCAACGGCGGAACATTATTTATTATCCTTTACCCAAAGACTACTGCTCTTGAGCCTAGCTTTCGTAACATCATGGTATATGTCGTACGCTGCAGATAAACAGAAAAGGGAAGGGAGAGGGGAACGGCATGCTATTGGGGGGGCTCTACGATGTGGCCTTACTGCTATGGCATCAGAATCTAACTCTCATTGGCCAATGGGGTGGGAAATGACTTACTTGAACGCAACACCTGCATCGTTGGCGTTGACGTCCTGCTGCATATAAGCCTTCGCCCACATCAAGGTGAACCTGGGTAGATTATTCGTCAGCAGTCGACCCTTTGCGGAATGCGGGTTTTGGGTCCTCCTTGGGCTTAACACATACTGGTTGCAGAAGAAATCCTGCTGGTATGTAGAGCTGCTGTTTGTGAGTACCCTGTAGATGAAGACTGATTCGCATTGTTTGTCGGCTAAAATATGTGTCATACAAAGGTCAGCGTCCAGGACTCTTTTTAAGCTTCTTCTTTGGTTCTCGTGTTCTCCGAGCACCCATGCGGGGGCCACGTAGATACGTTTTGCTGGGAGCGTGGAGGGGGTGTCACTTACCGGTGCACTTGTCCAGGCACCAATGGAGGATGTTGTCCGTGACGCCGTCGCTCGTGCTGTTCGATACGGCGTAGTAGCCGACGCTGCCAACCTTGTCCGCCTCGTAGACCTTGTGGAACCCTGGTGAGTCGAGGGGCCACACGGGCTTGACGGGCTGGGTCAACAAGACGTGAGGCTGCTCGGGTCCCGTGGTAGGTAGTGCAGACGACGCTGAGGTTGACGCAGATGTCGTGGTAGAGGCCGATGTAGACGACTCTGAGGTTGACTCTGTGGTTGACGTGGATGTTGTGACAGTGGTAGACGTCTGGGCTGCCGTTGTTGAGGAGGTTGTGGTAGGAGCTGATGTAGACGACTCTGAGGTTGACTCTGTGGTTGACGTGGATGTTGTGACAGTGGTAGACGTCTGGGCTGCCGTTGTTGAGGAGGTTGTGGTAGGAGCTGATGTAGACGACTTTGAGGTTGACTCTGTGGTTGATGTAGACGTCGTGGCAGTGGTAGACGTCTGGGCTGCTGTTGTTGAGGAGGTTGTGTCAGGAGCTGATGTAGACGACTTTGAGGTTGACTCTGTGGTTGACGTAGATGTCGTGACAGTGGTAGACGTCTGGGCTGCCGTTGTTGAGGAGGTTGTGGTAGGAGCTGATGTAGACGACTTTGAGGTTGACTCTGTGGTTGACGTAGATGTCGTGGCAGTGGTAGACGTCTGGGCTGCTGTTGTTGAGGTTGTGGTAGGAGCTGATGTAGACGACTTTGAGGTTGACTCTGTGGTTGACGTAGACGTCGTGACAGTAGTAGACGTCTGGGCTGCCGTTGTAGAGGTTGTGTCAGGAGCTGATGTAGACGACTTTGAGGTCGACTCTGTGGTTGACGTGGATGTCGTGGCAGTAGTAGACGTCTGGGCCGCCGTTGTAGAGGTTGTGTCAGGAGCTGATGTAGACGACCTTGAGGTTGACTCTGTGGTTGACGTGGATGTCGTGGCAGTAGTAGACGTCTGGGCTGCTGTTGTAGAGGTTGTGTCAGGAGCTGATGTAGACGACTTTGAGGTCGACTCTGTGGTTGACGTGGATGTTGTGGCAGTAGTAGACGTCTGGGCTGCTGTTGTAGAGGTTGTGTCAGGAGCTGATGTAGACGACTTTGAGGTCGACTCTGTGGTTGACGTGGATGTTGTGGCAGTAGTAGACGTCTGGGCTGCTGTTGTGGAGGTTGTGGCAGGAGCTGATGTAGACGACTCTGAGGTTGGCTTTGTGGTTGACGTGGATGTGGCGGCGGAGGTCGACGTCTGGGCAGGCGGCGCCGTGGAGGACGAGGATGTCAGCGACGCCATAGTGGAATTGGTGGTCCACGAGGCGGAGGTAGTGGGCAGAGACCCGGAAGGTCGGACCGTGGTTGTCGGTTCTTGGGTTGGGGTAGGTGAGCGATCAGTAGAAGTGCTGTTGGTCACAGGTATCTTTGTGTTGTCCGCGGGTTCCTGTCTGACGCGGAGCCGGTGTCTCACATGTACCGGATCTTCCCAACCACCGCGCCGGGGAAAGATTAGGGCCCCGTTGCTCACGGCGAGCACGGCGAGGCACGAAAGCAGGCCGGTTGAGCGCATTGCGAAAACGAGAGTGCGGAATGAACGAATGTGGTTAGCGAATGGAGGGAAGTCACAAAAGAGCGTGGGGGGGGGGGGGCTCGATGATCGAAAGATGAAGCAGCCGGAACTTCAAGAAGTTTGTATCTGTGCCCGTGGGACACTTGTATGTATATACGTAAGGAGAGCCGCCTCCATGGCAGCGCAGTGGATATTGTGCTGGCTGTCACGACTCAAGTCATCATGGCGGATGTTCCCAAGGCCACGGCTCCTGAGCGCCGTTACCAAACTAAACAACTTGGGACAGGGCAGTGCCGTCTTGATTGCGCATGCCACTTACAACTGGAGCCTGTTCTCTACGATGCCCACTCCACGGTGCCATGTGTTGCCTATCCAAACAGCTTTGGAAGTATCCGGCCTATAAGGCTTAGTTGGAGCGGGGTGTTCAAGAAGGGTTACAGTAAAGATAGCACCTAATTTAACTTATGTCATGACCGATGATACAAATAATTGGGTGCTATAGATACTCGATAACGTATTATACCCAGAGTTACTGCCGGTACTAGAGACCCTGCACATATAATGTACCTATATACGCTCTAGTCATACACCTAGCATATGCTGGGTAATCATACAGGGTGACAGGGGTAAGTAAAATACCCCTATGATGTTACCCCCCATAACCGACATCATGATAGAGGGGGAATATTCACCAAAAGTGAAGTTCTGCAGTAGGGGGGTGGACGTTAGTTACCTAACCGGGGTATTTAACTTCGGCCTGGTACCATTGTATAATAGGTAGACTCTCATACCACGATACAGATCCTTGTAGGTGGGGATGCTGGGGCCCACAGTTCGTCACCTCTCCTCCTCGCTGATGGCCGGCGTGGCCGGTGTTGCCGTGGCCTGAGTCCATGCTCGTGGCGCTTAGTGGAAGGAAGACCAGAGCTGAGTCGCTCGTTGCTCTTTTGGCTGCTGTGTTCAATTGCACGTCAGGAAAAGACCCCAAAGATCGGCATATGCGCAGGGCTTTTAGGGCAGGTGACACAATGAACACTGTCGATAGTAGGTCGACTCGTTTCAGAAGCTAGAACCATTGATCTCCGCGTACGAAAGGGGGCATACCGTCAAGCAGTTCCTCTCACAAGCATTGTCATCAATCAACAACTCTATCGATCGGGCAAACCTATGAACTCTGTAGTCAGTTGCTTTGCAATGGGGCATTGACTGAGGTGCAGCATAAGTAAGTCCATGTATGGTTTTCATGAAGACGTAAACGCAATGTGCTGATCTCGTTTACACTCCAGGAACAGGCTGGGAATTTGTGTCTCTACGTCCTCACACGGTAACATTTAATGATGAGGAGCAAAAAGCTTAAGCATCTCCTCGCTCTATCGTGTTATACCTAAACTTAGCGCACTTGGTTTAGATAAACAAAAGATATGTGCGGTCTGGGTAAGGCCAGGACATTAGTCAAGGTTAGCATGAAAGTTATTAGCGCAATGATATGGAAGGAAGAGGGCAAGGATTTAGCTGGTCTAGAGCGGTAGGTGTTGGCGACACGTCCACATAACAAAATGCCTGTGTTGATTCAACTGCACCCATTAGTAATAGCCAGCGTGGCCTCGATTAGAGTCGGCTAAGTCTACGGATCCTGCCAACGCTCTTAATCATTCTAAGTTCCTTTCTGGCATTCAGAAAGCGTGGGCAGACGACATTTCCTCAGAGGCATCAAGTGGACGACGTACCTAATCAAATTTCTCGTAGGGCGGACCAATTGAAGGCCAAAGCCCTATGACCAAGTTTTTTTTTTTTAACCAGAGAAAGTTCAACGCATGTTTGGGCTTCTAATATCCTTGATGGCGAGCAGCGAGGCTTGTCTTCCTGAAGATGTGCGGGCACCTATTTGTTGGAAGCCGCAGAATCAATGGTGACATCGATGGTGACATCGATGGTGACATGCAGTTGCCTGCCATTCTCAACACAAGGACCTACCTCTATCCCGATGCGTTGATTCCCAAGTAATGCTCTGTACTGACTGAGGAACCCATTAACATGATCAGGCAGGGTTTTCGGCGGGAACCGAGAGGCGCAGCAGACTCGGGGTGTTGGGGCCACCGATTCGATGCACAAGTATGGATGTCCCATCTTCCCCGCTGCGCTGTGATAAGACCCTGAAGCCGACAGATCCGACGCAGGTACATAAGAAAAGAGCCATCAGACAAGCTGATAATGCCCCCCCCCTTGACAACCCGAGAGTACCGTGCACAATAACCAATAGGGGCCTGTGTAGAGTTAAGCTAACAATAGATATAGTTATAGCTAATAGATAAGGGTATAAATAAAAAGAAAAGGGGGAAATAAAAATAAAAAATAGAGGTAAAAAATAGAGGTAAAAAATAAAAGTAAAAAATAAAAGTAAAAAATAAAGGTAGAAAATAAAAGTAAAAATAGAGGTAAAAATAGAAGTAAAAAATAAAGGTAAAAAATAAATATAAAAAATAGAGGTAAAAAACAAAAGAGATAGTCTTAGCCTATCTTAACCTAAAGCGTAGTAAAGGAAGTAAGGTAAGATAGGCTAAGACTATTTCTTTTATTTTTTTACTTTTATTTTTTACTTCTGTTTTTTACCTCTATTTCCCTTTTTCCCCTTTATTTATACCCTTATCTATTAGCTATAACTATATCTATTGTCAGCTTAACTCTGTATAGGCCCCTATCAGTTATCGTGCACAGTACTCTTGGGTTGTCAGGGGGGGGCATTATCAGCTTGTCTGTAGACTCGAAAACAACAGCCACTCTCGATGTCAGTGGCCTTACAGCCGCCGAAAATACGGTGGCGACACCAGGTGAACTGCTTTTACACAGTCGAGAAAAAACAATCCAAAACTTGAGGTATTCGAAGGTTTCTAGATCAAACACAATTCTATGGAGGTACTTGCCTAGTCAATAGTTTAATTTCAAAGATGGACGTTGAATCTCGTTGAGATGGTAAGGTGCACCTGACTTTGACTGGCTAAATCACCTGTAACTGCTTCATTTAAATCACTACCTGTTGCAATGCACGCATACATAGTATACTCTCTGGATGGCAGCTTGATTGAACGGGCGGCCGCAGGCAGTGGGGGGAACCTCTAGCAGGGATAGAAAGTACCAGGAAGTACCAGGGAATAACACACTCTTTATAACCCCATGTCCCTACGAAAGGGGACACCAACAACCGGAGGCTTGCACAGACCAAGATTCTATCCGTTCTTCTAGAAATCTTTCTGGCCTGGGGTTGCCCTTTATCATCCCGGTGTTTTCTCTTCCGTGCAAGTGGAATAGGTAGTAAAGGGGTGTTTCAAAGGCACGTGGCACCAAGCTGTCACGAGAGATAAGGCGCAATTGCTGTCTGGCAATTGCGGTTCCATTTTTGTTGTCACCCAAGCTCATGTACAGACAGAGATGGATATAAAAGTGTCTCGGCTCCCTGTCAACTTTGCGTCTATTGCACGAGGAACTACCTGCAGGCATTTCTTCTTATTAACCGGTTCTTGGTTCGTCTTTTCGCGTTTGTATTACGTAATATGCAACTTGTCAAATAGCTCCCAGTCTCTTACAGAAGTGAAGTGCATTCAAGCTTTCTACCTTGCCCTCATGAATCCGTCCAGGCGCCAAACCGTTAGTCGCGACCCAGATACTCTAGTTTTCAAAGAAAATGGTGGCGGATTTGGAAACCAGTGACATGCCTTCGGCAACAACGGTTAAGACAGGACACAGGGAACAACCTTTGAAGGATCCCAAAATTGTGCCCAGTTCACATCACTTTCGTTGAACCCATGATTCCCCGAAGGCAGTCCTTGAATCTGCATGCCACTCTATCACGAGACAAGAGATGTGCAAAAGGAGAACTACAGGGGATGACTAGGTTTAATCCTGAAGCCTTTGAATTGATTGAATGGTTGTGTGGGTAGATGGAGAGACTAACATCGCCCATCCCGATGGACTAACAGCGTACGTGGCACAATGGATAACCATATGTGCGAGGGCCTTTGACATTGAAGGGTCTGTGACCGCGCCGTTTCCAGCTACACACGGAGAAAAATAATGTACATGCGAATATCGTTCCGTAGTGCCATATTTGATTCAACGGTGGCTAGTCACTTGGTATACTAACGCATAATTCAGGCTATAACTCGGTCCAAGAGTGGGTTAAAGCTTCTACTACAAGTCTCGAGCTCAAGTGTTGCGGAAGGAGAAAGGCGATGACGCTTTAAGCCTAGTGACGAAGACATTGAAATACGAGGATATTCATTTGTATAAGCCCAACCCGGTCCATACACATGTGCTACGGGTTGGTATCCCTTCACCATATGGCCAATTAGCTTCCGCTGACAACTTGTCCCAATATTCAGGCAATGTCATCTTTGGGGGTTGGCAGCACTCCTTCTCCTAACGCACGTTCAGGGCACTGCCGACGACATGCGCGAGAGACAACTGTTGCCAGTACAATCTATTAGATCAAATAACCTGATACCTTCGTCGGGTTATGCAGATTTTTTTCATCAGTCCCATGCTCCACGAAACCCTCGAACAGCCCTTGGTTGACATACACGCTCTTGGTCCGTCTTTGAACTGTGCCATTACCTATAACCTCCGTTGGTGTGCTCCCCGCGACAAATACCCGGTCCGGATGGACGTCGTTGTGCGCGAATGTCCAGCGGGCCATGCTGAATATGCCGAGACAGTCGCACAGCATTCAGTCGTGCGAGAGCGTCTCTGGCGATGACACGCCCTAGCTGTGGTCGGCGGTACAGGAGGGGCAAGGGGGTTAGACGGCGCGCGAGTCCTAGATGTTGATGTAGGAGGAGACGCTTATAGGGTTGGGGCCAAACTCGGTGAGTTGTTGGAAACAGAGGGGCGGCTGAGACGAGAACCAGGAGGAGCAAGATACCATTTTAGAAGCGATGCAGGCTGTACGTCTTCAGTGCGAAGAGCTAACCGGCGGCCAGCAGCGACGAAGATACAGCAGAGAGACGACTGACATGAGGCTTCATTTTCAGTCACTAGAGGTTACGCGGCTTCAAGCTCACTGATATATGGAGTATTCAATCATATTTAGTCAATAGTGGCGTGGTATTTATGGTCTCTCTCTTTATCTTCACTATTCAATTATTAAATGCTTGTTGTACTACATAAGGCGTTAATTGCTGCTTGCGATTAACGGCGTCGTTTTTGCGACAATGCCGCTTTACCGTCACCTACTTTGTCTTCTTGTCGGGGGCTATACTGTCTATATGCTATAAGCAAGATTTAAGGTAAATCTTCAAGATCTAAAATACATTTCAGTCTGAGCTTTTACGTAACGAGGCGTAAGCTTTACGATATGTTCACACTCGTCTGCACTTGCAAAATGACCTGCTCTCATCTGTTTTCGTTAGTATCCTATGAGAACCTATTCATGACCGCAACTCTCAACACCTACCCCGCCATCAACGGCGTCAGCAGCGTTCACCGCGTCTGTAAAACGTGGGCCACCATCCTCTGAGGTTCCCTGGGACCTCATTGATAAGCAAAGCAGGAACGGCAGTTTCCGCCCCGAGGTCGACAGCAACAGTGTCCCCACCGATGGCAAGTACTTGACTTTGAAGCTCGCCATGGACGGCATGGCTCCGTATGTTCCCTACTTAACTCCTCTTTAAAAGGCTACAACTGACAGTCGTTCAGCCAACCCTGCTCCCCCAACTTTATTCAGACCACGAAGGGTTCAACTTATGACGGTTTCCCGAAGTGCCTCACTCTCGCTGTTTACAATGCCGATTGAGTCCAATTGAGGTTGCAATTCTTGTCCATGGTTGGCGGAGATGTCCTAGTCGAGGAGAGAGACCCGCAGTGGATCTCGACATGCAGGTTTGTGCCTTCTCCCGGAAGCGGGAAATATGGGGCCGCGGAGAACTGTTCCGCCGGAACCCGTGGATGAGTGACGTCCGAGAAAACGCGACCTGAGGTCGGGTAGTCTATTTGGAGAGGGCTGTAATGCGAGCTAGAGTACTCCTGTTGAGACTGGTCCGTCTTGATATAGCTAGTATCACTCAGGTCATCCAAGCAGCCTGTCAATATTAGTGCGTTGATTGATTAACACACCAATTCTTTCATGAAAGTGTATGAGAGGACATAAGCATGACGATGCAACGCCACTCACTCTCTGCTGAATTCTTCAAAACCCTTTGATTTTGGTGACCGGAAACTCCATACAGCGCATGATCTGCCCTATTGCACAATATTATGTCAATTGTCGGCCCAAGCCAAGTCTATGTGCCGTTCTAAGACCCGCCTCCCCTCCCTCCCCTCTAATGAGTCGTAACACCTGCAGCGGCTCGCCCCCCCTTATTTTCTCTTGGCAAACGAAGAAGCAGTTTTCTGAACCTTGGCCGGCGGCGCGGCTTCCGCGTCGCTGTCGTCGTCGTCGTCCGAATCTTCCAGGTCCTCGTAGTCCACGTCGTCCTCGTCGACAACCTCCTCGCCCGAGCTCTCGTCCTCCGCCGCCATGGCATCTTCGTCGTCGTCTTCGTCATCCGAGTCGCCGACGAAGCCGTTTGTGGCGGGGACGTCTTCGTCGTCATCGTCGGCGGCCAACATAGCCTTTCTTGAGCCGGGGCCGTTGGCCGCGTCGGCGTCCTCCTCGGCGTCCTCCTCGCCTTCGACGTAGATGGCACCCTCCTCCTCGTCGTCCTCGTCGGCGTCATCGGTCTGGCCGGCACCGCCCCTGCGTTGCCGCCCATTCCTGAGCTGCATCTGCGCCTCCAGCATGTCAAGCTTGCCCTTGAGAGCGAGCAGGCTGGGCAGGCCGCGCGAGCGCTCGCTGAGGACCTTTTGTAAAGAGACTAACCGCTCGAGGACCTTGGGTTGAACAGCCAGAGCGCCGCCGTGTGCGACGAGGGTCCACTTGACCCAGGTCATGAGACTGCCTGCGCGGCCGGGCCGCCTGTGGAATCGGGAGGCGAGCTTGGTGAGGAGAATGCCGGCGAGACTGCTGTCGAGGCGCTCAATTGTCTGCTGGATGGTTTCGAGGTGGTTGATTTGCAGGCAGGATTCGAGGAGGTCGGTGTCTTCGGTCTTGAGCGCCTGGGTGAGGACGGTGCTCAGGGAGGATAGCGATGGCGGGGCAAGGTTCTTTCTTGATGACTGCGAGACGACGGCCTTACTGGAATCGCCTTGTTGCGACAGGATGGCGGGAACGTCGATTGTGCCCCGCAGGAGCTCGCCAAAGGTGGGCGATCCCGCTTCCTCCTCGTCCTCAGCGCCCTCGGCGTCTGTCTTGGGTTGTTGTTGTGTGGGGTTTTCGGCGTCGTCGTCCTTGCCGTTCACCGTCTCCGTTGCGTCGCCGGCCTCGGCATCAGGTGCACCCATCTCCTCGTCGGAGACATCCTCGTCGCTGTCCTCATCGGAGGAGATCTCAATCGCTTCATTGTTGCCCGTCAGCGCGGCTTGTAACGAGTCCGTCGCAGAGACGGCCGCCCTGCTCTCGTCGATTGTCGTCTTGGATGCCTTGGGGGTGGACTTGACGACCGGAGCCGCGAATTTGCCGGATGACTTTCGCCTCGAAGACATTGTGACGAGTCGGGGTATCTTGGAGACGTTGGGGTTGGCGCTGTGGTGGTGGTGGGAGAGAAAAAAAGGTGGGAAAAGTCGTGATCGAGGTCCTCTCCTCCAACAGCAACGAGAGACCGGCCTGAACTTTTTTTTTCTGCCGGCTGCCAATTTTTTTTTCGGTTCGGCGCACACGACCGCCCGCGGGGGGGAAGGTGCTGACATAATGTGCTTAAGTGGAACTTGTTCTGCTGTATCCGTATCCGCCGACGATGTCGGATCTCGGACTTTAGTATATCCGAAAGCCACTCCCAGTGCTTAGCTAATAATCAAGTCGAGCAGCTTGGACACTGCGTATGACTAAGGAACCCGTGTAGGTGGGCAATCAGGTATCTAGCACGTGTCATGGAAGGAAGGCTCAGAGTTCGATTCTCGGAAACCCAGTCCGGAACGCGTTCGGTTCTGTGTGGGCATTCCTCAAGGTAGCTAGGTAGACAGACATCTACAAGGTGTCTTCCGCTTTCCAAACACTTTGGTTTGCTTGCTGAAATTTCGCTCATGCCGCCTCGTAATGGCTCAGGCACATGCAGCGACAACCTGAGATGAGGCGCGGCGGCTGTGCGCGGAGCCTAGGTTTTCGGATGGAAGCTATTCGCGAACATGCTTAAGCCTCAGGCCGGTGGCTGCACGCCGGGGTCACCAGATATCCATGACCAAACAAAGGAAACGGAGGCCGTGATTGGCTCAGGGAAGCGACTTCCCTCAATCCAGCGCACCAAGCAATGGTCATTGGCTGACACGACGCTCGAGCAGGCGTGGCCTCCGTCTCGTTCTGTTATGCCACATTTGTCTCATCCAGACCCACATAGACGTTCTGATTGGCCAATAAGGCCGTAACTATCCCTGTCGCATGCCCTGGCCAGGGTAAACTGTCAAGCGGCGACTGGGGTCAGCGCGACTTGACGGGCTCCTACAAATAAGAAGTGGCCCCTAATCCAGATTTTCGCGCTTTTTGATATAAAAAAGTCCTGGAAAATTCCAAAAGGAAGCTTGCAGTCATCTGATCTGTCACGAGACCTGCACCAAAGAACGCATCGCTCCATACAGCGCCGCCACCGTTCTCGCTCGAGCTTCCTTTCATTTCCCGGTACGTACCGACTCTTGTTTCCTGTCGCATGCATTCGAGCCCCCAGCACATAGTGTACATATCTTCCTTCTCTTTTGCTACTCTTGCTGCCACCGCCGACACGACCCATCTTTCCCGTCGCGTCGACGCCTCGCGCTGGCCCCCCCCCCCCCTCTGGTGCTGGAGCTGGTGCTGGAGCTGCGTTTGTTCTTCATTCGCACCTCCCTCTTCTCTTCCCTCTTCCTAGACGGACAGCGTTGGTCCTGCTTCACCCCGAGCAAGGCATGGCTTGCATTGCGTTTGGATTACGTTGTGTATATTCAGCAGAAATGAAAACGAAAAGAAAAACTCATGTTACTGCGCACCAGACCTGCACCTCGCACGAACTCAATGTCACTGCTCGCTTGGTCATTTTGGAATCAGTCGAGATGGCTGGCTCAGTCGCGCATCATCCTCACCTCACTACTCCACCAGCCTCGGTCACCTCCCTCCTACACGCGATCGACGAGCTTAGCCACAGCCAGCTCGTGCTTTCTTTCCCGACACTGACATAGTTTCTCGTGCACAGGTATCGCAAACCACAAACTGGTGTACGGAAAGCAAACCATCACGTCGAGAGACGAAGAGAGAGGGAAACAAAACAAAACAAAGCCTCGACAGCTTCGGGTGAGTGAACAAACAGACTCCGTGTCCACCGGCTCTCACCGTCCCGTCCCTGCCAATACGCGTGTTCAACATGGCTTCCCGTTTCGCATCACACACATTCAATACTTGCCCACAGTTCCACATCGCATCCTGGGCCCAGTCACATTTCCCAGCCTCGCGTTTTTTCGTCTAGATCCGGGAGCGGACACATGCCCTCATTGGCCAGTGCCTCCACAGCGTGCATAAATATGCATTCTTTATGTCACCACCTATGCACGCCCCCGGTCCACCGTCCCCTTCCATTCAACTTGCACTTCCAACATTTTCGTCGCAAATTTACGATCTCTTCCCTCTTTTTTTCCCCCCAAGTCCCCCCCCCCCCCCTCGGACCTCCAACCTGCCCGACCGACCTGGTACTTTACTCGTCCTCTGTCAGGCTGGCTTCCCTCTCACCAACCACAGACACCCCCCAGTCGTCGATCACCCACGACGCACTGACCGCCCCCTCTCTAACCTTCTTCCACTGTCTGGTCCCTTTTTTTCGGCCCAACGAGTGCCACTATCCTTTTTTCCGCCACGGTTTTTAGGTTCCACCCCTTCTGTAGTCGCCAGTCGCGATCGCGCGTTCTTGTCCCTCGCCTCCGATAAGGCCAGATAACCGGCTGTCCGGGGACCACCCTTACCACACCCGTCCTTTCTCATAAATACCACGCGCCGCCATCTCGGCCAAAAACCACTGACGTGCACGCGATTTCCTCCGCTCAGGTCCCTCCACCTCCCCGTATCGCCAAAAACTCACACAGCCGCACCTTCCCACCCTGCCACCCGCGACGCGATACGATACGGCCGGATTAATCATTTCACTTCGCACCCACCCCCCATCTATCTCATCGATCGCATTGTTCCCACAATCAACGGTCATCGTCAAACTTGCGACAACTGCGGTTCAATACCAATTGCGCATTGTCAACCACTGCAGGCGCATCCACGGATTTCTCGCGATTTCTCTGAGACGTGTGCATCTCATATAATTGCTGTCGCATTCCCTTCCTGCGCGCGCAACCACGCATCGCAACTCCCTCCCCCGAGCTTGCTTCTTTCCCTTGGCGGCGGCAACTTCCTCGCGACTGCGCTTGCTCTGGTAGTGCCTTCCTGACATCAGTCACATCCTCGACACGATTGTTCCTGCCCCGCGCCTGACCTTCCTAGACCCACCTTTTGACAATCCGTTCCACGACCTCCCCCTCTCTCCGACCTCGAGAACAACTTTGCGCTCCATTTCCCCTCGTCAATTTTCGTCGTCTATTTCGTGCTATCGCCGTCGCACCGAATATCACCTGCGCGCGTCGCTGCTTTCATGTCGCGTCGCGCACAGTAACTCTGCCCTTACCACAATCACCACATGGCAGTCATGGCGTCACCTCAGTCAGAACGTCCCACCTCTGATCAGAAGCCCGCCGAGTCTACATCAGCCAAGGAGGACAACAAGCCCGAGACAAACGGGTAAGTCGCATCTAGCACTGGCGCGTTGTTTGTTCAGTGTTGCGATTGTGTTCGCATTCATTCTCGCGCGCATTCTACCTTTGCCAATGATAAGGCGCTAACACAACGACCTCCTCGTAGTCACGCTTCGCCTGCCGAAAAGACTGATAATAAGCCCGCGAAGTCGCCCACTGTGAATGGCGACGGAAAGCATGATGAACCCAAGGCATCGGATGATGCGGATCTGAGTCCTTCAAAGGGCGACACGGAGACCGACGCGCCCGCCAAGGATGCTGACAAATCTTCGGAGAAGACTGAATCGGCAAAGCCAGACGAGCAAACCAAGGAGCCAAACAAGTCCCAGAGCCCTGCTCCTGCGGAGCCATCCAAGGACGTCGACATGACCGATGCGCCGGAGGATAAGTCGGAAAAGAAGTCTGATGAGAAGGCGGACGACAAGGCAGGCGAGAAATCTATTGAAGATACAGCCGAGGCATCCGAACCCAAGAGCGCCACCGAGTCCAAGGATATCGAGATGACCCAAAATGAAGATAAAGTCAGCGGGACTAAGGAGGGAGAGTCATCGCCTGCTACACAGGCAAAGGCTGCAAAAGAGGTAGAACTGCAACCAGCAAGCTTGTCGCAATTGGCCATTGACAGTGACAAGGACAAGCCTTCGGAGCCTGCTGATACCGATGTGCCCATGGCGGAGGCTCCGTCAACGGCAAGCAAGGTTTCTCGCGAAAGAGAAGACGACGTTGATGTTGAGCCTGCGCCCAAGCGCGCCAAGACGGACTCTAACGACGAAATTTCAGCCGTCGATACCATCGAGTCTACGGTGGAGGTGAAGCCACAAGGCGCGCTGGACGATCTCGCAAAGGGCGAGGCGGCTCTCGAAGATCTTCCCCTCTGGAACGACCCTGAGCGCGACCCCAAGCCCCTCACGTCTCATCAAACACGAGAGTTCCGCAAGGTGTTAGCCGGCGTGAAGAAGACGAAGCACGGCGCACACTTCAAGGATGCCGTCGTCAAGATGTGGCCTAGTCTCGCAGAGAGCTATGTCATGCGCGTTAATAACCCCATGGACATCGGCGAGCTCGAGCGCAACCTTCGCGACAACAAGTACAGTACCTTGCGAGGGTTCAAGGATGACCTGGGCAAGATCTACAAGAACTCAGTCATTTTCAACGGCATCAACAACGAGATCACATCCGCTGCGCTCAACGTGGTTAAGCTCGCTTGGACACGCGTTTGTGTCATTCCTTCCGCCGAGCCCGCCAAGTCCAAGCCAGTACCCAAGCCCTCGCGCCACCCCGAGTCACGACCATCCGCCCCTCCGCCCCCGGTCCGCAGACAGCCTAGCATCCCGGCTGCGAGCCCTCCTGCCAAAGCCGAAGCCGAGGCTTACGCCGTTCCTCCCGGAGGTGTGCCGCAGGTTCGCCGCGCCTCGACACAGAACGATTTGGACCGGCCCAAGCGTGCCATTCAGCCCACCAAAAACCGTGACCCAGACTACTCGGCCAAGAACTTCAACAAGAAGAAACTGCCGATTGAACTTCAGTTTGCCTACGAGGTTTTGAACGAGTTGATGGACGCCAAGAACGCCCACTGCAACTTCGCATTCCTCGCCCCAGTCGATCCAGTGGCGCTCGCAATTCCAACTTATTTCACCATCATCAAGCGACCCATGGACCTGGGTACGATTATGACCAAAATCAAGAGCTATGATTACCAGAGCATCAAGGACTTCCAGACAGACATTAAACTTGTTTTCAAAAACTGTTACAAGTTTAACCAGCCTGGTCAGCCGGTCTACGAGCAAGGGCAACAACTTGAGCTCATTTTTAGAAACTTGTGGTCAAAGAAAGACCAGTGGATCGCCAAGCACACTCCGGCAAAGCCGATCTCTGACGGCTCGAGCCGTGAAAGCGAAGACGAAGCTGAGGAGGAAGAGGAGGAGGCGCCTGCCACCACAGTTGACGATGCCACGAACAAGACGATCCAGATGCTCGAAAAACGACTGGAGGAGGAGACAAAAAACCTTGCTCAGCTTTACAAGACAGCGGACATCGCCGGTGACACCATGATTGACCTCCAGCAATCCCTGATCAGCACTATTCGGTCCCGTATCTTGCAGGAGAAGCAGAACCTCGTGGCTCAAAAGCCAGCCAAGGCAGCGAAGGCCAAGCCGCCAAAGCCGACCAAGCAAAAGGCTAGCGGCGCTCCTAGCAAAAAGGCGGCTGCGGCCCCTGGGCCGAAGAAGGTTGGGGGCGGTGCGTCCAAGAAGCCGAAGCAGCGTAACATGACACAGCCCGAAAAGGACGCCATCGCCAATGCTATCAACGATCTCGAGAGTCCTCATATCGAACGCGCTATCGACATCATCAAGAAGGATACTGGTCAATCGGTAAGAAAACTTCCAATGCTCCTGCATTTTTGGACTTGATTTGCTAACACTCATCGCAGGAAAACAGCAGCGGAGAACTCGAGCTCGAGATCGACCAACTTACCAACGAGGCCCTCCACAAGCTTTGGGACCTTTGCAAGAAAGCTTTGCCTACCTTTGCTAACGGCCTTCCGAGTGCGCCTGCTCGCGAACCATCTCCCGTGAACAGCGCTCCCGCCAAGTCGTCTGGCAAGCCCACCAAGCCCAAAAAGAACAAGCCCATGAACGCTCAAGAACAAGAAGCTCGCATCGCCGAGCTTGAGAGGCTTCGCAATATGTACGATGGTAATCCCAAGGGTGATCAAGAGCGCCCTGGCAGCTCCGGTCGCACAAATGAAGCCCCTGTTCATGATAATGACAGCGAGTCCTCCGATGACTCGGAAGAGGAGTAATGCTGAACATCAACTTAATCACGTCAAAGCTTTGACGTGCGGGTAGAAGGAACGGAGATGGAGAGAGGATGAGATCGGCTGTCCCCAATGACGTGGACTAAGCGCTCAATGGGCTCACATAGAAAGTGCAACGCCTGGGTGCCAGGCGACTTGCAATTCCGGGCATTATCCTCGGTCGACCCCACATCCAACCCGTTCTCCAAGAGGGTCTTGTACCCTGGTCTCACGGGTGGCTGTCTTGCCTAACGAAACCTTCCACGCGGCGGTGGAAGGCAGACTCGAGGAAAAGCCGCAGAGCGCAATCGAGCTATGAAGAGATCGTCGGTTTGCAGGGCGTCGTTACCGGATGTCCACTGGAGATGGCATCTTTCTTTGCTAGCCAGCGGCGAGTTAGGCGAAAGCTAGCGCGTTGAGCTGTAGAATATGATGTATAATATCCTTCGTCTCACATTATGTGCCCCGCGATGTTTCTGCTCTCATGATGTGGCTTTGAGACCACGGCGAACTGCACAAAGATTCCCTTGTCAATTGATTGGCCTCGGTCAGTGGCCTGACGTTTCAAGGTCAAGTCGCCGGTGTGGAAGAACCGCTGTAGTAACGTCCAGTTAGTCTAGAGTGGAGAGTCACGCGACGGCAAATCAAACCGAAAGTTTCCTCGTTTGACGAAGCATTGTGGGATGCTGACTCGCACCATGCGAGACTTCGAGGTCTGCTTGTCCTTGATCGAGTCAGCGGTTGGCCGAGGGGGTGGATGAGGGATACATACATTTTGATCGGTCTCTGGGACCTCTGAGTCGAGTCGATTACCGGTGGGGTGTAGAAGCAGGAGAAGGGGCTTGGAGTCAGGCGAGGCCGAGGCGCGAGGTAGGATCACAGGAGCAGTGTGCCGAGTCCAAGGAGGGAGAGGGAAGAAAGTCGAGGCCTGACTTGCAAGATCGGAGAACTGGCCAGAGTCGCGGGAGCGGGGCCGACCGGAGTGGGGGGAGAGGTCCCGGTGGTGAGTACCCATTTCGGTCATGGACGTCAGCTCGGGCTTTTTCCGAATAAGCTTTTCAGCTAGTTTCCCGATATCAAGTGCTGTTCCAACGGGAGCATTGAACCTTTCTTTGCTTCTTCCCGCTTGCTCACACGGTGTCAAATAAAACCTTTCAAAACACAGCATACACAGTCGTTTTGGCCTAGTGGCATCCAGACCAGCCGGGTCTGTACTACATCACATACTAGGCTCGGTTGTGAACCAGCTCAGCTTGATTACAGACATCAACTACTTTCTCTCCGCTGGCTTAACGTTCACGACCTAGATAGTTAAATACCTTGATCCGTGCCGGCTTCGTTGACGTAAGGCTGTCACCACATCAGTAGCCAATCAGCATATGGCTTAAGGATCAGAATATGTGACCCGATATTACCCAGCACGCCGCCCAGGGAGACGCGGCAGAATGGGTACTGGCCATACTATTCCGAGTGACGCAAAACAACATTTTATCAAGATTAGCATATAGGCTGATAAACTTACACTATCTGGGCGGCAACGGCTCTATTAAACATCTCTTACAAGTATCCATAGATAGAGCAGAGAGCAAGTCTTGGTCACAATGACGTAGTGCCTCAAGGACCTGAGGGACGGGGCATTTGTGCGTACTTTCCTCTATATGTCTCGTCCAATTTTCCTGAATACTGCCCATTGCTGATTCTAAAATACCTTGAACTTGGTTTTTGATTATCAAATTGTCGTTAACACATCTTTTATCTATTTTCTTTTTGCCAACTATGATCCATGCCTCGCGGCGTCATGAGATCCATGCTTAATTTGGTCTCACCCAGAAGCTTTCGACACTCATAGGTAAGATATTTCACGCAATTGAAATTTTCTTGTTCTCTCACACAAAGGCAAGCTACAAGAAGAGAAAAAAGAAGAAAAAGCATGTCTAGAAACTCCTTCGCGCAAGGAAGCCCAAAAGAGCCCAGCAACCGCGACGCAGTAGCTGCCAACACCGAAAGCGCCCTGTATTCTCGACATGATAGGTGGGAAAACGCAAAGCTGATGAGCAACAAAACCAATATCATGACCCAGATAGTCTTGAAAACCCGTCCTTCATCGAAGTAGATGCCCCAGCCGTGGTTTGGCCCGTCCACCGTTCCTGTAAGTTGGATGTCTTTCTTCATCAGCACGTGACAAACAACAGATGTCTTGAGCGTATCAAGACATTCAGGGTGCTGAAAGCTATGAAGTTGCGGTGTTTTTAGTAGGACTGTTAATGCCTCAATAAAAGGGGTTGATGAGGCTGTAACCAGGCAGGCAGGCAGGCAACTAACTGTTGGTCCAACCACACAGTGAGAACAGGCCAGCGCTCATGTATGACAAAACTATGACTGTGACTCTATGTCTCCTAGCATTGTCTGGGTTCCCTTCTTGCTAGATACGCGAGTTAACCACAACGTCGTCTGGAAATGAGGTTTGGTGGTAGAAAAACCAGTGTGGTGTGTAATGAAGGTTGTATTCCGCGGACAAAAGCTTGTTACGAGCCCTGATACGTGTCGAGAAAGGGCGGTGCAACACGGCCACCAAACAAAGGAAAGAAGAAACAGATGGGAAAACCACTCTCACCTACAACAACGTCTGCTAATAATAAAACTTATATGGATAGGTAGATCTTGCAATTTTCAGATCTAATCTCAAAAGAATTTTCAGAAAGTTGAGAATTGACAGTGCAATCGCCAAAATTGTAGTATGTGCAATAAGGAATAAGAATTCCGGCAATTACTGGCGGTGTATTTCTGCCTGGAGTATTAAGGCCATGAGTTTTGATGATGATGAAGTCCGAATGGGTCCGAGAATACCTTTATCTATCCATCCTAGACCACTGTTCCAGTCTATCCCTTAGGCGACCCATCCACGTGCCCCCCAGTAACTATTCCTCCCAGCCCCATCACAGTGTATACCCCTGACTCTGCAAGTATGTACGCCGTCGCAGTGGTAGGAGAAACATCACAAGATGCTCAACAAGGCTTCCTTCACGGGCTCTAGGAAATCGATAACAGGGTCCCAGATGCTGGTACCCTCTGGATTCTCAGCTTCTTTGGCGGCCTCAGTTGCGAGGATTTCGACAATTCGGGTAAAAAAGCCCATGATTGTTTATTCGGGGGTATGTACGCGAGATGAGGGCAGCTATTGCGGTGGCGTTGAGGTTTCTGTGCTTCTGGTTCTGACCTATTTGGTATCAGTTACCTGCGCTATGCGCCCTCCAGGTTGGCAGAGAAGACATACCGGTGCGTTCCTATGGAAGCTGCCGTGTGTTTGTGAGCTTTTGATATGGTTTTCTTTGGCTTGGAGTGCGGGTTGTGGGAGAACAGTACCGGGGAAAATGACATTTTAATACCAATTGCAGTTGCCACAACCAAAGGCCTCGAAGGCTATGGCATTATCAACCAGAGGCTGAGCACACAGCTGCACGTTTACACGCGCAAGGCGTTTTCCTATCTGAACTGGTCAACACGGCCTATGGTGATTTGGGAACGGCCCCGGAATGTTCGGCAAGGCTTTTGGTTCAAGGAAGATGGAGGTAAAGCTGCATGTCTTTACAGCCGGTATAACCCCCTCCCGATACTTTGTCCCCATCGAGCAGTGGCGATTCCATAACGGTGAGGAACGTCTGCCAAGACCTGCCTAAGCATGCGAGAAAAGGTTGCGCAATCTATAGTTGTAGTAGCAAGCCAATCGGAATCCTCGGCGTGTCAGTGTGAGCAAAGCAGCCTGCTCAGCCGCCCCAGCAAACATAGACGTATTCCTTCCTTGGCGCAAATAGAGATAGGAATTGAGGCCATTTGGACTTGGGTGTGGAGGCGGGGGCTTGAACGGATGTTACGGCTGCCGCCATCCTGCAGGTTGATCGCGTCCCGTCAACATGCGTCATATGCGAACTTTCGTATTACGAAGCCTCTGCGCTGTCGCAAGAGAATTAATAATCATATTTGGAATCATCGGGATGATAATGAGGAGACACTCTTTGGTTGTGTGTGTTCACGTGGAAGCCTGACTTTCGTCGCCTTCCTATATCGAACCATAACGAGGCCGTTTAACAGGTTGTCCACAGAGCATACGTAAGCCCGTCTTACCTCGGTAGTTGTAAGTCTATTTCCAAGACCCCATACGATTGAAGATCGCGATGACTATCGCAAGAAGCACCGCCGCTATTGCGGGCGGCGGCTTAGGAGGATTGGCAGGCAGGCTGCTATTGCGGTTCAGCCTATACTGTTGGTGTTACTAACGTGCTCACAGTCCCTCTTTCTATTGACTACGCAAGAGCGATTGCCAGATATTGAATGGCGATGCCAAGCGTGGCAACATCGAATATACTCACGTGAATAAGTGGACGCAGTGCCAAGTATTTGGAAGAACAAACAGCTCAGACACGGATATACGGAGCATGATTCTGCGCCTGTCAGCGCTGTCCAGGGGTTACAGCATGATGGTATCTCAAGAACTGTTCAAACAACTGTCTGGTCATCAGTTCTATGTATTTCAGTTGGTTACAGACAGAGCCACTACAGCCAGTAATAGAGTTGCTGATTGGGCTTCTGCATGCCTTCGCCACATCGTATTACGGGATGATCTGTGGTCAGCAGTCCTATATTTGGTCTAGCGGTTAAAGGATCCTGGGTCTCATAGCGAGGTCCTTATCAGTCAGTGGACTACGTAGTTCGGATGTGGAGCCGTAGTCACGCCGGAGGAAAGAACCGAGAAGCCAGACACTTGATGCCATTGTTTCTCAGCGGTTTACAGCGGAAGCAAGCGATAAGACGCGCAGCGCAGGATACAAGCTTGACGGTATGCATCTTGGGAGTGCGGCAAGCCGTTGCTTCCCCATCGGATCTAGTTGAACTAAGCGCCATGTTTTGAGGATGCCGCTTCCTGATGGTCAGAGCCGAAGACTAGCGTAGACCGATCCTGATATCGGAACATTGCGGCCGTAGTGTGGGGCCGACTCGGCGGTTTGATTGCGTTATTTTCCCCCATCGCATCGTCCAAGGTTTTCTCAAAACATCAGTAGTAGCGGAATCATCTACAGAACCTCGGTACTGTTGTAGAATATTTTCATGCAACGATATGAGTGTACCTTCATTCATTCAACCCCTAGTGGGATCTGAGATACGGACCGTTGAGATGCATACTTCGGGCGAAGCGGCGCGTATCGTATACGCTGGATACCCCGACATCCGGTGAGCAATGATTCCAAGCCAATCTTCCTCATCCGTCTACGTGTCATGTTTTTTTTTTCTTTTTTTTTGACAGAAGATAAACCCTCAGTGGTCCACTCTTGGAGCAGCGGTCGCTGGCTCGATCACAGCATGACCACCTCCGCCGTAGCATCATCTACGAGCCGCGCGGCCACCAAGACATGTATGGGGCCGTATTAAGACCACATACAGAACTGGTAGACTCGGTAGAAGCTCACATGGGGGCGTTGTTTCTTACACACGAAGGCTACGGTGTCATGTGCGGCCACGCCACCATTGCCCTCGGCAGGTTTCTTGTCGATTGTACCGACGAAACCATTTTCCCCCGGCGCCAAGACCTGCAGTTTGACAGGGACAAGAAGCAGGTTGAAGTCCGCTTACACGCCCCAGTCGGACTTGTCCGCATAACGGTCCCCATTGTCGAGGTAAACGGGTCCTGGAGAACGGACACCAGCCGTCTGATCACATTTCTCTCTGTGCCCACGTTTGCGACCGCCATCGATCTTTCCGTTTCGATCCCAGTAAGCAAGCTCTGGGCAGAGTTGGGAAATGATACACAGGTAACCGTCGACATTGGTTTTGGCGGTGCATTTTACGCGGTTGCCCCCGCCTCGGCGCTGGGGTTCCCTACTTCACTGGCCAAACCCGACATCTCAGCGCTTAGCAACGCTGCGAAGAAGTTGAAAGAGGCTTTCAACGCTTCTTCTGACCTCCGGGCTCATCTAAGTAATCCAGACGACGAAAGCCCGCAATACTTGTACGGCATCATGGTCACGGATACAGGCAGCAACGACGAACTTCCCGCAACTCCTGGTTGCATGGGGGCAGAGACGGGACTCTACTTCTTTGGCGACCAGCAGGTCGATCGTAGCCCAACTGGCTCCGTTGTACAGGCGAGAGTGGCGTTGTCCATGGCGAAAGGTCAGAGGAAGCTGGGCGAGTCATGGACGTATCACAGCCTGGTGTCGAAAGCTATAGGGGGCTACAAGAATGCTTTTGTCGGTACGCCAGTAGAGGAGCTAAAGGTCAGCGGAAACAAGGCGTGGAGAATCGAGGTGAGCGGACAGGCCTTTTATATTGGAGCAGGCGTATTTATCGCAGAGGAAGACGACGATATTGGCAAAGGATTTTCTTTTCGATCGCTAGGCATGTAATCTCAAGGATGCAAGCTTTTCTTCCTGGCCAGAACGTACAATGAATGCGAAACAGCACTGGGGAAAAATATGTCAAGTGTCTTGAGCAACCTATCTCATCCATGTGTGGAACTTGTTCAGAGGCACAAAAACAAAAGATCGACGTTGGCCTGATTCGAACAGACGCTCCCGAAGGAACAAGATTTCTAGTCTTGCGCATTAGACCACTCTGCCACAACGCCGTGTAGAGGAGCCCGCTTTCTAGCGGGGTTGAGAACTGGGGCAGTCCCAGACTTCATCATGGTATGGCGTGGGTGCCATCTAGAGCTGGGATTGAAACGGGTTTCTGAATCATGCATGGCGGTGTTTGCCCAACGGTTCCAGCTGTCAGACTTCAGAGCGTCAAAGGAATATTTGCTGAGTTATTAGTACTAGCGACTTTCTGACATACTTCCAAGAATACTAAGAATTCTCAGTACCAACCCAAGTTGATGATTTGACTAAACAAAAAATTCAGTAATGGCTTTGATGACATCTTCTGGTGCTTGTTCCGGGATGTAATGTCCAGAATCAACACTGCTGCCTTTCACCGAAACGTCGTTACTCGTAACTTTTTGCCACTCTTTGACGGCTTCAAAACACTTTTCGATCACGCCATATTTGCCCCAGAGCACCATTAAGGGAGACTGGATCAATCTCCCAGCCTCTAGGTCCGCCTCCGCCTCTTCGAGGTCCAACGTCGCACTTGCGCGGTAGTCGTTGCACATGCTGTGTACAGCAGCCGGTTGCTCCATCACACTGGCATAGTACTCGAAGTTGTCCTTGTCAAAAATCTCCAATGCCTTGGGTTGGCGGCCGCCCATGAAAAGCTCCACGAACTGCCTCGGCGATGCGTTGATGATGTTCTCGGGAAGCGGCTCCTGCTGGATCAAGAAAAACCAGTGGAAGTACGCCTTGGCAAAGTCGAAGTTGGTCGTCTTGTACATGACGAGGGTCGGGCAGATGTCGAGAAAGATGGCCTTGCGCACACGGTCGGGAAAGTCGACGCAGAGCTTATGCGCAACGCGGGCGCCGCGGTCGTGCGCGCATACGAAGAACGGTTTGCTGGCGTAGCCGAGGCCGTCCATGACACTCACGCAATCGCGGGCCATGGCACTCTTAGCATAAGAGGCCACATCGCCTGGTTTTGACGACTTGCCATAGCCCCGGATGTCGATCAAGACAATAGTGTACTGTTCGATGAGTTGCTCGGCAACTCGATGCCATATGTGGTGGCTTTGAGGGAAGCCGTGGAGTAGAAGGAGGGGCGGGAGTGTGGATGACGAATCCCCGCTCTTGATGCCGTATATTGTCATTTCCGGCGAAGCCTGCGTGGTGACAGTAAATGGTTGGAAGCCTTCAAACATTTTCAGGTCAATCAATAAGAATGCTAATCGAAGTGGGCTTGCTCCTGGAGACTTTCTGCGAGCGATGGACTGTCCAAGTTTCTGGATGATTTCATGGATGTATATATGATTGAGGAGCAACCGCGCGCCCTTCGTGGACATGCGGGAAATCTATTTAGCGAGCAGTACCCAGCCGCCCACCAAGACCAAAACGCGCATGTGTTTTGAGCGTCCTTCACACACGGCCCCTGATCTTGACTTATTCGCCGGTATAAGCGTAAAGGGACGGCGCTAACCTGAACGTTCCTTCTTGATAACAATCATTTTTATTAGACGTGAAGCCTTGTTGCTGTCGCTTCTCAATTGCGGGTAAATGATTTGCCTCGGAATTTCCTGTGCCAAATTGTCATCCACCGTACTGTTTTGGTGCGCAACATGCGACATGAGTCTGGTGTTCCACATGGGGCGTTGAAAAGATTATTTTGAGCGTGTCCGAATTCGGGTGTTCACTAGGTAAATTATACACCATATCGCTTATGATGATACCTCATTATTAGGAGGGCTGTCAAGGTCATGTCCATATACGAGGATCATCCATTCACTGTATAGGTAGATAAACAGTCATTTCTACGTAATGATGGGGCTGTCTGTAGTACATCCATGGACGATCGGTTTCATCACCGAATTTTATATCTTATTGATACTTGGTTTATTCAACATATACATCGGTTGATGCAACGCTCTATACCAGACCTCACAAGAGCTTGTTCTCCTCATCTAAACTAGCTTTCCACGCCTTGTAGTCAAAGCCAAGCTCTTCTAGTGTTTTGACTTCATATCTCTTCTCGCCTAGCTCCCGCGACGCAGCCTTGATCAATGGAAACCGCTCTCTGGTCCATCTCTTTTCATCATCCCAAAACGGCGGGATCTTGCCCACACCGTCATTCTCCAACCCGGGCCTCTTCTCTGCTTCGAGACTTCGTGCGTGAAGCATGTTGATGTACTCTAGATCCTTGGGAAATGCGAGATTGTGCAAAATCTTACCCTCTCCCTTGTCCTTGAGCATACGCGCCTCCCACTCCCTCATTTCGACGCGGCTTGGTAAGCGCGCCCGGTCTGCCCACGCGCGTGCGACATATGCCGCCTGGCCTTCGGAGACGGGAAACGGAACGATTCGCTGCGGGATACCAGAGAAGGCAAGTGTCGGGTCGTCAATGTAGAACAGGTGCTCGTACAGATTGCGGGCACAGGCGCCATCAGTGACGACCGGCGGGTTGAGATCGCGGAGGAAGGGAAAGCTATAAAAGTAGCCCGTGCAGAAGACGACGCCGTCGATGTCCGACTCGACTTCGCTGTTGGCAAAGCGCACTTTGCGGCCGTCTGGGATGAACTCGGCGATCTCGGGGACCATCTTCGCCCACGATGAGCGGTCCTCGCCTGGCGTGCTGGGAACTGTTTTCTCGGAGACAATGATGGGAAGTTTGCAGACGCTTGAGATCTGCGCACTCAAGTCGATGCCGGATGCAGAGTTGCCAACAATGATAACTTTCTGCAACAGGGTGAGCAGCTGAATCTGACACATGACTATGTAGTGCACTGCACTCCTCTCACCTTGTTATCGTATTGTGCAGCATTTCTGTAGAACTTGGAGTGTGAAATTGATCCTGGGTGAGCCTTATCGAAATCGGCAAGACCAGGGATATCAGGGATGAAAGGGTCGTTGTAGTGACCACTTGCGACCAGGACGGCGTCGAACTGAGCGCTAGTCACCTCGTCCGTCCTGAGATCCCGCGTTTCAACCTCCCAATACACCTGATCATCTTTGATCACCTTCTTGACAGACAGCACTTGGGTTGACAGTGAGACGATAGGCTTCAGCTCTTCAGCATATTCCTCAAGATACTTCTTCACTACTTGGTGGGGAGGGAACAGAGAAGCATCAGAGGGAAACCTCTGATCCGAGTAGTTCATTAACGTGTGCGGAATATTTGTGTCCAAATAGTCATATACGGGAGACACAAACTGCTTGGCTTCGTGACCCTCAACGGCGATGGCCGTGTCTGGGTTCTTCGTCGGCCGCGTTCTTGGGATACTGAAGTCACTGTCAACGACGTTTAGAGGGCTGTACGCCCAAACACCACCGACAGTGTCTCTTTGTTCGAAAACTTGGACCTTGGAGAACTTTTTCTCCGCCAAAAGGTACCTGTTGGATATCGTGTGAGAAGCTGCAGTGGGTGGTAGGACCGGCACGGCTTACTTCGCGGCGGCCAGGCCGCACGGCCCGGCGCCGATAACGGCGACTCGGTCGACGTTGAGCTTATCCTCGAGGTATACGGGCGACATGGCGGGGTGAAACCGAATTTTACCGCTGGGAGCCGTGAAGTATCGCAGCAGTAATGACGATGAGGGGATATCGTAGCAATGTTGAGTTCCCAGGTTGGTGGAAGACCCCTGGGTTATATGATTGACTGGCCTGGCCTCACTGAGATATTTTAAGCTGGTGATAGTATATCAGTCGATTGCAGTCCCGTATCTTCAGATCTCGGCTGACAGGACGAGTCTTACGTAGTAGGCCAGCAGTTTGCAGTCGGACAGACGGCTCATGGAATCACGCGATGCGTGGCAACCGACACTAGTCGGACTCGGCCCGACAGCGCCAGGATTGGTAATTTGGTGAGAGCTGGGGCACTAGAATGGCGGGGGTTTACTCCACAAGCTTCCAGTCAGTGAGTGAGTGTCCTTGGGACAAACATCGTTTCTCGTGCAAGACATGAGTTTCTGGTCTTGTCCCTGATTTGTCTCGTTTAGCACTCACTTACGTTACTCAAAAGCAAAGCCTCTAAGCTCATTTTACAGACTTTGGCAACGCTTCAGCAATCCATCTGCGTCTCTTCTCCTGTCTTTACATTAATTAATTGAGAAAAACTCTACTTAATGAAATATTGAACCTGCATGGCGCATCCCGGCGGCGGGGCCAAATTGGGCCAACTGGCTGGCAAAACGGCCAAGAGGTGGACTCTCATTCGCCGTCCGTGAGCCGCTATTGTAATGGCGTGCTCTAGGTATGCCTGCTTGCCCGGTCAGCTCAAGCAAGGCCTTCCAAATCCCCCCCTTCGAATCTGCGCGCAAGATGAGACCGGGGAAGAAACACGGGCAGAGAGGCAGACAGCCTCGTTGCAAGGCGGGGGGTAGAATTTGCCCTCCACAAATGATAACAAACACAACATCACGACCCCCCTATTCATGGGACCGTGTTGCCTTCGAACGAATCTGCGACTTGATATGCAGTGAACCAGTCAGGACAACAAGCGGAGAGCTCCCCGACTCAGTCACTTCTCAACGGATCCTCTTCCGGCCTCCAGGCCTGTCTTGTGGGCGTCAAGCCAAGCCGTAACCCGGACACCTGCCGACTCATACAGGCATCGCGTCGGCAGCTCGCCGTCCAACCGCCGTCGCAATGTCCCCCGGACAGATCAAATCAAACATTCATCGCTTCCGCGTCCGACAGACATCCCCATCCTCGGCAGCGCTGCGTCGCTCTGCCTCGCCTCCCGCCGTGCGCCATGCCCCGCCACCACCGGAGACCGCCCCCGATGTCTCATCTTCATCGACAACATTAGCACCAGTCTCAACGGCCCCAGCCCAGGCCTTAGCTTCAGGTCCGGTCCCATCTGCGCTTCCGTACCCAAGTCCGACCGCAGTCACCACCAATGCCTCGGCCTCCGTAGTGCTCTCCGCTGTCCCGGCATCGTCGCCCAAGACGACCCGCGACATTCCTGCCTGCGACCGCTGCCGCAGCTTCAAGAAGAAGTGCAGCCGCACGTTTCCCGTGTGCACACTCTGCGCCAACGCAGGGCACAAATGCTCTTTCTCAACGCCTGCCGCGTCCACCGCGGCTCAGACGCATCACCTGCGAGCCCGCATAGAGTGGCTTTCACGCTTCATCAATGACAGTTTTCCCATTGCGGGCATCCCGGGCGTGGAAGCTGTCGACACAGGGACTGACCTCGCCTCGCTGCTGGGTTCGTCGCAAGCTGCTATCGCTGCCGGGCAGCCGTTGGAAGCTAACCCGACAACGCCAGCGAATGGAGCCACGCCTGGTTCCTTGAGCGTTGGGAGCAACCGTGGGGAGCCAGGAGAAACGTTTGCGGTAGACCAGCAGCCGCATGGAGCCCCAGGATCTGTCCTGTTTGATCAGAGAAGTCTGGCAGTAAACGTAGACTCGGAATCGCCGTCGTCGAGAGGCAATGACCACGTAAGAGCTCTCCTTCAGCCAGCACCCGAACCCGGGAGGATACCGGGCATCGAGGGTCTTCGCGATGGAGAAGGCTTTACGTCTTCCAGCTTGCCAAAAGATGCCATTGCACGACGGTTCGTTGACGCCTATTTCCGGAACGTGAACCGGGCGTACCCGTTTGTCAACCGGGTCAAGGTTCTGCGAGACCTTGAGTCCTTGGGAGAATCATCTAAGAGACGCCGAGATGCCGACTCGACATTACTATACCTTATCATGGCCATCGGATGCACCACTCTTCAGAGAGCAGGCCAAATACCGAACGACACGGCGTCCAAGTTCGACGTGGCGTATGCTGACATCATCCAAGAGTGTTTGGCGAGAGAGGATCTCGAGTCGATTCAAATCCTCGTCCTGGTAGCATTGTACTCGCTCTTCGACCCCAAAGGGATCTCAACATGGTCCATAGCCGGCATCGTTTCCCGTCAAGCCATGCTGCTCGCCCTGAGCAGAAGATCTTCTGAGGACAAAAGCCTTTCAGCGATGGACATTGAGTTACGTCACCGACTGTTCTGGAGCATCTACGTGTTGGACCGCATGATGGCCATCTCACTCGGGCTCCCGGTGGCCCTGATCGACGAGAATGTCGATGTCCCGTTACCCGGCCTCACCATCGAAGAGTTTGCGTCACCGGACCGACAGCACTTTGCATCCATTCTGCAGACCAATCGGCACGTCATTCAGCTCAGACAACTAGAGGACCGAATACTGAAGCAGATCCATACGCGAAAGCAATCCGATGTTGCCGCACTCTCACAAGCCGATAGACGAGCCATCGTACAGAACATCAGGTCCGACATAGAGAACTGGTATAGCAACGGATGTCTTGTGTCCCCGCTAGAGCCGGACAACGTTCCTATTCATAATTCGGTGACCTGGCTCAGTGCCAGATACTACCATCTTCTACTCCTGCTCCACTACCCCTGCCACTTCAACTCTTGCGGCTCCATCGTGTCTGCGGTCGAGCTCCTCCGTTTCGCACAGAAGCATCTGCAGTCGACGTCGGTCCTCTTACAGCAACGTCAGCTCCCTTTGAACCGTGTGACACTTTGCCGGCTGTTTCCGGTAGGTCTGGTCCTGATCCACAGCTTCATCGCCTGCGCCGCAGAATGCACATCTTTCTCAGCCCGGGATGAGGTAGCCGTTATCGTCAGCATTCTCGAAGCCTTCCCCGAGGGCTGGACGCAAGCCCGGCAAGCCGCGCACGTCTTCCGCCAGTTCATGAGTCTCATCTCCGGCGTGCCGAACAACGGCTACACCACCCTCCACTTCCCGGGCAATGTCTACGGCAACGGTCAAATGGCGTCGTCGCGGGAGTCGTATCAGGCGATGGTCAGGCCCATCATTACCGGACTCGTGACCCTGATGCAGGAGGTTCTCGGTAGGTCGACTTGCTACTCTTTCCACGAATTTCCCGATGACTGTGGTGGGCTGTCTTCGGCTTCGGCAGGGTTTAGGGGACAAGCAGCATTTTCTCCCACGGGTCCGGCTCGCCATTCGGCGACAGTTGGGAACGATGACTCTTCTATGGACTACGGATGGGGCTCGTTGGAACTGGGATTTCTCTGAACATTTGTTTTGTTTTGCAGCGACACATTCCCTTGTTTTGGTTTTCTTTTTGTACTTGATACCATAATGTCTGAAGACGAATTCAACCTGACCCAAGCTCTCATATACTGAGTGGAATGTGATGCCGTCTTCGCTGAAAAGCCCCTTAAGACTCAAAGTCTCTGGTTCTCGGGTAGGACTTGGTCAAGAAAATATCCTGTATATGGCACAGCACTACCGCTGCAGTCGGCTGGAGATTTAATAGAATACAAGAACTATACTAGACCAGAAGAACATCCAGCAGCAGTCACTATCTTGAGATTATGGTTGGATGTCAAGTACCTGAGATTCCTGCATTGCTTTCCCCTCTTTGCACTATATCTGCGACTCCCTTTGCTTCACGTTCGTGAGTTCATCAGTCTTGCATCTACGACAGAGAGCACAGAGCCGCCATACACAGCCTAGCAAGTAGATGGCATCCCCTGCCCAGCAATCATCTTTAAAAAGCTAAGTTCCTCCTCCATCGCTTTGGTTCCAGCACCCATGGGACTGGCAGTGGGGTAAAGAGGCTCTAGCTGAACCTCCTTCTGGTGGATCACGGGCGCTTGTAAAGGTCACAAATGATGCAGCACATAAAGTCTCACGGCCAACGCAACAATGCTAGGTCTAAGTTGAAATTTAGTCAATGTAGGCGTCTGAAATACTGCCCAGATCACGGTGCCGTTTGTGTATATAGTATGCTTTCCCAACTGAACCCTTCAGTGCATAGGATGCGTTCGATAGACTGTGATACGTGATAAAACCTGTTCTCCGCAAGCTAGAGCTACTAACAGAGCGGCTTTCTACGGTTAGTTCACGTAGGTATCGTTATGTTACCGCATTCCCATGTGTATAGTACCTCTAAAGGTTACAAGAGACGGAACGCTTTGCGGACTGCTTTGGCAAATACTGTTTTAGTCAATTGCAATCGAACTGTGTAAGTTGAGTCTTCTTCTGCCACTTTTTTCTCCCAGTCTTTGTTCCATCATCAAGTCAAATGTTCAGGTGTTCTCGAATTCTGCCAAGAACCAGCTCTGGTTTCTCAGCATGAACGCCATGGTTAGCGCCTTCAACTTGGTATAGTTTGGCGCCCGGGATTCTTTCAGCAATCAACTTTGAGTTTTCTAGGCGATATGTATCAGCCGGGTGGGGTTTAAAATCACAGGATACGACAATCCTACCGGGAGGGCAAATCCAGTCCTTGTCGCCGACAACGACTAATGTCTTGGCCGTGATCTCTGGCAACTGAGCCGTGTAATCAAAATACTTCTCATTCTCGGAATATAGATCATCTGGTAGGGAATTGAGCTCATCGGGCATAGTAGGTAAGTTGGGGAATGTTGCATGGCCTTACTGTGCGATTCAGCAACATAAACTCCATCAAGATTGCTCCTTAATGCCGCATCGGGATCAAACGTCTCTTTGTAAAGCGGCATCATTGCGAAGTATATTAGTTGAAATTCTCGATCGCTCTCATAGGCCCCAAAGACCTTGTTCTTCAGCATGTCGACAGAGAAACTGGGGACTCTATGAATCCTTTCCTCCAGCGTTTTGATGGCGCCAGCCTCATCTAAGAACGTTAACAGTGCTACCAACTAGAAGTTTCACATTTAGCTGTGACCTACGGTGGTGGGACGGTGCTGTTCCTCTGAGAATCAAATGCGAAACTCGCGGAGCATACTTGATGGCGTAATGCTGTGCTAGGAAACCCCCGAAGCTGCCACCGCAAATGATGACCTGGTTATCTCCAGCGAAATGTTGTCTCACTCCCTCAATATCATCAACTATTTGCTCAAAGGTGTAAGGCTTGGTCAAGGAGCTCTGGCCATGTCCCCGATAATCAAATGACAGAACCCGGATCTTGTCGCTGAGTTGGCTGTAAATTTTAAAATCAGACCTATGGTCACCTGAGCTCACATTAGCTACCTCGCAACTTATCCCGAGCCATTCTGGGGAGGCCCACCCATTCCTCGGCCGCCATGGAGTGTAATCATCAAGGGAGCATGCTCAGGCCCGGCGATGCGATACGCGAGACGAGCACCGTTGATGTCTACAAATTCAATCATTTTTGGTGGAAGTAGCTCAGCTAGAGACAAGAAGTGATTCGAAATCCGAACTTAGAAACGGTTGCAAAGTTTCTACAGCCGTCATGAGAATATGCCGGCAATCGCTGGTATGAGATGATGCCCCGTCGTTTGTTGGTGCACTCAGCGAGGTTGAATGCCGAGGCCGGGAGCCAATCGTACCTGAAGCCGACGAGGCGGGGGAGAGGATTCAAGCAAACAGGGGATAAGACAGATAGTGCCTGGTGTTGCGAGTAAGGAGCCGGACAGAACCCGACCCAATCTTCCCAAAAGGGGTAACCCAGGCCCCTCCCCGATAGTGAACCGGGGGGATTTGCATGGCGCCATAGTGAAGGCCCTTTATCAAATTACACTAAGAAGACAGCCGATGTCACCCAGAAAATTCTGTAATCGATTACGTTGCCGTCGTCGGCTCCATGTTGTTCTTCCTACAGGGGAGAGGCATCTTACGATAAAGATCTGCTGCTCACCCAATCTTCACCTTCAATAGGAAGGGGAAGCTCTGCCAGCTCGCCTCACTGGATACCCACAGAGCTTTCTGTCCCCTAAGTTCTCGTACAGGAATTTCTGAAGCCGCGATACAGCGACGGTAGATGAAGCAAGTTGGGATGGCGCACCCAGACCCCAACGCCTCCAACGCCGCCAAGCCGGTTGACCCGATCGATCGGGTCCAAGACAAGGACGGTATTTCGACAACGTCCGGCATCGCCGCTGCCGCCGACAGCAAACCGGAGCCCCCACAGCAGCTTGAAGAGGCCGGATGGTTCCGGTGGCACGAACCCGGCACATCGCCGGAAGAGAAGAAATTGATCTTTAAACTGGACTGGTTTTTGCTTTCTTACGGCTGCCTGATGTACTTCATCAAACAGGTATGTAGCCCAGATCGCCATGTGTGGTTTGGCTGTTGATGCTCACCTCCATCAGCTCGATCAAAACAACATCTCCAATGCTTACGTTTCGGGCATGTCGGAAGAGCTCAACTTCGGTCCTGGCAACGAACTCTCTTGGATGAATACTTACTTCAATATCGGCACCATCATCGGCGGCTCTTTCGCCAACCTGATCATCACGGTTGTCCGCCCGCGCTACTGGCTGACCGGCTGCCTTTTCGTTTGGTCTCTGTTTGTATTGTTTCTCTACAAGTGCCAGAGCGCGCCCCAGTTCTACGTCCTGCGCTTTTTTATTGGCCTGTTCGAATCAGCCGCTTGGCCAGGCGTCATGTACGTTCTCGGCTCCTGGTACCGCAAGAGCGAGCTGTCTCGTCGTTCCGGCCTATTCGTCATGAGTGGCGTCCTGGGACAGATGTTCTCCGGCTATCTCCAATCTGCACTTTACACCGGCATGGGTGGCAAAGGTGGCTTGTCGGCCTGGAGGTGGCTGTTCATCTTCGATTTCATCCTGGCCGTTCCCGTTGTGATTTATGGAGTTGTAAGTCGATTCGCAATCCAGTCGAGGACAGTACTAACGTCGTTCCCAGATTTGCTTTCCCGATACTCCTCATACCACAACAGCCTTTTATCTCAGTGACTGGGAGAGGCAGCGCGCGCGGGAGCGTATTGAAGAAGAAGGCCGCAAGCCCGTCGGGAAGATGAACTGGTCCGTCGTAGCCCGCGTCTTCGGCTCCTGGCAAGTCTATGCTTTCACCGCCGCCTACTCCTTCTGGACTTTGACGTGCGGCTCATACATTATACAATACTTTACACTATACCTCAAGTCAACAAAGTTGTACACGGTACCCCAGATCAACAACATCCCGACCTGCGTCGGCGCTATCAACTTCGTGTTTATGGTCTCGACAGGCTACGTCTCCGACAAGATTGGCCGTCGCGGACCCGTCTGTTTCGCGGTTGGCTGCTTGCTGACATTTGTCTACGCCGTCTTGGCTGCATGGAGCGTGCCGCATACGTTGCGTATGGCTGTCTTCATCCTTGCTGGTTGCTACGGCTGCTACACACCTTTGCTGGCCGGCTGGGCAAACGAGGCGTGTGGAGGTGACCAGCAGAAGCGTGCCTTTGTTCTTGGCTTCATGGTATCTATCGGCCAGGCTGTCGTAATTCCCTTCCAGCAGTTGCAGATGCCGAGTGGGCAGGCGCCGACTTTCGCCGAGACCCATGGCTGGGACAGTGCGCTGGCTTTTGTCATTGCATTGACCGTTTGGACAGGTGTCGGGCTACCATTCCTTCAGAAGTGGCGTGAGTCGAAGGTCAAGGTCAGCACTCGAGAAATTGATAGTGATGAGGCATGATAGACGACAACAGGTTTCCTCCAGTAGGTTTTGCTAGAACGAGAAAAGAGTGAGCTTTTGAGATGCAGTATTGATTAGTCGGAAAATGACCATATAACAACATAATTGTAATTAGATGCTTGAAACCATCAATCAACTGGCCCAATTGTAGAAGATAACCGGCGTCAACGGTCGATTTGATACATTATACAAGACGACCAAAACTATACCGACATGAAGATGTCCCGTACGTTTAACCGTGTAGTTAGGCATCTCAAGTATAATCCTCCCAGTCAATGCCACAAAATTGCCAGATACATCTAAGCCGCTACGGACTTGATGAAAGCAGCGGCTGCGTCGTTGTCGGAGAAATATCCAAGATGACCCATCTGGCTCTTGCTTTCGCAGCCCCCGGCGCTAGCACATCCACCAACAGAGCAGACAAAATCACCAACACCGCAAAAGCTCTTGAAATCGCCTTTCGAAATGCCAGATACAGGTTGACTCTTGAATGGATCACCAAAAGTGACAGCGGCAAGGACGTCCTTGCCGTTGAGCATCTTGGCAGCATTGTGAACGACCATGGCGCCCTGGCTGTAGCCGGTAAGAACCAACTTTGTCTCTGGGCACTTGCTGAGCCATTCGCTAGCCTGGCTAGTCATGGCTTTGCTACCGGGTCCAGACCCAACTCCCTCGGCCGAGATGCCGAACGAATCGGCAGGGTAAGAGACGCCTTCGAAGGTAACAGAGTCGGCGCCGAGGGCCGACTGGAGGGCCTTCTGAAGTCCGGGACCGACGACGGTGCCGAGGGTGCCCATCTCTGTTGTACCGCGGGCGAACAGTACAGTGACTGCTTTGCATCCCGATGCCTTCCGGGCGTCGATAGGGCTGGCAGCCGCCAGGGCGGCAAAGAGAGCGGTGCTAAGAGCGGCTGTCTTCATTTTGAGGTTACTGATGTACTTGAAATCAGCAATGACGAAGTGTATGTCGGTCAAAAATTGAATGAAGTAGGTTTTGGTCTTGAAGGTATAAAAGAGTGCTCCGCACTGGTAGGTAGGTGTAAGTGGAAGAGAAGAGCAGAAGCGACGAACTGAAACGAGTGGGTGATTGTTGATGCTCTGTCTTCCCTTCCAACAAACTCCCCGAGTAAGAGAGCATCCTCATCTTTTATGCTCAAAATGTTTACTCGATTAACCGCTCAAAAACACGAGGGCAATCATAGCTTCCCCCTTGCCAAGTGTGATTCACATTCGAGGAGGTGAGCTTTGACTTGTACAAAAAGGAATTCCTAGCGACTCCTCGTTTCATGCTGATTGGTGGCTTCGTCCAAAACGCCAAAGTACATGTGCGGGTCGGCAAGCTCGTCCCTATCAAAAGGGCCAGTTCAGATTGTCTTTGCGCAAATCGTTCAGTGATAGCACACGCTTGGACGTTATAATCCCTGCTGTCAAACAAAATGATTGGCCATTTACGACCAACGGTCCGCGCCATCCAAAGGGACTCGGCGTGTCTCTGAAGCTGTCATTTATCTTAAGACATAACCCCACAAGAGACCGATGCCGAGAAACAATCACTCCGTTGCCGCGCTCATAGAAAATAGCAGGGGTTGCTCTGGGATACCTAGTCTCGCAGGGGTTGATTTCTGCCTGCAATTAACAGCGTCGTTTTTGCAACAGTCATGAGCCTAGTAGTTCTACGAGTGTTTGTGTTATAGTCGTTAACGTCTGTGCTTTATATACCTTGTTGGTTCAATTCCCATAGACCCCTAGAGTAGGATTTATATAGGAAGAGATCACTAGACGACCTAGATTTGGGCGAGATGTACCCGATCAGAAGGTTAGAGGCAAAGGCTATTAAGTGACGCAATTTACACCTTGCCTGTAGTGGTGCGAGACTGGGGTGTATGTTGCAGGGTATACGGATACTAGGCGTTAATTGCTGCGTGCAATTAACGGCGTCGTTTTTGCGACACTTAGCTACCCTAATGCAGCCTTGATGCCGAGTTTACCCGTCCTCTTACCAGGTTTAAAGCTGTTTAACATGATACGCCGCGGCTTGCATATCTGGTGAGGACTATGCCGAAACCGATCATTCTTGCAGGACCAATTGGACGCCAGCCAACAATATGTTTCCTACCTCAAATACGCACATTGCAGCAAGCTGTGATCGGGTCCAACATATGAAATCCAGTGCGTGCTTGGATCATGCTCATGTGACGGGCATGGGGTCAGGTGAAATGTTTTACTGTGGATAACGAAGAAACTGATGAGTCTCAGACATTGGCTGGGTCAGCATGGACGGTTCATTAATCGACCTTCCATCCGCTAAGCATACAACCATCCAGGAGTTGAGTATTATCACTAGGTAAAATATCAAAACAATGATATCCATCCTAGCACAAAATCAGACCGAAAGTGACCACTTATGGTCTCTGGGTCTAGTTCAGTATTTGCTGAGCCTGCCCCGTTTGATGGTCCTCTTTACTATCCCAAATTGGATGACCACTGATCAGGCATCCTCCTCCTCCTCGTATTTATCCACTAAACTTGGACCCGGCTCGGGCCGTTGCCTGATTTGGCATGTTTTGCGGCTCTTGTCGTTATCTTCGCCCTCAGCATCATTAACTTTCCACTAAGCAGCGTCTTCGTGCTGTGCAAAGTCCCGAATAGCTATTCAGGGGAAGAAGCATTGACTCCTTGAGACACACAAAGACACTCCGAGTCAAAGTAGCAAGACTCATTCTATGAAAAAGGGTGAGAAACGCAAAGCGAACCAATTCCCGTCTGCTATGAGGGTGCTAGCCTACGTTGCAATTCTGCGGGCACTGGTTTCGGTACGAGCAAGTGATTTTTAGGTCTGGACAACACCCTTCAATGACATTCGCTTCATTAACTTCCGAAAATACGGAAGTAATTCAAAGATGGTGAGGTGCATGAATCCAAACGACCGTTTGTAGCGCCATGCCGCCAACCTATGCACATATCACAGCCTGGAGATAAGAGCGACGATAGAGACTTGAGCAATCGAACCGATGTCATGACGTAGATTACCGCATGACGATGAGTCCCGAGAAAGTCTCCGAACCAAGCTTGATGATAACGTCTCAGTGGTTCGCTTCCATGTACGTTCATGCAAGCTGGGAACCATCTCACGTCAGTCGCTTGGCCATAACGCTACGTTGTCGCATTCGTCAAGGGGAAGGCTGTTATTGAACATGATAAATAACCCCGCACCAGAGAACTTCTTTCTCCATGACATCTCGACTGCTGGTTCTATGATGATATTGTCGTGACAACTTACTCTCAGCACACTGCGCTTTTCTGCATCGGTAAACCATGATATTCACAGAGCCGAAGGTGGTGCTCTCGGCGGTCTTCGCGTTGTCTATATTGAGCCTCATCCGGGTAATTCCAAAGGCATTGGGTCATGACGAATTTGAAAGCTAACCATGAATCAGTCATATTTTCTGTGTCCCTTGAAACATATTCCCGGGCCGTGGTACACACTGATCACGCATTATGTCTTGAAGTTCAACACCATTCGGGCTCGGCGAATTCATTACATTCACTCCTTGCACCAACGTTACGGGACCGTTGTGCGAATCTCGCCCTACCAAGTGTCGGTGGCTGATCCCGATGCCTTTGTCGCCATTCATCGCATAGGCTCCGGATTCTACAAGTCGCCGTTCTACGAGGATCTCACCGGCCCTGCGGGTATCGGTATCGGTCTGTTCTCCATAACGGACCCGAAGAGACACGCTGCTCGACGCAAACTGTTTGCTCGGGCCTTTACCAAAGCCAGTGTCCGCCAGAATTGCGAACCAGTCGTCCGAGAGAAGGTTAGGAAGGCTGTAGACAGGATCAAAGCAGAAGCCGCTCATGGATCTTCCGATGTTCTCCACTGGTGGCTACTTATGGCTTCAGATGTGATTGGCCAATTGTCTTTCGGGGAGTCTTTTGAGCTCCTGGAAACCGGAAAGGTACGGTAGACTCTTTTCGTTTCAACATTTTTTCGATTCGGACTCACAATGCGTCTGGTTATTAGAAGAATGAATTTGTCGAAATGCTCCACATGACAGGTCTGAGTACCTTCATCAACTATGAGTTTCCGCTGCTTTACTCAGTATCTCGACATATACCAATCAGGTCAGTGCAATGGATACTCAACGCCGCAGCATCAGTTCGATCCTACGGCAGGCGTGCTGTTGAGAACCTACGCAAACACCGAGACAACAAAAGCAACATCTTCGCCGCCGCCCTGGCAGAGTGCGAAGCAGACGAGAAGGGAAACTTGACCGACGAAGACATCATATTAGAAGCGGGAAATTTCATCCTTGCTGGCGCGGACACTACAGGTTCTACTCTAGCGTACCTCGTGTGGGCTGTTCTCAAAAGGCCCGAACTTCAGGCTCGACTGGAAGCCGAGGTTAGCGCGATTGATGAGGATAGTGTTTTCGACGATGCTTCCTTGGAGAAGTGCAAGCTTCTCAACGCTGTTATTGAAGAAACTCTGCGTCTTTACGGAAGTGTCCCGGGCAACCTTCCACGTGTCGTGCCAGCCAAGGGCGCTACGTTTGGTGGATACCATATCCCTGGCGGGCTAGAGGTCGAAACGCAGGCTTATACCCTCCACCGAGATCCCAAAGTGTGGCCGAACCCATTGGAGTGAGGGTTCTTGTACGTGTGCATGTATATCAGTTAGCTAACTATGGGACAGGTTTGACGAACAGCGGTGGTTAGACCCAGCCACCATCACACCTCAGCAGAAGAGTAGCTTGTGCCCATTCGGCGCTGGTACACGGGTCTGCATTGGTCTCGATCTCGCCCGAATGGAGCTGCGGATGGCGGCCGCAGTGCTGTTCCGCCAATGTCCCGGCCTCAAGCTCTCGAGCAGCATGACGGACTCGATGATGGAAATGGAGAATTACTTTACTATAGTTCCAATTGGTCATCATGTTGATGTCACATTGTTACCATAGTTGATTGGCCTTATCCACTCTTGGAGAAAAATGATTATCGAAACGGACTTTGCATTGTGGCAAATTCGTCTGGCGGGAGCATGGTCTTGAGCGGATATGTGGTAGGGTTAAGATGTATTCATACCGACAGTTTGAATGAAATACTGCCTATTCACCCATCTTACACGTACCCCTGCTGGTGGAATTTGACAGCTAATAGCCCCTCAAGCAGCAAGGGACTTGTCGAGCAATCAGATGTGGTTCCTGTGCACTCCTTTTGTGGGCTAAGGCAGATGGATGGCATAGCTTTGGCGAGAAGAGTTGCGGTCCAGAGCCCATTAGCATCAATCAGGACCCAGCTACTCCGCACAAAGACCATAAGTCTTCAGGTCCGCCATTTGTCAGCCGATACGCCAGTTGAGATCGAAATGGAGACCTGCCCATCTAGAAGCCAAGCTACCCCTCCTCAAGCGTAGGGCTTTGAAAGGGGGTTAAATACCCAACTTGGCATCGCCGCCTCGCCATGAAAACTCCGTCGCTTTGATATTTCATCTGCGCCAAACTACCCTTGACCATGACCGAATTCGTGATCGAAGACAGAGATCTTTCTAGCCTCCAGGGCAAAGTGGTTATTGTCACTGGGGGATCATCGGGAATCGGTCTCGCAACGGTGGCCACGCTTCTCTCGCATGGTGCCTCTGTCGTCAATGCCGACATCAACCCGCCAGCCGAGCAACCGGGAAGCTCTTGCTCGTTCGTCAAGACCGACGTGACTGTTTGGGCCGAACAGGTTGCGCTATTCAACAAGGCAAAGAAGACCCACGGCCGTATCGACCACGTCTTTGCCAACGCTGGCGTGGGCCCCAGCGCCAACTACCTCTCGACGGAAGTTGACGATAACGGAGATCTAATCGAGCCTACCCATGCCCTCTTGGACGTTAGCTTGAAGGGGGTCATGCACACTGCCACGCTCGCTATATATCACATGCGGCAGCAAGCGGGGGGCGGTAGTATCGTCATCAACGGTTCGACAACAGGTTTACAGCGCCTCCGTGCCGTGGACTACGGTGAGTCAGGCGTCCCTCCATATGAAGACCCTTCAGCTGACCCAATGGTGCAGCTACCGCAAAACATGCCGTGCTTGGGTTCGGTCGAGGTCTCGTACCGCTTCTCGAATCGGTCAAAATACCGATTCGCGTTAACATCCTGGCTCCGACTTGGGCGGACAGTAACGTGCTCCCGGACTTGAAAGGCTTGATGAAGAAGGTGGGCGTTGAAGTCCAGTCCGCGGAGGCTGTAGCGCGAGGCGCAGCCTTGCTGATGGCTGATAACTCGCGCAACGGGCATGTGATTCATGTCCAGCTTGGAAAGTACAAGGAGATTGACGAATCTGTGCTTCTACCCGCGTTCGAGTCCATCAGGGGGCCTGATTACCCGAACGAAGACGAGGTTCTACGACGTATCCAAAATCTCCTGACTCCCAGCTAGGAGGTCGGCATCAAATAGCATAGTATAACGACCCGAGTGCAAATCAATATATGTCATAAAGTCCAAGAAGTTCATGCCATAGCCTTTGCCTGCCGACAGTCTGGACATTCACTGCTGGACAATCTACTATCGCGGCATGCGGCAATAAAGAGATGATTAATATAGAGGTATGATGGGCATTAGCTCAAATCATAGAGAAGCCTCCAGAAGCTGATATGGTCTGCCCCGTCACCCAATTCGCCTGAGGCTCGGCGAGCATGGCAACAACCGAGGCAACGTCTTCTGGCTTCCCCATCCTGTTCTCAAATGGCGTCATAGAAACAATCATCTTGACGTACTGGCCGTGAGCGTCAGACGCCCCAGAGTCGGAAGCCATATCCGTCTCGGTGACACCGGGCTCAACGGTGTTGACAGTGTGACCCGCCGGGCCCAGCTCCGCAGCCAAGGCGCGTGTTAGACCCTCCAGGCCGGCTTTCGAGGAGAGGTACAGGCTCGCAGAAGCGTAGCCGCCGCGCGCTGCGACGGAGGTGATGTTGATGATGCGCCCCGGACGGCGAAGATGCGGAATCACGGCTTGCGCCATGAAGAAAGGCCCGCGAAGGTTAACGTTTATACTTTCCTGGAAGTCCGCGGGTGTGACTTGCGACACGGCGAGCTTGGAGGTCACCCCGGCGTTGTTGACGAGGATGTCGATGTGCTCTCCAAAGGCCGCAACCGTGGCATCGACGACTTGCTGGGGGGTCTCGGTCGAGGAGACGTCCGCCTGAACAGCGATGGCGCGCGTCGCGTTCTCTAGAGCGTTGATACGCTCGACCACCTCCGCTGCTAGACCTTGGCTTTTCTCCGAGACATACGTGATGACGACCTATGCTTCTTGTTATTAGGCATCACAATCTTAAGAGGAATGAGCTGGTTGGACTTTGTCTTTTACGGACATTTGCGCCTCTTTTGGCAAGCTCGATGGCAATAGCAGCCCCAATACCACGCGAACCGCCCGTCACGATGGCGACTTTGTTGCGCAACGGTAGTGCCATATTCCTGACTGTGATATGGACGTAAGACAATGATTGGGTTGAGTGATTAGAGGAGAGAGAGGGAGAACAAGGAGAAAGAAAATCAAAAGAAAGACGAGTCTCCCATTATTTCACAAACAGTTTCAACGAAACAACAGTCTTGAGGAAGTGCGGGGTTCTGAAGGAATGTTGACAGGGTTTGTCAGATTCTTCAGCGGAAAGATGATGTGCCTGGCCAGCGGGGTCTCAAGCCGTTTACAACCGCCAGCATCTAAATGAGGATATGCCTATAAACATAGGAACCGCTGACCCCTTTCTCGATATACAAGCCGTGTTCTGAAATGCTTTCTGTGCCGGTAACCGCACAATGATCAGTGGCCCTGGTAGTGTGGGCGTGACAAAATAGTCAACTGAAGATCCAACATCTTCCGCAGTGAGCAGAAGCCAGGAATTGCATGATTCTGCGTCGCATACAATAACCAAGTCCACCGCCCATGTGTTGACTTAAAGCAACATTGAGCACGCAAAGTTCGTCCGACAACATCATGGGCGACATCTCTGGCCCCGACGGAGCATCTTGACGGCTGAAGCGGTTGCTACTGTAAGCCGTCTCGTGCTGAGTCTAGTTGGAGATAGCTTTCCCTGACCTCTGGATGTCGACAAAAATCAGCAAAACTAAACAGCAAAGATTGTGACAAATCATTGCGCATTTGCCGAATCCAATAAGAACCCCCACGGTTTACCGCAAGCAGTGCCGCCAAGCTCCGGCCGGCGACCGGGCGTCACAGCCATCCCGGTCCGGCTCACGAAGCCAGCATGGGACACATTGACCCGGCATATCAGGTTCCGGAGCACGTATGTCTCGACAAACGGTGAGTTGAATTCTGTCTGCAAGATGAATGGCACCACAGGCTGGATGTCCTTCGGTCAAACGCCGCTTCCTGGCATTGGGGCGGCGGCGACGGCGACGACGACGACGATAAGCCCACCCAGGATGTCCTCGTCGGAAAGGCCCCGACAGTAGTCCACTACAGCGGGATTAGCCCGGTTGCACGCAATTGCGCGCCGCCTGAAGAACCGATGGACGGGATTCTGGAACGCTGGCGGGGAGGGGGCGATCGACAAGCCTCAGGACCCCTCAACAACGGCTACCGTAGGTAGGGGACTGCTTGGTGTTTAGATGGCAATGAGATTGTGTTATTAATGCGCATGATATCTTCGTTGCCGGCGCGCCACGGGATTCTCGCTCATAGTACAGAGAACAGAAACTGTGTCTCTCTTCCCTTCCACCCGTTCCCAATTGCAGCTAGCAACCAGTGTGCCCCCTCCCGCTCCGAGAAGAACCGAATCGTTGTTGACTCATGCGCTGAAACGACCACGAACTCGCGCAACCTCCCACCACCCTTCTAGGACGAACGGCCCGCACGCACAAACGCCGCCATGGCCGCCGATATCAGGGTCTCGATCGACCGCGGCGGCACCTTCTGCGACGTCATCGCCCACGTCGACGGCCGCGAGCCCCTCATCTTCAAGCTCCTGTCCGAGGACCCGGCCAACTACCCCGACGCCCCGACCGAGGGCATCCGCCGCGTCCTCGAGGCCGTTGAGGGGAAGCCAGTCCCCGTGGGCGAGAAGCTCGACGGCTCACGCATCGGTACGTGCCTTGAGATCGGGGTAAAAGGAGAGAGGTGTGGGAGGAGGAAGATCCCTTCGAGTCTTGAACCAACTCACTGACGAGCCCCGAATCTAGCATCATGCCGCATCGGCACCACGGTCGGCACCAACGCCCTCCTGGAGCACAAGGGTGAGCGCTTCGCCTTCCTCACAACAAAGGGCTTCAAGGACGTCTGCGTCATCGGCGACCAGTCCCGCCCCAAGCTCTTCGACCTGGACATCCGTAAGCCCGGGGCCCTGCACGACGCCGTCGTCGAGGTCGACGAGCGCATCGTCCCGGCCGACTACGACCTCAACCCGACGCCCCTCGACGAGCAGGCCGCCGTCGCCGCCGCCGAGGCCGCCGGGGACGCCGGGACCCTCGTGCGCACGGCGAGCGGCGAGTTTGTCCGCATCCTCCGCCGGCCGGACCCGGACGCCGTCCGGGCCCAGCTCCGAGAGCTCCGCGACCGGGGCTACACCTCGCTCGCCATCTGCTTCATGCACTCCTACCTCCACCCGGCCCACGAGGACCTCGTCGCCTCCCTCGCCCGCGACCCGGCGCTCGGCTTCGAGTTCGTCACCACCTCGGCCGCCGTCTCCCCGACCATCAAGTTCCTCCACCGCAGCACCTCGGCCTGCTCCGAGGCCTACCTCTACCCCGTTGTCCGGCGCTACGTCGACGCCTTCCGCGCCGGCTTCCGCGTGCCGCCCCGCCGCCTCGACTTCATGTGCTCCGACGGCGGCCTCGCCGCCGCCGACCGCTTCCGCGGCAACGAGGCCCTCCTCAGCGGGCCCGCCGGCGGCGTCGTCGGCGTCGCCGCCTCGTGCTACGACCCGGACGACGGCACCCCCGTCATCGGCTTCGACATGGGCGGCACCAGCACCGACGTCTCCCGCTACGACGGCCGCTATGACTACCTCACCGAGACATCCATTGTACGTTAGACAAAATTCGAAGCGAGCCACAGAATTATTGTATACTTAAGACACTAAACAGCGGGCCGACAACTAGGTTTCTACCTCCTGCCATAGACACGACAACGGACCGCCTGACTATACTTCCTTCACGCCGGAATCGCGTAAACTACTCAGTGGGTGTCACTGCACGGGCCTCCACCCATGTGACATTTCTAAGCATAGGCACGCCTTTAGCTACAAATTCTAGCCGACCGGCTCG